ATTTAAACACTAAATACATTTCTAGGTTCAGTGAATCCAGGAAGATAAAGGGAGGACCTCCTTATACATAAATCAAACAATATTGAAATGCGCTTTTCTATCTTGTGGGCTATTGTGTCAGTGTCAATATTAACAGATTAAGAAATGCGTAACATTGTATGTTAACAAACCGCAAGCCTAAATCTACTCATATTGATCTGACTCCTACACCAGTTGACGGACCATTGCAATGTAATACTGCGTATAACGTCCACAGTTAGTTCAAGTTTATATCTCGAATAGTCATTATAACCAACTTGGAATTTAAAGACAACAAACATAATGTAGTATTTTACCATTTCATCGTTGCACAATCAGCGATGTATATTAGGTAAGAATTCAAAATACCAGTAGTACCCATTACGAGTTGTCATTAAGAGTCACATGCGAATGTGAAACGAAAGGTGAGATTGTATAGTGCGATTTGCGGTTGCTGCTTGGTGGATTGACTGGTCGACAGGTGTAAACCCAAACCATGAGCATACGAGGTAGGTTTTAATTGAATAAAAATACAATAATAAGCTGTGTCATGATATTTTGTACATGTATTTAGTATCCAAAAACATTATACAAGGTTTGTGCTATAACAGATTTTATAAGAATGTAGTTTAAAACGAAAGGCGCAATATTCTGTCCTCGCTATGTTAATAAATCCTGAACTTTTTATACTTTATTTTATAGATTACATTCATTAACGTTTCAGTTTCAAAAGATATCTTCGATGACGAAAGAGAAAACACAAACGCGCGCTCATCTTGGAATATCTAAATACCACACAGGGGATGGGGGTCTGCAGATACACACACCTGGTACTCTCGATTAACATTTCCAGAAGACAAATATTATTGGATTATTGGACGAAGAATATGACACTAGTACAGAGGCAAATGAAAACTTCCTTCGAACACTTATACCAGCCTATGGGACCTGACATTTTTAAGATCATATGCTGATATATGGCGATTGTGGAAAGTTTATATCTACATGTACATAAATACGTGGGTTGTCCCATAAGTCCTGACATGTTTGCTCTAACATCTTGATGAGATCGTGACAGAGATCTAGAACTATTTTGAACGACGTTTGATAGACGAGAAAATGTTCGATACAAAAGCTCTAATAAGTGAACTAAAATCTAAGTGAAGTAAAATCGAAAAGTAAGATCAGGCCATCTCTAATGGCAATAGTCAAAATAGAAGAATGTGTATATAGGCCATGTAAGTCATCTCGCAACATTTAAATTGGATAGAGTACTGAGCACTAAGGACAATCTACAACTGATCCGGTTCTTTGATTCGGTTCTCTGCGCATATTTTCTACGCATTTCAAATGTAATTCAGTGGCCGATCTTATATGGTGCATGGGCAGTGGTCATTTGAAAAACAAGATAGAATTTACCCAGGGGGCATTATGTTCCGAGTTTGGGCATTTTTGCCCCTCTATGAAAAGTAAATTTCTTTCATTTGCCGCAGCAGTCCATGATCATACTTTAATATTCATCAAATAAATATGACCAGTAATAATTATTTCAGACGTGTCATGGTAGATTTAAAGCAACTGCCCAGGATCATGGTACGGATGTTCCTTATTCATACTAAATAGTTCACAGCAATGATGATGATGCCTAATGTCGGACTAATGGAAGAGTGTTCTAATCGACAGGTATCATGGGAAACATCTTTTATTTTGTGCATGCGTGGAAACGAACCGAATCAGTTACAGGACCGAACCAAATCAGTTGTAGATTGCCCTTACTCAGTACGGGAGTACGGGAAATAAGGCAACGTGTGCCTTTACCCACAATATGTAACTTAGAAATGTTAAGATCTTTATTGGGCGATATGATAACATCTGGAAATGTTTGTAAATGAACTTAATACACAATATTGGCCCCAGGGATAGGAATTTGACAAGGAAGTTCGTCCCGGTGTGAAAGAAATTATGGTCCCTAGGGATTATGGTCCCCCTTTTTAAAGGCTCTTACTAAGCCCTGATTGTGTATAAGATAATAAGGGAAAGAGGTCATCATATTAATCAATGGAGAGTAGGACTATAAATTAATAGGACCTCCTACCCTTTTACACCGGCGCCCGGCCGATTGAGTAGTTTCTTAAAAAATGAATACATTTTTTATCGACATACTCAATCGGCCGAGCGCCGTAGTGAAAATCGAAGCAAAGTACTGCATCTGTATCTCTCAACATTCATGAGTTTAGCCTCTTGACAAGTAATTTTGATGTTTACATATAGTCGATTCGGGGGAAGGGGCCGGGGATTGGGAATATTTGACCAGATATACTCCCATGGTGGCCCCGGGGTAAGGAACAAGACAGGCCAATTGTATATTAGCGCCCGGTATTAACGTCAAGTTTTATTTTATAATTACGTTTGCAATTTGTGCGAAATCACACATGATCGTACGATGTCACAGATAGCCGTACGTACGATAATCGTTCGGTGACCATACGGGCGCCGGCAGGTTAGGCTCTGATTAGTTGAATTGAGAAAAACGGTTAAACATCTGCAACTTTTATGTGTGAGGTAAAATTCTCCAAGCGCCCATACAATGTCTAAAAATCGACTTAGTGTTGTCGATGCCCGTACAATTTTGAAAAATACTAATTCAAGCCGATTTTAATTGAATTTTATATGACCTAGGGGGTGGATTATACTTGTATAGTGGAGAGTTGTTGTTATAGAATGTAATGCAAATTGATTTTCGTAACCGTCAGCGATAAAAAAACACCTGAAAATCAGTAATTTTTCTGGTGGTGATGTAATTTGACTTCATTGGCTATACCTCCAAATAATTACAATAGGCCGAAAATTTAAGATGCATGACAAACATTCTATATATGATGTATTCCATTTTAATTTTTGAGTACCAAAGGTTTTCGAATACACATCTCTATACAGACATTCGATTTTTATTTTTTGACCTTCTATACAGCCCTCTATACAGTGTTTCGATTTTTATTTTTCTACTCTATCCTTATATAGAAATTTCTATACCAGCAACCATAATTTAAATATGCACCCACATAGACATTTCTATGAAGCGTTTCAATTTTTATTTTTGCCATTATCCATATAGAAATTTCTTTACAAGGAGAAATGTTTTACCAGTAACAGAATTAGTATTTTTCGTTGGCCTTCACATAAAAATTTCTATACCGTATAGAAATATATCCATATAGAAATTTCTATACAAGGAGAAATATTTTACCTGTAACAGAATTAGAATTTTCCGTTGGCCTTCACATAGAAATTTCTATACCGCTAACCAAATGTTTATCAATAACAAAATTAATATTTCCAGCGTCATCCGCATAGAAAATTCTATACGCAAAGCCAACGGAATCTTTTGTATAGAAATTTCTATCTGGGGATAGTGTATTTGTAAATCTAGTTAAAAGCTACATAGAAAATTCTATACGATAAAAAGAAACGCATTTTTACTAGACATTCTCATGAACATGTGTTAATAAAATTATTTAAACTTCATCTGTTTCGGTGAGATATGAATATACTCTGTAAAAATATTGTAAATGAAATACGATAATAAAATATTGACGGTTCTAATATATGAATTACACTGCTGTTTTTTCGTTTTTGGGTTTACAGAAAGGGACTTAACGGTTCATTCTCTTTTTAAATGGTCACGACTTTCAGATTAAATTCCTTAGGAACAACAATCAATCAAAGTGTTCATAAATCAGGCATGTCTGTTGATGTCATTCATCTTCTGTAACATCTAAGACTTAGTGATTTTGATGGTACCAGCAACAATTTTAGACCTTTTTCTAAAATATATAAGGATATTAGCCCCATAGTGCCAGTAATAACTGAGGTATAGCTAATTGTAAGCTTTCACTTTTTGCACCACCGTGTATATATATATATCATTATATGCAGGGTTCTCCCCAGAATATAATTGCATGGCGCTCCCCCCTGCTCACCTAATTTTCCCCCCTGTTCCCCCCTGCTTGCTTCATCCCTGCTGTTCCCCCCTGCTTGCTTCACCTGCCCAGGGTCTTCAATATAATCATAAATGGGCCATATTATCATGTAGTATTATTAAATAAAAGGTTTTCTAAATGAGATTTGGTGTTTATTTACATTTTGCAACCCTGTAACCATATGAGAGCTGCTGAAGTACATATTGACAAAGTACGCGAGTGATGCAAGCGGCAAAAATTGACACAAAAATCACGCGAGCGAAGAGAGTGGCGTAACTTGTTAAAAAATCCCCCCCTGCTATCAAAAAATCTTGGGGAGATCACTGATATGTATTCGCTGTTACTTGGTTTGGAATAGATGGAACCATGGCCATTCCCTGGAATTAATGTCCTAAATCCCAACATGGATGATGAAAAGTACTAACCACCAGTTGGGTCATATGACTAGTCATCAGTACCCTTTATCTTCCCTCTAGCAGTGAATATATGAGTTGAATGCCTTTGAATGACCATAATAACCTGTTACCATGATTAAAAGTTGTAATTAAAAAAGTCTTATTTTGTTTTCGTATACGCAAAGTACATATGGGGTATATAATAAAACAAATAGTGACTGTCACATTTTCCGGAAATAGAGTCAAAATTTGTCTCTCGGGAATATTCTGTCCACTGATACGTTCCCTGGACCTGCAGCCTCGGGAACATATAAGTGGACAGGATATTTCATCGGAATAATATTTTTCACTATTTCCCGAAATTGACAGTCACTATTTGTATATTGCTAGATAAGACAAGGAATTTTAGAATAGACAAAGGACAAACAGCATTTTCCAGTCAAAATTTCCACTTTTAAAAGTATAGTACTATGATATATTGGACGGAGTGATGGTGTCATACTGAAGTTATACTCTAACCCAATCCATCTTCAGCGTATACTATCAAAAGAAGCACAGTTTGGCAAAAAGAAACGTTTTACTAAAATAATGTACTTTATCTTTCTAGACCCAGTGATGTTGGTAAAGGCTGTATTCAATTAATTGAAGATGACACGTTGAATGGGAAGGCCTTGCTCATCAACCACGGTGATACTGGACACGGTGATGTCTTATTCTCATACATAGAGCCACAGACAGATATAGTGAAACCATAGGGCGTTAAATATGAAGCATCTTCCTGAGCAGGTGTGATCGCGGGAGTCCTGTGAACAGAGATTGAAGATGAAAATTCTTAATAATTTAAAATTTACAGTACTTTATTTGTATTAGTTAATGATTGGATTCAACAATACGATCCATATAATGCATGTACGAGGGTTGTCCCAGAAGTAATGCACTATACGCTCTAACTTTATCAATAATTGATATTTTTCCATGAAATTTTCAGTAAATGTTCCTTAGAGACATTTTGATTATTCTAAAAATTTCCATGTTGACTGATTAAACTATATTGATGTTATAATAAAATCAAGTTGGTGAGTTTGGGTAGGGCGGGGCAGGTTATACAGTCACGTCAAAAGGAATAAGAAATTGAAAATATGAAATAATTAATCAACAAATACCATTTTGTGTAGCTATAAGAAGTATGCTCAAAAATGCATTTTAATATATTAAATTACTATGAGCACATCATAGATATAATGGATGTATATTGCACAGTGTCCCATTTCACATTTTCTCAAAATATTGCCCTTTGCATGTTATGTGCTTTTGATGCCTGTCAGGTCAAATAATCTTGGCAATTTCTTCCACTGTGACTTGTGGAGTTTTTGCCTCCCATGTTTGGAGTTGTCATCCAGGGTCAAATCGTCTCTTTTAAATCTCTTCTGCCACCCCATAATTGTAGTTCTATCTGGAATATACTCCTTATATACTTTCTTCATGGTAGCATTGTTTTGCGTGTCTTTGAGTATAAGTGAAGTATGAAATAAGGCCACCAAACGCAAGGCATTCTGTTATCAGGTGAGAATTGCAGCCATTTTTGCAATTTCTTGACTGTGACTTTATTTGAATTCGTGATTACTGAAATGTGGTATTATGACATCACAGTGCTAAATGTCATTATTTGTACGTGGATACAAGTATGCTGAATAAATTTAACAATTTCTCAAACATTTTGATCATTTAAAGGAGAGAACTATTAATAAAATAACACTTTTCATAATTAGAAAAATTGGTACCTGCCCCGCCCACCCCTACCCCCATGTTGTTATAGCAACCATATTAAGACTTAATATTTATGTTTGATGCTGAAACTTCAGGATATAATAGATAAAACTTCAATTGTTATATCCACAAAATTTCAGCTGAATTGAAGAATATTAAAGAAAGTTCGAGCATATAGTGCATTACTTCTGGGACAACCCTCGTATTATCATCTTAAGTTTTTTGTGATATGTTGTCATTAATTTGAAATACAGATAATCGTACTATGTACTATTATACATATTAAATATTCGGTTTAAACACAAAATTTGCCATACTATATCACCTTTGGAGAACAAGAACACAGTTCAGCCGGTCCAACTTATTGTATATCAAATGCAAGGTTACTATGACTTTGACCTAGTCTGATAAATTATCCCGATGACTTCAACATTGCTAATAAGTAGATGTTAAGGTGAGATCCACATTGTTATTTTATGTCTAGATAACTTTAAAATGAATCTTACTGTAAAATATTTCGTCCTAGATTCATATGGTGTTGGCAAATACTACCAAGTTACACTGCAGCTTTCAAACTGGTCACCCAAGATTGAGGATTAAGACGTTAACATTTTGGGAAAGGGATAGGGGGAGAGGGGGGGGGGGTGGCTAGAACTATTTGTGGGAACTAGCTAGGTGTGAGTGGAGACACTTATATTACCAATTGAATTGATTTTTGATTTTCTTATGTAAAAAAGAAATTAAGCCTAAATAATTTAGATGCCTCTTCCAGAATTAGACTTTTGTAATGCGATGAAATGTTCTGTGTACACATCTCATGTGACGAACAGTTCAACACACGATGACATATTTAATTAGTTTTAACGGATTATGTAAATTTACTTGCGTTCTAGGGGAAATCTGGGGCTCCTTTCTCAAATACAAATATATTTGGATGCATCAACAAGTTTTTCAATTTAAACTCTATCGCAATGACTATATTGAGTTATGTCCTCATATTTCGCATGTACACTGATCATAAATTTATAGATATACCTATAGAATTTCTAGACTGAATCTTTATTTGTTAAGAAAATATTGTTGTTATAGCAACAGAGGGTGCGCACTCATGGTTCATTGCACATTTATCATTAAATGAAATGAAATTTCACTGAATGAAAAATAGCATCAATCCTAAAATACACAATTTTTTTAACCCTAATGTAGACAGAGGCGGATGACCCCCCTCCAGATTTCCCTCTTTATGTCTCCATGATTTTTTCATACTCACATGCGGAATATGCCACATACCGCAGGTGAGACGGGCAAATCCACCCGTATCACAAATACCACACAACTATTAATATATGACATAACACGAAACACCTTATTCAAAATGCAAATTGAATTCAGACTCGCTAATTTAGGCCTATATCTACCTTAGATACTTTGGGTTACAATAATAATGGTCACCTTATTGTAAGTCGTATCTATCTCTTGTTTAATTTGGACATGGGTCCAAACATCATATATATATATATGTATTACATACCTAGCGAAGCATTTGTATGGAAGTCAATGGGAAAGTTAGCGAGCTATATCCACCGATATTGCCCGATTACCCCGATATAGCCCGCTTACCTCGTTTTGATATTAGATTTCTTTAATAACCATGATAATATCATGACGTCACGTCATTGATACAAAGTAACCATGGGAACAAAGGCATGTAATACATCAGTTATGTCACTATGACGTGAAATATGCCTTCGTTCTTGCCCAAATATAGAGCCTCCCAAGGTCGGCCTATATTGGGAGAACTCAGGCATATTTCACGTCATAGTGACATAACCTCTAAATATTTCTCATTTATGATATTTGATACTAGTTTTAATTCATGGGTCGCTTCTTGAATTCTGATCTACAATGACTTTCATAATATACAGGGTGGGCCAAAAAACGCCACTTTTTTCAAGACACTACAAGCTTTTTATTTTCTCACCTACATACCCCAAAGTTTGCAGTTAAAAGGGGTTTTAGTAATAATATAATGTAACAAGTTCTTCAACTTAGTTTATATTTGATCTAAAAGGGGAGTTCCATTGGTCTGCCACCCTAATTGGTGATATATTTTACTTTTAGTTGCCTTGCTGATATTGCAGTATCAATGAAATATGAGCTAAGTTTTTTTCAACCTGTTTTAATTGCCAGCTTTTGTTGAGAAATTTTTCTAGATTGGGTGCATTCATACAATCTCCTGGCGACCTTCCCATACCCTATACTAACTGGGGTTTGCATCAGGGCTATTAGCTTGGCGATCATCAGGCCGTATCAGTTCAGGAACATTTTGCAAATTATGCTTATTTCTCATGGCACACCACATGTTTAAGTGAGACGCTGGTGACATATTTTATTCAAGTAAAAGTGTATAATTCATGATCCATGGCTAGATAACAACATCAAGTTTCATTTGGTATGCAAATTATGATTTAATATCAAAAATTAAAAAAGTTATAGCATTATGAAATAAAGTGGCGTTTTTTGGCCCACCCTGTACTTACTGTGCAAGGAATACATCCCATCAAACAAACAAACAAATAAACAGATTAAACGTCAATAAAGGATAGGTATCGTAATGGTGAACTTAATTCAATAATGTTTTTCTCTTAAACTAATTATTGAAAAAAATTCTGTAAAAAACACGGCCCTTTATGTATTGTTGACTGATTGACAATAATTTAATGCAAAAATTATTTATATATATTTTATAGAACTGTTTTTATTAAAAACATTTCTTTTTAGTGCAGATGGTTTTTTGTTCCTTTTTACCAATTCTTGAGAATGATATAAAATATCTTTCAGAAGCATGTTGGAACAAACTAGCATATACAACATTTTCTCAGACCTCTCAATATTATAGCTATACAAAGGAATTTTTAATTGATTTTACAAAAAGTATTCAGAAATTAACACAAAAACCCCAAAATAGATAAAAATTAAGATAAACCTTTTATTTCATTAACAAGATACTTTTTTTAATCAACCAACATTTCCTTTGTACACTTACAATATTGAGAGACCTAAACATGCTGTGTTAATGTCGTTTTGTTCCAATGAGGTTCGGAAAGATGTTTCACTTCACTCTGGAAACATGATACCAAGAACAAAACAAGTGTTTGGTGTGTTTTCTAAAACAATATAGATGAAAGTATGTACCATCTGTATCAAAAGTCTTTTCCTATTGAGAAAACCCTTAAATGACTTTTGTATAAGGCAGGTAAACTTAATGAAACTTTCCATGCATAATTTGAGGCATATAATACACCCTCTGTGAAAATTTGGAGACAATTGATTGATTTTTACTCGATCAAAATATCACATATAGAACATAGCATATACCAAAACACCAATGTGACTTTTTCCAAGTTATACTGTTACCATTCAAAAGATGACCATTAAATTGACGATGTGTTTTTTTATGACTGGTTTAAGAGAAACGTGTGTTCAAAAAGTTCTCCATATCGATACCACTTCTTTCACAAATGAGTTACATTTAATGTTTGATTTGGCGTCCAAGTAAAATATGGATTATACATGCATGTCTAACAACAGAACGACAATACAGTCGAAATGTTCTGACATGCGCAAAGCTCTATTTATTGATATTTTCATTTCAAATATGGCGGCCAATCCGATGTCTGACGACCCTTACAAAGAATCTAGGCTGTGTGCATTTTTACCTCCTGTGAAATAACAAGTATAATTTAGTAGTTGTTTTGTGTTTTATTATCATTCTGCAGAGTAATTCTATGTGATGTGGTGTTAAGGTGCTATGGAAGTTAACAGGAAATGACAAAACAGGAAGTGACAATTTTTTTTGCATTTTTAGACATTTTTTGAACAAAGATATCAGAGTTCTATTTTGACCTCCGGTCAATTCAACTAGTTTCAAATACCATTTACAGGTCCAGGATCACAATGTTCATGGTCAGAATGACCCTAAACATGATGAAATAACCTTTTCAGCACTCTGAAAATGTGACTGAAAAATAGCCAAAAGTACGATATCAGTCGGAGAAATCTGGCGATCTACGAAACTCACTTCAAAAAATCAAATGCGGACTGACGGCGTATTCTACTATGCTTGGATCTAAGATTTTCAGTATAGATAAAGTCTTTTATGATCTTTCGAATGAGGTAAGTCTCTAGTTCGAAAGACAATTGTATCAACTTGAACAAAAGTTGAGTTTTGAAGAAAAATGTTAACATGCGCAGAAGTCCCATTTTCGTTGTACCATATTGACTGAATAATGATTATTGTTATCCGAGCATTCTGTCATTGAAAATACCACCAACTTTCAGTTTCAAGGGATAGGAGCACTCATCACCCAATTTAGACATAGGCCTAAATGAGGGTATTTGAATTCAATTTTCATTTTAATGCGAAAATTGAGATGATTTATATTCATCATTGGCAGACATAGTACACAAAATTGGTATTTTAGCAGAATTTGGCCATCTTTTTTGAAAAGCTGACATTATAATGAATGAATGAAACAAAATATTTTGAATGTAAGCATGCCTTAAAGTTAATCATGTGAGCATTAAATAAACAATTATTGAAACTTAAATAAAAAGTCATAGGAAAAAAGAGAGGGATGACTTTTCCTATCCGGGCAACTATATATACTCACCTCCAACCTTTTCCTCATAGGTTATGTGTTAAAGCCTCTCTATGTTTGATTTTTTTTATTTTCATTAAAAAAGAAAATGCATGAGGATATGTAGCTTGCACTGGAGCCCCCCTCCCTTTGGGCGGACCCAGATTTTTTTAAAGTCCGGACAAAAAAAATTACAGGGCCTCAAAAATGGCCCTGCAAAGAAAGGCATTTTTGAAATCTTTTTAAGCTAAATTATTATAGACCTCAACATTTTCAAAATTTGGGCCCGATTGTAGGTTTTAGGGGCCAAAAAATAGTTTACTGACTTTGAATTTGACCCCTTCCCCTTGTTAGCTTTTGGATCCGACAGTGGCTTAACTATACCTTCAGTTTTGCATTTTCAATGATTCTAGAATCATTGAAAGATGAACTGTCAGGTATTCGTTCAACAGTATGAAATATTTCTATATATAAAATATATTGGTAGTAGTTATAAGCTACTTTACAGGCTGTAAGACATTTGTAATTAGTGATACGTATATCCAAACACTCACTGGTTAGTATCAAGCGAAAGTAACGGCCGTAACCTTCGCATCCAAAATGGATTTTAGTTTTCATCGAATTAAAATACTTTATAGTTGACGTTATGCTTTGATATTTGAACTAAATCAAGCGTATGCGACATGGGAACTCAGGAGTATGGAAATTTGATCATATATCGTTTTGGGTGCCACAGTTTAACGATATCTTCCACCGCTTAAGGAAAGGTAACTGGAAATGTATGATACGGTAACGGCCGTGTTAGTTTTCAATACACGGAAACTAACATGGACATTTTATCTCCTTTCTTATTAAGAGTGCACTGTTGATAAACTCAAATTCAACCATTATTATCAAAATCTAGCCAACTGATACACCCTTCCCGTTTTGATGTACCATTAAAAGGGTTTACTGGAAGGTAAAATTCGTAATATGCAGCACCCAATGTACATGAATGTTTCATTTATCATTCCAGACCCAATGATGTAGGTATAAAACTAATTGAAGATGACACGTCAAATGGGAAGGCCACACGATGATGTCATACACGTATACCAAAGAGCCAATGACAAAGTCAAAGCATGACGTAGGATATGACTATGCCTAGCTCAAAGATGAATATACTTTATTCATACCAGTAATGCCTGTCACATTTGTTCCGATTAATCGGCCGGCGCCTAGCCGCTTGAGTATTTTGTTCAAAATGGAAGGTCAAATCTCAAACTTGAGGTCAGATGTGAACTCCTGAGAACTTACACATGCTTTGAAAAAAATTGTTCAATTTGAACAAGCTGAAATCAGTTTTGAACAAAATACTACAATCATACCAGAACACAGTACAGCCGTTTCATATTTTCTGACAAATTCAAGGTTACTGTGACCTTGGCCAAGTGAGATTAATTCCCTCAATGACCTCAAGATTGCAAATAGTTGGAGGTTAGATCTTAACGTGACGTCTAACTGGTGTTTTATGTCCAGACTGTAGCTTTTAGAAGAATCTTTGTCTAAAGTATTTTGTCCTGCATCCATATGACTTTTGTCTATATGACAGTTGAGCAACGTGTGTATGTGTAGGAATATATAAGCACTAGTGCCAAAGGGATAAAGGTAGGGTGCTTCCTCTGGTGTATCTGGGCGTTAACATCAGCTGCCTCTAGTCAGATCGACTAACAAAACAACCTTTTTTGGGGGTTGTCGAGTTGGCCGAGAGGGCTTGAGCGCCGGCACGTTCAGGCGCCGTAACCACAAGGTTGCGAATTCGAGACGCATGTGGTCCTTGTGTTTATTCATATACCAGGTTCCAAGATACACCATAGCTTCTCAACTGGCCACCTACGATTGAAGGATCAAAAGGTTAAGAATTTTTAGGCCGAGATATGATATGTTTGTGAACTATTTGTAAGAGCTGGGTGCGAGTGGGGGCGCTTATATTGCCAATTGAATTGCCTTTTGAAAACATATGTACATGGAGTTTTAAAACCTAAATAATTTAGATGCTACTTCCAGAATTAGACTTGTGATGCAATGAGATGTTCTATGTGCACATCTCAAGTAACGAAAAGTTCAACACACTATTACATTGTTTGATTGTTTTGACTCATTGTGTAAATTCACTGTCTGGTGTTCTGGAGGGAATCCGGGGCTCCTTTTTTAAATGCAATTTATCAATCTTAAAAGGTTAAGGACAAAACACTTACTCTAGATAACAGAAATCGGGTCACTCAGAATTTAAACGTGAAATTGGTGTGGAGCAGTCAAGATCTATTTGAGATTATACGAATAGTTTTTTTTATAAATTTAACGAGCCTTTTAAAATGAAGCTCGACGGAAGCGTGGCAATTGTGACAGGCGGTGCTCAGGGTGTTGGTAGAGGTATCGTAGAAGCTTTGTTGGGAAAAGGCGCCAAGGTAAGTAAATAACGAAACGTTTTTGTAATTGAGTAATAAAACTAAGGTGCCTTTTAAACAGCTTTAACAATAACATATTATTGCGGTACACAATTACCTGTCAAATAGATCTACTTTTCTTTAAATTTGTATAATTTCAAATATACGAGGGTTGATCACAAAGTTCTCATAATATCACTCATAATAATTTCTTCAATTTTCGTTATATTTTAGTAATTTTCAAAAATGTGAAGGATAGAATGCAACCGAGGCAAATAAAAGAAATTGAGAGAATGGCTCCAATTAACCATGTTAGCGCATACAATAAACTCTAATAAAAGATCAAACACGTTAAAATGTTAGCTTGAAGCTGTTGTTAAGTGCTTTTACTATTACAAGAATACACTAGATGCGAGTAGAAATAATCTTGATTTACTTCATTAAATATTCGAAATTCAGTCAAATTGATCTCATATTTGAAATCTGCATGTAAAAGTACATTTAGAAATATGGTTTCGAAAATTGTCTATCAACTTTGAAAATTTAATTTTTTTGAAAATGTGACTTCTTGCTCGGGTTGATTCCCCATAGACCCTATGCTACAAAATCACAAAAAGTGAATTATCTTCTCTTGTATTGGACAGATAACATTTTCTTTTACTGGACATATTTTAATTTGCATAACTATGAGATACATTAGGGTTATATGAAAATTGAACCACGCAAATAGATGTAATTTAAGTTAAAGGGAACTTTCTACTATACCCGCCATGCTATCTGACCCGAACGAGCCACCCGGTGGTGAATCTGGTAACTACCTACTCGCACCTGCGTTATTGATCATGTGAATTGTGTGATGTCACAGGGGATGCTTTCGTGCATCATTAGATGTGATACAAGAGTCTGAGACTCGAAGCTAATGATCAAAAATGACTGAGTAAGAGAATGTAATAGATGCAGAGATCTTCAGAAAAATAAAATTCATACTGATAACATGTTATTTAAAGTTTGTAAGATCATTTGATCAGACTAAACATAATATAAAACAAATATATTGCTAAGATATCAACAAAATCACACCCTGTGTGTGGTCTGAACATGTTAAAAATGAACTAAAGGGGCAAAATCAATTTTCCTAGGGATATTTGACAAAACAGTCACATTGTCTAACATTCACTTTTAATGAAGCATAACAATCATCCATTATAAGATCACACAATTCACTTTTAATAGTTCAAAACAGTCAAGATGACAAATTATTTGACAATGCAAAGTAGAAGTGATGGATATAGCATTATAGCACAATGATGCTCACAATTTCATTTTTGGCCTGTATCATGCTAACCTTATTCATTGGTTCGTTATCAAATATATAGAAATTGATAACCTATATGAGGTTCAGGATATTCGGATTATCCCGAGGCCAATTTAATATATCTGCCCGAGGGCCGTAAGTCCCGAATATTGACTTAATATTCTTGAATATTGACACACATTTATTTTCTCTTATCTTTTCTTAATCATCTTCAAGAAACCATCAAACAGATCGCGATTGTCTGCATTTTTGCCATTGTCGTTTACATTTATTATGCGAACGTTACAAAATGGACCAATATGCGAACGGCGATTATGACGTAGCGGGCAGATGCAGATATATTATATCTGTCCGCTCGGAGCGGGACGTAAAGCTATATCTGCCCGCTGATCGATGAAAATATAAGTTTTTACAAACCTGCTTTATGTACCTAAAACACGTCCAAGTATGGGATAAAATGTTTTTCGCATTAGTATTGTATTTTAACTATAGGTTTGCATCGCTGATATAAACAAGGCAACTAGTGAACTCACTGTCAAGGAACTCGCTCAAACATATGGTGATAAGATATTCTTTAAAGAGTGTGATGTGACAAAGGATGCTGAAATCAAAGGTAGCTAATTACTTATTAGATATCCCAATAACTTAACAAATACTGTTTAGACTGACTTCAATGTTTTTCTTAATCATCTTCATTCTTCAAGTTCTCGAAAGTTCATATTGTGTCTTTCTGAAACGAAATTATCTGACCAAATACCAGATAATGAGATAACCTTTTTTTTTGATTTTCATGCGCCTTTTAGACGAGATCGCACTCGTCACGGCGGGGGAATCTTGTTTATGTATCTGACCTATTTTGTAGACGAAGGCAAGACTTAGAACCACCTGATATTGAATTAGTATGGGTTGAAATAAGAGTTAGGTATTAAAAAATTTAGAAGCCTCGTGCTATAGGCCACCCGGACAAAATCGTGATCAAATGTAAATTTCTTTAACGAGAACCGAGCAAAGTATATAAATAAGATTTTGACAACGAATTTAGCAATTTTGTGAAAACATTTAATATTACCTAACTGATAAAAGAACCAACTCGTCTTAATTATTTACGTGACCTAATCTTAAAACAGATGCACCGGCTATTTCAGAAAATGCCCGCGTGTCTCGTACACTTTTATATCATCGTACAGAAGTTGACCATAATTTTGACCACAATACCGAAAAAATCAACATTCACAAGAAAAAATCTGGTATTTTTCAAACGTTAACTATATTAACAAACTGATCGAGTCTTTAACTTCTCCACCAAGGGATGTTTTCTTTACTTTTGAAGATATCGAAGATGTGTTCAATGATTACTGACTTTCTGAAATCCACTATGCAAGATATATATTGTATACCCAATAAAGTAGCCATTGTGAGACCTAACGATAAACCATAGATAAATGGATACATTAAACAAATGAGTAGAATTAAAAACAGATTAATAGATTGGAACATATACAAGATTAGAAATATATGGGTTCACCTGGTTAAAAGATGTAAAATTGAGTATTATGAGAAAAAGTCAGACATTTTAAATGACAAATTGACACCTCCTAAAAAAGGGTTCGTTGTTTTAAAACAAATATAAGGTCATAAAATTAATCAAGGGGTACCTAGTCTAATTGAAAATTATACAATCCTAGGTGACGATGTTGAAAAAGCAACCGTTTTAAATAAATACTTCACTGGTATTGTTGATGAGAATTTAGCTCAATTTCCAAACAATGAAGTTAATTTTGAAAAGACACTTGATGCAATAACAACAGACCCGACTGAGGTGTATAACAAAATTGAATATATCGAAAGCCGGGGGATGGGACGAGCTTCCTAATACATTTTAAAAACTTTGCGCTGATTACATAAGCAAACCAATATCGCGTTTATTTATTCCTAGAGATTATACAATTTTGTCAAGGATAAGATAAATTTTCGTCAATCCGGATTTACACCACTTGACTCTACAATTAATCAACTTATCCGAATAGTTGATGAAATGAGTTTTGTTCTCGACAACGGTAAAGAAGTGAGGCTAAATCTTCTTGATATAAGCAAGGCTTTTGACAAAGTTTGGCACGCGATGTTGATTAAAATAAAAAAAAATTGAGAAAACTGGAATTGGCGAAAGTCTGCTAAAGTGGATCAAATGTTATTTGACAAATCGTTTGCAAAGAGTAGTTGTCAATGGAAAGCACTCAGACCTTTTGCCAGTTAGAGCAGGAGTACCACAAGGCTCTTTTATTGGGCCGCTTCTTTTTCTTATTTTTATCTATGATCTTGTCGGCCATGTTCAGAGTAATCTTTATCTGTTTGCTGACGATTCATTTGTTTTTGAAATTGTTGAAGACTCGGATAGGACTACTGTAAAATTCCAGACTGACCTTGATAATAATAATAACATTCAATTCTTAATAACATTTAATGCTTCCAAAACACATACCATGACAGTTTCTAATAAACAAAAAAATCTCAACATGCAGACCTGTCCTTTGAGTGTGCAAGACTAGAGTCTACAAATAAACACAAACATTTAGGGGTAATTTTTACACCCAATTTAAAATGGAATGAACATATTACCACCACCTGTACTAAAGCCACAAAACTAGTAAATCTTATCGCAAAACTAAAAACAAAACTACCAAGACGAACTTTAGATACTGTACTATATATCAACTTTATTCTATACCAATGATCGACTATGGTTATGTAATATATGATAATACTTCTGAAAGGGGTAGCCAAATGATTTAGAACATACATTATTGAGCATCTTTGGTGGTCACTGGGGGAATGGAAAAATCAAGCTATGTAAAAACAATAAACGACCTTGGATGGTCAACATTAAAACTCCGAAGAAGCTACTTTAATATTTTAATACTTGCAAAAATTATTTATGGGAAAACTTCGATCATTATAAAAACATTATTCCAGGAATGGTCAATGACAGAACAAAGTACGACTTAAGATCGGCAAGTGAATACCAGTTAACTGAGACTAAAAGTAATTTCAGTCGAAACTCTTTTATTCCCTCTGTCATAAGTACGCGAAACGATCTTCCAAAGGCAATAAAATATAAAACCACTTTTAATCTTTTCAAATTTGAATTGAAGAGACATTTATTTAATTAAAATAAAACGGTTTCAGAAATTGTATAATTGCGGCGACCGCAAAGTCAATATAATTCACGCGCGCTTTAGATTAGGCATTACGCAACTGAATTCGCATTTATTTTCCATGACGTTGATCGACGCTCCAAGTTATCCCCTCTGCGGAAATGGTAATAAAACAATCATGCATTTTATCCCTGGCTGTCCATCTCTCAATGTGCAACGAAACGATCTAAACATGCTTAATGAAATATGCATAGACAAACCCTTAATAAGTGTGTCAACAAAAAATGAAAACATATTATTCTTATTATTCGAAGAGTCCTCTATCGATATTTCATTAATCCACGATTTTAAAAATGATCATATGTCACCCAATGCTGCACCCCCCCTTTTTTACCGGTGATAACATTAGATAATGTGTATGGAAAACATTTTGTATTAGCTGATAGCTATTATATAAATGTAATCCAATGAATATAGTATTACACAGAAAAGGTCAAAGGGTATTTTTTCAACTTGCCCAATTTCTTTTTTCAAAATCATCTACAAATTCTCAAAAGTTTTAATCTGGCTAAAGATTTTACCTTCAATGACATTTTCAAGGTCAAAAAAGATTTGACCTTCAATGACCTTCTCAAGGTTAAAATGGTATTTTTATCTTTCTTAAAATTGACCAATTTTTGTCAATGAGAAGGCTTGCAATTATATTCTATCTAAAATGAATTGCATGAACATGACCTTTATTGAATAACAGTACATTGTAAAACATATTGCCTGTTTTACGCATACCAATATTATAGCTGTTTTTGGTGCGGTACAAGATATATTTGGCTCACGGGCTGACATAATGGTCAACAACGCAGGAATTATCCATGAGTTCGACTTTGCTCGATGTGTGGCCATCAATCTGGTACGTATCAATACGCAGTGATTTACTCTTGCATAGTTTTATTTAGCTTAATTGTATTTACTCTAGTAGCTCATGCTGGTTGAGTATGCACTTCTATGTCCAGAGATTTTCTCTTCAGAAATCATCTATGTGAAGGTCATTGATCAATTTTGGCTTGGTAACATATTTGCCACAGAAGGCGAAATAGGTCAAATGGCCACGCCCTTTTTTACGCGAATACTCCCCCCCATTTTTGCATCTCCGGAACCGTTGGACATAGAAGGTTGTGTGACCACTCAAAATGTCCGGAATGGCCACATTATAGGGGGTCAATAATACATATGTATTTAAAAAAGTCAATGGTTCTCAAGATATTTGCCAAAAACTGATTTTAGCATGTTACGCACAACAGTTTTCATCTATCCTGCATCATTTAAGACTGAATCCGCAGCCTCTATCTAGTCAGATCAGCGAAGGAAACAAACTTTTTTGGTTGTTGAGTTGGCCAAGGGGTCTTAGGTGAATGGGAACCCTAAACCACGAGGTTGCGAGTTTGAGACACGTGTGCTCCGTATGTTCATTCTTTTATGAGTACCATATCTAGTATCTACAAGGAATGCTGATGTATTATGAGTATTGAATATCGATTGAGTTTAATTATAAACCACGAGGTTGTGAGTTTGAGACACACGTGCTCCTTGAGTTCATTCTTTAATGAGTACTAGTATCTACAGGGTGGTCCAAAAAATTGGAACATTTGTTAATTGAACACAAAACCTTTATTTTTCCTCTAAAATGCACCAAAACTTTACTGAGCATAGTTCAGTCACTTATCTCTCTGATGTAAAGTTTATAGGTGCAAACCAAAAAGTTAATGTATACTAGTCAATGTTTGATATGACCCCCTTTGTTATGCGGTAAACACGATACAAAAATATGTCATATATCGCAACGAATATGGCATATTCACTTGCGGTGTATGACAGATTCACCTGCGGTATATGGCATACACACTAACCAATGATAACGTGATGCGGAAGTACGCAATTGTCAATTGCATCGATTGAACGAACAAGTAAAACGTTATAGATTATTATAATGATTATTGAATCAACAGTAATGTGTATCGAATATATTAACTTAGCAGAAGTATCAGTCATCAATCTCGCGTAATAAACTCAATCAATCCAGGATTCATATATTAGTACTCGACGCACTAAATTTATTGGTAATCCAGCGTGTTGTTTTACATTTAGAGTCGATTCTTGTAACCAATCAAACCAACACTCACCTGCGGTATATGCCATATTCCGCAAGTGAGTATGACATATTCCGCATGTGAGTATCGGGTATTCACTGAAATCAATGTATCGCATATTCACTGCGGAATATCGCAAACTCACTTGCAGAATATGCCATATACTGCAGGTGAGTATGGCATATTCACCTGTATCACAAATACCGCACAACCATGAATGTATGCCCTATACCGCGAACACCCTTTTCTTAAATATACACTTGTCAATTTCGCAGCTACTTTTTCATATATTCTTTATTTCTAAGCTTTAATGAACATGTTGATTGCTATACACATTTTATAAATCATATTTGGTTGACATGAAGTATTAACATCTATGGTTTACTGGAAAAGGATTATGTTATTGTCAACTTAAGAATACCCCAAATCATTATTATTTAAGAGTAGAAAAGAAAGAACATGCCATATAGCTACTAAACTGACAAAATCATTGTTTCCACTTTTCAGTAGAGGGGAAACTGACCAGTTATTTACAAGGCTTTATCAAGGACCACCTCTAAGCACATATAATAGTACAATAACGTCATTTCTAAGGGCAATATAGTGAAATATTGGACCAAGGGCCCAAGGTCCAATATTTCACTATATCGCTCGCAGAAATGACGTTATTAGTATTATTACTACCGTTAATGACCAGGGCTGAAATAGCAAGAAAATCTTACGCACTGAACGATATCTAATTTCCCGGGGAAAAATTGCCGGTCCAGAATATATTCTAGACCGGTCCATATGGACCACCACTATGACGTCACACATTTCTCAGGTCGATATAGTAAAATGAATGCCTTCTAAACTAGCACTAAACCCCTAGAACTGGCCCGACAAGGTGGTAATAATATAATATATCATTTGTGTTCTGGGAAACTCCTTTATGATCATTGATATACATACAGTATATTGATATATTCAATGAATAGTATTCATATTAGAACAAGGAGGGGGGGGGTCATTTAACAGTCAAAACAGACTGCCCTGGGCTCTTTCTGGAGAATATTCAATCAGTAATATATCCAACAATAGCCATCAAAATATGCTTGATACCCATTAATTTGGGTAAAAAAATGTTGAATATGTTCATATATTTGATCTTCCAAGGCAAACATATTAAGTAGTTTGTTCAAGCTGAATTTTTTAATCAAGATGGCTTGGACAAAATCGTACGAGCAGAAGAGTGAATGAATCATTTCAAAACTGAGTCCCAGGCTTCACTTGTAATTCAGGAGAAAGGGGGTCATATCAAACATTCTCTAGTTTAATGCATTAACTTTGTTGTTTGCACCTATAAACTTTTCATCAGATAAATAAGTGATTGAACAATACTCAGTAAAATTTGGGTGCATCTTAGAGGAAAAATAAAGGTTTTGTGTTCAATTAACAAATGTTCCAATTTTTTTGGACCACCCTGTAGATACTAGTACTCATTAAAGAATGAACACAAGGAGCACATGTGTCTCAAACTCACAACCTCGTGGTTTATAATTAAACTCAATCGATATTCAATACTCATAATACATCAGCATTCCTTGTAGATACTTGATATGGTACTCATAAAAGAATGAACATACGGAGCACACGTGTCTCAAACTCGCAGCCTCGTGGTTTAGGGTACCCATTCACTTAAGACCTCTTGGCCAACTCAACAACCAAAAAAGTTTGTTTCCTTCGCTGATCTGACTAGATAGAGGCTGCGGATTCAGTCTTAAATGATGTAGGATATATGAAAACTGTTGTGCGTAACATGCTAAAATCAGTTTTTGGCAAATATCTTGAGAACCATTGACTTTTTTAAATACATATGTATTATTGACCCCCTATAATAGGGCCATTCCGGACATTTTGAGTGGTCACACAACCTTCTATGTCCAACGGTTCCGGAGATGCAAAAATGGGGGGGGGAGTATTCGTGTAAAAAAGGGCGTGGCCATTTGACCTATTTCGCCTTCTGTGGCAAATATGTTACCAAGCCAAAATTGATCAATGACCTTCACATAGATGATTTCTGAAGAGAAAATCTCTGGACATAGAAGTGCATACTCAACCAGCATGAGCTACTAAAGTAATTTGTTCAATCTACAAGGCATAAAGGTCTGGTAGTAGGAGGAGATCTATCTATTCTCAGAAAAAGGTGATGAACTTATCAACTGCGATATGCATTTTGAACTTATTTAAAGGAAGCTCAAATTCGATGTACACATGCTGCTGTTGAATCGATGGGAGTTAACAACGGAGGCAAAGGTGGCGTTGTAATCTTCACAGCATCTATTACAGGTAAGCATTTAATAAAAATATGTAGCACATCTGAGAATTAGTCAGGTGAAAAATACGTAACAGTATGAAAAATATCAAATATGTTTTAGATCAATGATATCGATGTAACGTTAAAGGTTAATCCTTGGATTTGGTTGTAGAATCGTAATAAACAAACCTGACCTAAAATTGTTTACCCTATTTTGCCAAAAACCTTTCATAGTCAGAAGCTTGTGACATTTAAATGAAGCATTATTTGTGATTAAACCCACTTAGGTAACAACATAATAGAATGAACTATATTTCATTTCAAGAACGACCAGCTATAACAAAAATGAGAGCATCATTTGTCTTTTGTTTTTAAAGAATGTACACTTGGCAAAAACTTGGCAGAATGGCATAACATATGATTGACTAGTGCACTAACGCTGAACTAATTATACCCTATTCATTCCTTCAATCGTTGAACTTTAAACTGTTAACCCTGTTACAGACATTGCACTGAAGCTGAACTAATTAACACCAACTCAATTTTCAATACACTTTGCTCATTACAAAATAAACAGATTTTTTCATTAAATTGGATCATGGACCATTTACCTTTGATTAGACTCAGGGATAAGTGAGTGGTTTAAGTTAAACACTTATCTTTTATCCCTGACATAAATCTAATTGATTGAGCATTGTGTTGGTAAGGATTTAATCCCAGAGCTCAGTGAATTGTAGAACATGAATGAGTTCTGAGACGAGCCAACATTATTGTACAAGCAGTTATTTACAAACAATTATTTACAAAACAAATATATTTACATTAGTAATTTGACTATGTTTTACCACATGCATACTTTGCCACCAAGATGATTATTTGTTCACATACATTTTCATTTAACTGAATGTCAGTATTTGAACCTAGGAAAGTTTCAACAAAAACTTCTTCATCGCCATTCAATAATTGACAAGATGAACTCACGTCTAATGCCTTAAATCATCAAAACTTTTTTTAGTCATATGAGTAAATTATTTTCACTCATTGCAAAATATTCTGTACATTTTCACTAAACAATATCACTAAATATAAAAATTGACATTTTAGAAAAATAGAATGCATATCATATGTTGTATTCTACTTAATAATTACGATGTGATATATCATGCCTAGATAGTAGCTTATTGTGAATATATGATTAAGAAGACATTCAACAACTACTGCATTAAATGTTGCTTTAAACAGGAGTAATACCCTTCTCAGGAGCACCAGTGTACGGTGCAACTAAACATGCAGTGGTCGGATATGTTCGAGGTATAGCTGTAAGTGTACATTATGATTTTCGATAGCTTAAGAATTAAAGCATTATTATATTTAGAAATTGAACTGCTACGTTTTATGACCATATAGGACATTATCGTATCACATGATATCATGTATCATTTGAAGTGCGGTATATCATTTGTACTTTTCAATAGTTACGGAAAGTGGCCATGAAGCATCGTCAAGTCATTTTAATCGATCATGTACCTAGTGTTCAAAGATAGTAAATCTCGTAATCATCAAACATATATTTACATTTCATTAAAATACATACGAGGGGTGATCCATAAGTAATGGACGCTTTTTTACACAGATACTGTTTAAAGACCAATCCCTTTGATTTTACTACCAGTGATACGTCATTTAATTATCTATCAATTCTGAAGATTTGAAGACAAAATATATAATATATGTTGATGTATCCTTATTTCCGTTAAGGGGGTACAGGTACCCCGGGACTGACATTTACGTCACATATTCAGTTTTTAACCAGTTTGGCAAATTTCAGTTAGATCTGAACTTTTTATATGCAACAAGTGTTGTGTTGTTTGAAATTTTTTTCTCACTGATAACACATGAACAGAAAGTACTGTGACGTCAAAGTGTTGTATGGAAGGGGTTTGCAGGTCAATTTGAGAAAGCATTGTGGAAGAAAGGTGTGGTGAGAGAAAGGAACACCCTACTCTATATGGACAATGCACCTGCCCATAGATCTCAAAATGTTCAGAAATCAATACCCCTGGACCTCAAAATTGAGCCCTTGGCTAATGCACCATATTGTCCAGATCTGCTCACATGTGACTTATTTATTTCTATACTACTTATTTCTATAGAGAAAGGACGCAGGTTTATTGGCATTGATGAAATAAAACAACCCGTGCAACTGCATCTTACTACCATGTCAGAGAATGGATTCAGCCTTGTCTCACAATCTTGAGTTAAGGGGATGAGGAATTGTGTACACGTAGCACTTGTGGGAACCTATGTAGAGGGGCCTGTGGAATGAATGTGGCATGAATACCACATAGTGATGATAAAATATTCAAAATCAACTATGGTATAACAAAATGGGGTAATTCATGACCATAATGGTTTGTTTCGTTCAGCCTGCATTCATCTGCATTGCATGTTAAACAAGATAAAATAGCTTCAGAATGTTTGACGTCATGTCGGTCCAAGGGTACCTATACATCCTTCCGGAAATGAAGATATATCAAAATATACTACATGTTTTGTTTTCAAATCTTCAGAGTTGATAGATAATTGAATGATGTATCACTGGTAAGAAAATCGAAGGGATTGGTATTGATATAAAAAGCATCTGTGTAAAAAAGCGTCCATTACTTATTGATCACCCCTCGTATAGAGATTATTATTAGTATTATTAGATTGGAAAAAGTCCTGAAAATCGGTCCGTGCCTAGGGAAATCGTCATGGACAAAAATGTCATTATATCGGTGACCATGATAACAATAAAACGTTAAATCATGGATGTGTACATGTATTAATGAGGCCTCAACAATATATGAGAAGATTGCGGTACCTACCTTCAATATATGAACAGGATTGCTAAATTACCCTTATTTTATATTTGCAAAACATTTTGAATGACGCTTAAAGCTGCTGCGCAAGGTCAATTTTGCCAATTTCTCTCTTAATTCAAGTACCTGATTAATACTTACGAGAGAAATATAACATTGTAGCACATCTCATGTACAACTGAGGTCGCAGGGGCGGATCTGGGAACCAACAAGGGGGGGGGGGGAAATTTCAGGTCAGAGAAAAAAACGTTGCGCAAAAAAATTTTGGGCCCCTAAAACCCAAAAGTGGGCCAAAATTTTGAAATTTTTAGGCCCATTTTCTTCAAAATTTGGCCTGAAATTAAAAATAAGGCCTTAAAAGGCCCAGTTATGACCAAAAAGGCCCACTTTTTGGGGCCTTAAGGCCTTTTTTGGCCAAAAATATTTCTAGGGCCCAATTTTTTTTTCTGGGCCCACCCAAGGGGGGGGGGTGCCCGGGCCCCCAGCCCCCCCCCCCTAATCCGCCAGTGGGTCGATATCATATCATATCGATAAAGATCTCGTTTCTGTACTTGCTGAAATGAAAGCGAAAGTGCATCACCAAAAATTATATCTTGTCATGTCCCCTTACCTATTTAGCTCTCACTCGCTTTCCTTGGCGACTCCTACTCTATCCTGCACATCACACTTTATCCTCCACATAATATTTAACTAATATTCCCAAACAATTGTGCAAAATGAGCTAAAGAAATTAATTAAACTAAAACATGATTTTTTTTTTTTTAAGGTTAAGTTTTATTTCTTTGCATAATTTTATATAACAATATTTAACATACATATTAAACATGATGTATTAGTTTAGACCATTTTAAAACAATCTATAGTGGAAATAATGAGAATAATCGGAGAAATTATTTTCAGTGAGGAATTTAGCTAGGGGGCTCCTTTGGGGATTTTTATACGTCCGGTAAACATAGTTTTAAAAGCTTTTTGGTTCATTCTAGCATTCTAGCATTCTGAACTGTAGGCTCTTCAATACTAATCCACTTTATTATCGTAAGCATATGCTGTTTCTTCATTTTAATCTTTTAATAAGGTATTTTTGGCAAGAAAGACTGCCCCTTAATGTATATTTGTTTGCTGTGCATAGATTAATGACGTCACCAAATGTTGAGCACTCAAGAACACATAAAATTCGCCGCAAATTTTAAAAAATTGAAAAGTGTCCATTTCAAATGAGAATTCTCTGTTGTTCTGTTGTATTCAGGGTCATGGGCTGCCATTCTAGAAAGGTAAGATATTTATCTTGGGCCACTGGTTCAGAAATTGTCCTAAAAATGGCAGGCAGGCAAGCTTGCGTAGCAGCTTTAATATCTTACAATGTAGGTTATATTGTAAAATTGATATTTCAGTCATGTCCATCTTACAGTCAATGTGGACTTCGATTTAATTGTGTCTGTCCAAGCTTCGTTGATACACCACTTGTCTCAGATGCTGAGTTATTGACGTACTTTGATGCGGAATGTCGCGACACATTCGCCGCATTGAGAAACTCCGTAGATATGTTAAGGTAAGTGTATATTGACTTAAAGGTTGTACCTTATGATATATGACTACTTAAGTCGGACACTCATCAAATTCAAGTAAGAAACGAATTTGCACTTTGACCTGCAAATGCATTCCTGTGCATGAAAACTGAAATGAACCTCATACATCAATCACATATTAACCAGTTTAGCCTATATTAACCCATCGGTCCGATTTACTATGCGTGTTTGTCTATGTAAAGCAATGTACACTAGAAACTGTAGGACAATGTGTCAGTTTAGTTTATGGGTGAACTTTCCGGCAAACTAAAGCCAAGACTAGACTAGACAACGTATTGCGATAAAATGTTTACACATATCAGTCAAGCCAAGTCATCATTCGAAAATAAAAATCTCAAAAATCGTACATCTTTGATTTCCAAAATAATTTGTGAAGTGGTTATTAAGATAATAATACATCTTTTAACGTATTAATTTTGAGTACATCTTGAATCCATTCTCAACAAAGCGTTGTCGAAATAAGGATTCGAAATATTTGAGTTCGGGATGATAAAAGTACGTTAAGATATACCGCTCCTTAACAAACTCCTTTGGGAACAAGATATAGAATCAAATGCACATTCTTCTTATTTACTCCCTGACACATGCCAACGAATGTTACATAAGTTATTATCTCCGTTTTAAATAATTTTGTAAACGTTGTTCTCTACAGGTGCCATTTTTTATAATTGAAAAACAAAATTGAACATTTTGCATTTCTAAATTGATAAGTTTCTTGGAATACAACTTAACTGTTAACGATTTAAGTCATTAATAAAATTTCCCTCAGTGATCCCATGCTAAATAGACAGTAACTGGGTTATTATTTTATGTTCAACCTTGTTTTCATGACTTTTAAACATGAGTCGACAATTATGTAGGAAATTTCAATTCCAAATGTAAGCGTGTCAACTCCTGTTTTTGCACAAAATTTAGCCTTTTATAAAGATAGATCGCCAAAATCTGCATGTACCTCTCAATGAGGCGACACGTTTTTAAATTTATAGATGCTGAGCTATAAACTCAAACAAAAATTCAAACCACCCGCCATTATTTTGATTACACTAGACGAAATTTCCACTCCCGGGGAGCACTGTGGTAACACTTTGAAGGAGGATTCTTGAAAAATCGTTCGAATTCTCACAAAAGGTTTCACGCAATTTTATTGCTTTGTTTAAGCCTCAACTAAAATCATACTCAAATCCGATACCATAATTATAAATTAAAATGAAACATAAAACTCAGGTCAGGTTATATGATAAACCGTTCCGAGAATTGATGATTTGAGTTAACTGTGTATATTTAAATAAATGTAAGTTGGCATGTATTCGACAGTTAATGTAGACACATGATGTATGCATCCACGTGTGACTTAAATATCGATTCATGACTATCATTTTTGGCTTTCAAAAATTAAGTTGGAAGTTACAGTGGTTGGAGATTAACGAAAACGTCAATCACATCCGAATATCCGAACGACGTCAAGTATTAACAATACCCTTTCTGTGCATCTCGAACAAGGCATTTGTTTCCTCCATATCATGAGAAAATAAATGCAGTACCATCTTTCAATATTTGGAAACAAAAAGTTCATTCTGTATGTAAACAAGAAAAAATACATTTATGGTTGATTCATAATGAAAAATGACAAATAACATACATCTTTTTAAGCAAGGGTATACAGGGACATAGTGGAAATTCAGAAATTTAGGCCATATCCCAAAGACTGCTTCACCAATATGTAACAGAACATCAAATTTATCATTTACACGTTTGCTGATAGGTTTATTGAAAATAATTAAACAGAGGTTTACTTCAATTGTGGCACCCTTCTTAGTTAGTACTGATGAACATACGAATATCGAATGTTGACTAAGTTACTTGGCTTGACCGATATGTCAAAAAATGAAGAGCTAGAACGAGCACAACGAGCCAGAGAATAAATTCAGTAAACAGACCAGATATCCATAACCAAGGTTTAAGCACAAAAATGTCCAAACCTCTTTTTATTTTCACTTATATTTAAAGATAACTATTCCTTACCCTACTATCACACCTAGCTAGTCCTCACCCACGTTCTCGAAATGGGCCTCAACTGTGTACGAAGGATTGGCCGGAACTCCATTTAACGTACTCGAACGAGTAGGTCGTCTAGAACTTAGGGCATTCTCAAAATGTTCTAGTAGTCACCACATTCTGCAATCAGTTTTCCCACCAAACAAATTGCCACTGCGTTCCTCAAAAGGTTGTCGAACTGGTTTTAAACTGTGTGTGAACAGAACGAACGTGGCTGTAACGTTCTACGGTCTATTTACGAACTTTATGGACATGCTGCTCGGACGGGAAGGAAATTCAGAATTTTGAAATGATGATGCCAAAGATAACGTTCTGTGATTGGATCGTTTGACAACATACTTCAAACGAGATGACCTACAAGACTAGGAACGTAATTACCGTACTTCTACCCTACTAAGGGCGCGTTAACGACGTTCCGCAATCGGATATCAATTGCACTTACGTGTAACCCTACTATCGCACCAAACTAGTTCTCACTACGTTCTCGGAAACGGGCTTCAACTGTGTACGAACGGACTGGACGTACTTAGAACCGTTTGGGGTCTATTTACAAACTTCATCGAACGTACTCGAACGGGTAGGTCCTCTAGAACTAACATGCTCAAAATGTTCTCTTGGTCGTCAAAACTGGTTTAATCGGTGTGCTAATGGAATGAACGTAGCTACAACGTTCTACGGTCTGTTTACGAACTTCATGGGCTTTCCCGGACGGGGAATATGATTTAGAATTTTGAATCGATTCAAAATTCGATGGCGACTATACCGTTCTGTAATCAGGTTATGATGACCTTCTAGACTAAGAAACGCGTTATACGACGTTGCACACCGACGTGGTGCGACCTGAACGAACTGCTAATGAGATGGACGTATTGAAGACTGTTTATGAACGAAGTAGCTACTTATTTTAGACATATATCCCGACCACAGCCAGATTGAGCCCGTTTTACGACGTTTTCATAGGACTGGCAAGAACGGGTAAGATCTAGTTTGGTGTGATAGGGGGGTAAACACGGAAATAATGCGACCTGAACGAACTGCGAATGAGATTGAAGTATTGAAGATTGTTTATGAAAAAAGTAATTATTACCACCTTGCCGGGCCAGTTCTAGGGGTTTTAGTGCTAGTTTAGAAGGCATTCATTTTACTATATCGACCTGAGAAATGTGTGACGTCATAGTGGTGGTCCATATGGACCGGTCTAGAATATATTCTGGACCGGCAATTTTTCCCCGGGAAATCAGATATCGTTCAGTGCGTAAGCTTTTTTTGTTATTTCAGTCCTGGTCGTTAACGGTGGTAATAATACTAATAACGTCATTTCTGCGAGCAATATAGTGAAATATTGGACCTTGGGCCTTCGGCCCTTGGTCCAATATTTAACTATATTGCCCTTAGAAATGACGTTATTGTACTATTAATTGTTTAAGTCATATTTCCCGACCACAGCAAGATTTAACCAGTTTTACGACATTTCTGTAGGACTGGAAAGAACAGTTGAGATTAGTTTGGTGTGATAGAGGTTTAGAAATAGAAACCATCCAAAGACTACACGACCTACATATAGTTATTCACAATAAAGCGTTTATTTTTTATTCTTTCAGACCGAGTGATGTCGGTGTAGGTTGCATCAAGCTAATTGAAGACGACACGCTGAATGGCAAGGCGTTAGTCGTCAACCATGGGGACACTGGACATGGCGATGTCGTTGCATATATATTTGCAGAGCCACCTACAGACACAATAAAGTTCTAACATATATTAAATGTTATATTTCTAAAAGTATCAAACAAACTATTTTTCGTATTCGTTCGTAACACCATCACTGGGACATATGTGGCATCAGACATGATGTTTTCAAAATTTAATTTTCTCGAAACAGTATGTATCAACTTTCGAACTGTGAAACTACCTTTTTGGTGTTCATCATATACTGGATATGTGAAATATGCTTAACTTGTTCATGTCTTAACGTACGCGCACATTTTATTGGGATAAAATGAAAAGACACTCTTATACAATAGGTATATCAGTTGGTAAGACAGATAAACGTGATGTGATTAAAACCATATCGTTTATCTATATATCTAGGTCATATAGATATAACTTCCAATTTCGTATATCCAATATTATGATATATTATTATATTATGATCAATTATTGTAACGAATATCAACTATGTTCTATATTTGTATATCTGTAGAACTCATGGGTGAGAAATACAACAGTTTATGTCACATTTTGTCAATTTCTACACAAAGGAGCACATGGGTTATCGCAAACAATTTCAGACTCCCCTCCATAAGTTTGGCAACCTTTTTCCCCATTGAACTACGTGTTAAATTCTCTTTACGTTTGAATTTTTATTTACTTAACCGGCGATGAAATAACTTAAAATATTGATGGAAACGTAACTTGACTTTATTTCCAATACCTCCAAATTTTTTCAATTTTTTTCCTCAATTACAATAGATCGAAAATTGATGATGAAATTGATGATTTTTTGAAAATCGTCATTCCCATGTAATCCAATGGGAAATGGAGGGTTCGGGGCAAATCAAAAATCAGGATACGTTTTCATTAAAAGATTCAGCAAAAATATTTTTATATAGAAAATTGAATTGTCTAACTTTTATGAACACTAAGTGTTTAGTTTATTTGATGAATATTAAAGTTACAGCGCTTCAAAGTCATTTTTGAAAATAATATTTCGCCTCCTGTGTTATTTCAATGGGAGAGGTTTTTTGAAAAACAATTTTGACTTTAAAGCCTTATAACTTTGTTGAACCTGAAGAAACATATCAATTTTTTGTTAAATAAAGTTAGCAAATTCAATTGCCTGCCTAACTTGTATTTTTGCAAGGACTCGGATGGATGGATATGCTGTCATATGACTTGCGGCAAACTTCCCATTTCCCATTGGTTAACATGGGAATGTCAATTTTCAAAAATTCATCAAATTTATCATCAATTTTCGACCTATTGTAATTGAGGAAAAAAATTGAGAAAATTTAAAGGTATTGCAATTAAAGTCAAATTACGTTTCCATCAATAGTAGAAGTAATTTCATCGCAGGTTAAGTAAATAAAAATTCAAAGGTAAAGAGGCTTTAACACGTAGTTCAATAGGGGAAAAAAAGTTGCCAAACTTATGGAGGGGAGTGTATCTTGGATTATGACTATTTTCTGGCAATGAAAACAAGTTTATCTTTTAGATCAATTCATTATCTCAAAGAAAAGTATGCACAGTAATAATAAATTCAAACAAACTCGGAGATATTTAACGAGCAATTAACCCATCAACACACTTTTTCAAAGATGTTGACCCCATTTTCACCAAAAATGCAATCATTTTTTACAATGTTTAATGCATTACTATTCTTTATTTTGATGTATCAAATCGTTCTTGAAAGAAAAACTTAATTGCATTAAGATAAGTGTTCCCAATGTTATTTCTCCATTGAAAAATCTCATGCTATCCATTGGTTTCAGTTCATTTTGGTCATCCAAATTGAATATCTTTAAAGTCCCTGGAGCAATCAAGTTTTCCTTTTAGGAAATGGAACATGTCTCAAAGCACATTCTAATTATGCATTCAACAATCTAATAATAGGTTGCATTTTTTGTGAAAATTAAGTCAACATTTTTGAAAAAGTATGTTGATTGTCCATTGCCCTTTCAATATCACTTAGGACTGATTAACTAAATTATCATCATATATACTTTTTTTGAAGATAATGAATGGATCTGAAAGATACACCCATGTTCATGATCAGAAAATATTCATAATTCAAGTTAGAATCGTTTGAAATTGTTTGCAATAACCTACGTAAGTCAACTTTCATTAATACACTTGTCCCAAAAAGAGAGCTCGCAGTTTCATAGCATTCGACATTTTACTTTTTGGCATTTCATCTAGCATTGTATTTTATGTGCCCTATTATGCAGCCAACATTTTAAAACAAAGTGTTAAGCGTTTCCATCTCTTCCTTATAGCTTTCACAGAACCTATCTGTCATCGGTATCCCCTCCCATTCGCATTAGTTAACGCCCTGTCATACCATTAATCGCACCATTAAGTGACATATCTTTATGAATCTTGAATCTTTCCTAGCTATTGTCAACCATGGTTTCACACATGGGATAATTTCCTCATAGAAAGTTAGTTCTTTATACGTATTGGCCTTGCTTCTTCAACCATCAAATTCGTGATTCTTTATTTTATTCTGCACAGAGAGTTTTCTGGTCAATGTCGTTGGGTTTGTACCATTGTCCAGTATTTGATACACCATGTCAGTAGCGATTCAAAAGATCCATTATGTCTTGCAGCGGGGACAATTTGTTAAGTTTAGCACCATATCTATACAATGTAAATAGAAACAGTAACTGCCACAAAACACATCAATTTGGCGATAATTGTTGAAGTAATCGTATGCCATCCTAGCTGGGGTAGAACAGCTGCACCGGGGTGTGCAAAAAGGTAAAACTTGCATCTTTTTACATTTGCTACAGCATTCATAAAAAATGGTGTTCAAGGTACACTATCTATACAAATTATTTTTGCATCTTGGAAGCCAGGCAGTATCTGTGTGATTTTATAAAAATTCGGAAATGTTTTTCAGATATGAGCCCCCTCTAAATATTGGGTGCGGAGGAGCTCCATAAACGTACCTCCGCACCCAATATTTAGAGGGGGCTCATATCTGAAGAACATTTCCGAATTTTTATAAAATCACACAGATACTGCCTGGCTTCCAAGAGGCAAAAATAATTTGCATGGGTAGTGTATCTTGAACACCATTTTTTATGAATGCTGTGGACGCAGTATTAAAAGGATAGTCTCAAAATATATAGGTCTTGGAAATGTTAAAGGCATACTGCGTCGCTATAAAATGAATTGCACTACTATTTTCACAATTTTATTGATATTTGGTGTCAAATACACATATCTTGGTAAATGTGAAGTCCCAAAACGGCTTAGTTTCAGAAATATCCCAATTTTAAATTCAAAAATGACCGTTAGCTCCGCACCCTCCGCTCATTTGCGCCGCACCCAATATTTCCCACAGGCTCTGTCTGCATAGGGTGAATAAGTTAAAATGTATTTTCCTCACTAAACACCACTTCTACAATGGGTTTATCTCAATTTCAAGGCTGAATGCAATCATCAAATAAAGTCATTTAAAGAAATATACTTTAAAACCATTTTTATTTATTTTTTATAATGTACCCCCTCCCCACCTGGTAGGGGTGGGGGTCAGAGACTAAAAATCCATGAAGACCACCCCGCATCACTTGCCCCGAAATCATTTTTCACTCAGATCAAATGTTTCTACAGCTGTGCCAAGTTTGTTGCTCATTTCACTGCCTGGAGTGTTAGAGGAAATCTGGGGCTCCCTTTTCAAATATATCATTCTTAAAAGGTTGAGATAATTCGAATCGGGTCACTCTGCATTTAAACGTGAAATTAACGTGGAGCAGTCAAGACCTATCTATGGTCCTACGAACAGTTTTTTTGTAAATTTAAAGCGCCTATCAAAATGAAAATCGACGGAAGCGTGGCAATTGTGACGGGCGGTGCTCAAGGTGTTGGTAGAGGTATCGTAGAAGCTTTGTTGGGAAAAGGGGCTAAGGTAAGTAAACAAAGAATGTTTTCGTAATAGGAAAGTGAAACTAAGACGCCATTTTTAACAGCTTTAACAAGAAAATATAATAGAAAATATAAGTATAATTTCAAAGATACCAACGAAGTTACTCATCAACTGTTATGCTATGGAGTTAAATAGTACATATAGACAAAGTCAATTCTAAATGATCATCTTAGCTATTCAAAATCCAAAGAAAAAATAACCAACAAAAAATATAAATATGTTTTCTGGTATGTCCTGGATATCATAGAACAGTTGGAAACACACAAACTCATCAGGCTCTGACACGCCAAGCTTAGCGCAAACTTTGCATCCTAAAGGTCGCGGGTTCGACTTTATTGAGCTTGCAATGTTACACCATTCATCACTGAGTTATCTGCAATATTATATTTCATATTGTCTCGGGATGCGAGTAGTGGATGTTACACAAAAATGGTAACTATTCGGGTTGTAACGGCAACACCACCTACCGGTATCATTGTCATTTTGTTAAGTGGGAGTGGTCGATATAGCACATTCGAACATTTTCAAGCCACTGTAACTTTTTTATTTTCAATCTACATACACCAAATTTTGCAGTTAGGTAGTGCAAGGGGTTCTAAGTAATAATATAATGTAACAGGCCTTTTATTTTTGATCTAAAATAGGACTTCAATCGATCCGCCACCCTCTTTGTTGATAGCTTTTAGTCTTGGTCGGCTTGCTGATATAGCAGTGACAATGAAATGTTGGCTAAGTTTCTTTCAACTTGTCTTAATTACCAGCTTTAGTTGAGCAATTTTTGAGATTAGGTGCCTTCATGCCTTCATATCTCCTGAAGACCTTCCCATACCTTCTTCATACCCTATACTCAATTGGGTTTGCATCAGGACCATTGGCTTGGTGGTCATCAGGCTGTATCAGTTCGGGAACAATTTGCAAATTTTGTTTATTTCTCATGGCACACCACATATTTTGTTCAAATAAAAGTGAACAATTCATAATCCATGGCTAGATGGCAACCTCAAGTTTCATTTGGTTTGCATATTATGATTAAGTATCAGAAATTATCAAAGTTAAAGCATTTTGAAAAAATGGCTCTTTTGGCCCACTCTGTATAAACTGTTAACAAAGTTACCATTTCACCCGGGCTAAATTTAATTCTCTTTGAAAATGTGACTTCTAGGTCGGGGAGATTCCCCATAGACCCCATGTTGTAAAACTACAAAAAATGAAATATCTTTTCTTGTGTTGGGCAGATAATATTTTCTTTTACTGGACATATTTTAATTACAACTATCACAAACGTACATAAGGGTAATTTGAAAAGTGAACCACTAAAACTGATGCATATTCAAGTTTAAGGGAATTTTGTAACACCCTGCCATGTTATTTCCCCCTAATCAGCAACCTGGTGGCGAAACCGGTAACTACCGTCTCGCATCTGAGTAATTGTTTAATGGGTATTTATGCTACAGGTTTGCATCGCTGATATAAACAAGGCAACTAGTGAACTAACTGTCAAGGAACTCGCTGAAACATATGGTGATAAAATATTCTGTAAAGAATGTGATGTAACAAAGGATGCTGAAATCAGAGGTAATTAGTTAATCATTAGATTTAAAATATATTCTAGTTGCAATTTTCGTATTATATTCTTGAGTAATATAGTGGCATTCATTAACATCAACAAAGCACGTTTAATTTTAATTTGTTAATATTCTGTTAGTAAAGTTGAAAACGTAGCATCGGCTGAAACCGAACGGTAAACTTGGGTGGCTGATATATCAAAGCTACGAGGGGGTATCATTAATAAGTGAAAAAAGTACTATATACTTTTTAGAATTTGCTTTAATTGAATATGTATTTTTACCAAATGAACTCTTGATGGCATCCTGCATCCCCATATAGTTAACTCTAACATATAGTGGTTCGAGATAGTGGTTCCGAATACCACGCATCGTTATGATGTATTCATTGATGTTAGCATATTCCTTACATCTATCTCGATCCTAATGTAAAATAACAAGCTATGGTATTGGTAGCACGCCAGAATCTACGTGAAAATAAATGATTTCTACCCCCCCCCCTCCTAACGAGAGCTAATATCACAATTCAGGACCAGAACATCAATGTACATTTCATTCATGCTAAGGTTGAAGTCTTCCATGCTGAAGAAAATGATTGCCAATACTCATAATATTAAAAATAGTTGTAAACAATCCAAAAAAACGCAATAATTCACAATGGTCAGAGGGAAAAAAACATTGGCTTGTTTCGATCCCAATTTCTCAACCATTAATGTCATAACCTGGATCCAACTTAATAGGTACTAAGTGATAAAATCGTGAGTTCAATTCCAATTCCCTTGCAGCGCCATTCAGCATCTCCGGTGGTAAAACTTGAAACCTTGTTATTTAAAGACATACGCGTATTATATTTTTCAGCAAAGCCCAGAAAGGATTTATTTTTTGCGATTTGAGAAAATAAAGGAACGAATCGTTACTTCCGCAACGCTTATTTCGAACCCTGGTATATTTTTCAGCAAAGCCCAGAAAGGATTTATTTTAAGATTTTTACAAATATAACCTTGACCTAATAGTTTAGTCACTAAAATATGGTGTCTCGATTTAACATCTATATATTTTGAGCGCGCCCTGATGTATCTACAGTTATAAATATACTAGGTTAATTAATTGGAGGTTTTTGATACAAGGCTTATCTGAGGGAAATAAAATATATTAACCTGAGGGACCGTAGAGATATCTTGTTTAACACGATCAATAACAAAGCATTTAAAAATATTACGTCTTTTACACATTTCAACATTATAGCTGTTTTTGGTGTGGTACAGGACAAATTTGGCTCACGTGCTGACATAATGGTCAACAACGCAGGGATCTGCGACGAGTTCGACTTTGCTCGATGTGTGGCAATCAATCTAGTATGTATCAATACGCAACGATTTACTCATGTAATGTTTAATTAAGCTTAATTATAATTGTTTAATTTTCAAGGTTTACGGATCCGTGGTCAGAGATCTAGAAAAAATATGATCTGATCCTGTGACCGCTATAATCGATTTTATTTTATAATTGTATACCATATAGTTACATTAGTTGCCATGACATTATTTATTAATTTTGAATTGCATTTTGAACTTATTAATAGGAAGCTCAAATTAGATGTACGCACGCTGCTGTTGAATCGATGGGAGTTAACAATGGGGGCAAAGGCGGCGTTATACTATTCACAGCATCTATTTTAGGTGAGGATAATGAAAGAACACATCTGCGAATAAGTCGGGTGAAAAATACGTCACAGTATGGAAAACATCATATGTTTTAGATCAATGATATCGAATTAACGTCAGTACTTGGACTTAGTTTTAAGATCCCGAGAGACAACCCCGACCTTAAAACTATTCATTCTCTTAAGCAAAAGACTCTTACATCAGAAGGGCGTAAAACTTAAAATTGGACATTCTTTTTTGAATAAAACTAATTAATAAGCATTATTTAAGAATTCAATGAATTGTAGAAGACATTTAGCACGAATGTATTTTTGAGACTTTGAATGACAACGGGGGTATAAATTGAGATACACGCATACAATGAATACAAGTGCATTAAATCATCAAAATGTTTTAAATTCTTTGCACATATTGCAAAATATTTTGTACATTATCATTTTTGAGAGGGGTTGTGAAATTTTGACATTTTGAACTGTATGAGCATCGTCATCAGATGATTGGTATATAATATGATACCGTATATAACTTTTTGCTCAATTGCCATCTCGAAAGTATTCACTTGATGCGTATCATTTATATTACTGATTTTAAAAATAAACATTTAGATTGAAAGAAATAGAATGCATATTGAATTATATAGTGCATTCTAATTGGTTGCAATGCGATATATCATGCATAGCTTGCATTAATGTGTAAATTATATCAGAAAAATGCATTTATATGATTAATATAAAAGATACAAGCATTACAAAATACCCCCTCCATAAATTTGGCAACCTTAGCTCCCCCATTGAATTACGTGTTAAAGCCTCTTTACGTTTGAATTTTTATTTACTTAACCTGCGATGAAAATACTTATAATATTGATAGAAACGTAACTTGACTTTATTTCCAATACCTCCAAATTTTCTCAATTTTTTCCTCAGTTACAATAGGGCGAAAATTAATGATAAATTTGATGAATTTTTGAAAATCGACATTCCCATGTTAACCAATGGGAAATGGTAGGTTTGCCGCAAGTCATTTGACAGAATTTCCATCCATTTGTGTCATTAAAAAAATACAATCTAGATAGGCAATTGAATTTTCTAACTTTATTTAACAAAAAATTGATACGTTTCTTCAGGTTCAACAAAGTTATAGGTCTTTAAAGTCAATTTTTTTTCAAAAAACCTCTCCCATCGAAATAACACAGGAGGCAAAAAATGATTTTCAAAAATGACTTTGAAGCTCTGTAACTTTAGTATTCATCAAGTAAACAAAATACTTAGTGTACAAAAAGTTCAATTCAATTTTCTATATAAAAATATTTTTTGCTGAATGTTTTACTGAATAGATATTCCTGATTTCTCATTTGTCCCTAACCCGGCACTTCCCTTTGGTTTACATGGGAATGACGATTTTCAAAAATTCATCTAATTTATCATCAATTTTCAACCAATTGTAATTGAGGAAAAAATTGGGAAAATTTGGAAGTATTGGTAATAAAGTCAAGTTACCCTACTATCACACCAAACTAGTTCTCACGACGTTCTCGAAAACGGGCTTAAACTGTGCACAAACGGATTTGACGTACTAAGAACCCACTAAGAACCGTTTCGGATCTGTTTACAAACTTCATGAAACTACAGTGTGTCTCAAAAAAATGTTACACTTACAAAAAGTTCAATATCTTTCATGATTTTGACTTTTCCCCTAACATATACTTAGATACCAAAAGACTTTCTCGAATAAATCCACTCCCGCAGATTCAAAATCCGTCCAAGATTGGCTGCACAGGACATATTTTATAGACACATGTGAAATCTGATTTGCGCCAACTTCTCAGTGGTTGGACATATGGTGATAAATTATTGTTTGGTGTGAATGCTGTGGACAGTGATATATTGATATGATCAATGACCCAGTTGTTTCTTTCCTGGATAGAAATACAAGATTTCATTGTCAGAGTGTTCAATTTTGTTAAGTATGATGGCACCAGGATGGTGCAAAGGCCTGTGGCAGATCGTTTGGTAGAACTCTTTGGAAATCAGAAGATAGCATCGAATTACCGGATGGATTGGCCACTAGGGTCATCCCACTTTACACCCTTGGTTTTTTGAAGGGCCTCTGAGAGCGCTTTACAGCATCAGAAACTGACCTAAATGAACTTCTACAAAAATAATTGATAGAATCAGTGTGATATTACAGTGCATGTTCGCATGGGCAGAATACCTCAGATTTGCTTTGGAGGACATGTTTAGGGGACCACATGTTTATGTGGATAGACCCAATGATCATAGGTAAGACAAAAAGGAAAATTACAGAATAACTAGTTAAAGGTCAAGCTTCTACTCAGAAGAAAGTTAAATATTAATTTAAAAGAAACTGTTCCTTTTTTCTCATTTGGTCCATCCAATCACTTAGAAGTTGGCGCAAGTCAGATTTCACCATGGGACGCTAAAAGCTGTCCTGTGAAGCCGATCGATGACAGATTTTGAAGTCGATGGTGTCAAATTATTCGAGAAAGATTTGTCTTTTGATATTCAAAGTATGTTTTAGGGGAAAAATCAAAATTATGAAAGATATTGAACTTTTTGTAAGTGTAACATTTTTTGAGACACACTGTAGTAGAACGAGTATGTTCTCCAGAACTTAGAGCATGTGTTATATTTTAGCTTTTAGCTACGTATGAATGATTTAACCCTACTATCACACCAAACTAGTTCTCACTACGTTCTCAAAAACGGGCTTAAACTGTGCACGAACGGATTTGACGTACTACGAACCCACTAAGAACCGTTTGGGATCTGTTTACAAACTTCATGAAACTACTAGAACGAGTAGGTCCTCCAGCACTTAGAGCATGCTCAACATTTTCTAGTGATCATCAAAACGTTGCCGAATCGGTTTTAAACTGTGTGCGAACTGAATGAACGTAGCTACAACGTTCCACGGTCTGTCTACGAACTTCATGGACTTTACCGAACGGGGTATGTGATTTAGAATTTTGAATCGATTCAAAATTCGATGGCGACCATACCGTTCTGTAATCAGGTCATGATGACCTTCTAGACTAAGGGACGGTTTATACTACGTTGCACACCGACGTGTTGCGACCTGAACGAACTGCGAACGTGATGGACGTATTGAAGACTGTTTATGAACGAAGTAGCTAATTATTTTAGACATATATCCCGACTGCAGCCAGATCGAGCCCGTTTTACGACATTTTCGTAGGACTGGCAAGAACGGGTAAGAACTAGTTTGGTGTGATAGGGGGGTTACATAAAACAAGAAGTAGTGTTCCATGTTTATTTAATGTTCAGGATTAATCCTACTCTACGACAATAATTATATTGATTGAATCCTGGTTCTCAACTTATGTTGATGGTTTTTAAATAATTTAGAATTTTGATAGAAAGTTACGTAGTTTTGAAGTTTATATCTAAATGGAATGTTAATGTTGCTTAAACCAAAAATATCCGAAAAGTGATTCTAGACTGAAAATATGCTATCTTAACCAGATTCAAAAGAATGTTAAGACCGCCTCTTTTCCACATAAGGAATGTTCACGAAAGTAACACTCTTAAAATTTGAACCATACAATACATGCTCAACATTTTCTGGGGATCGTCAAAACGTTGCCGAATCGGTTTTAAACTGTGTGCGAACTGAATGAACGTAGCTACAACGTTCTACGTTCTGTTTACGAACTTCATGCACTTTCCCGGACGGGGAATGTGATTTAGAATTTTGAATCGATTCAAAATTCGATGGCGACCATACTGTTCTGTAATCAGGTCATGATGACCTTTTAGACTAAGAGACGCGTTATAAGACGTTCCACACCGATGTGGTGCGACCTGAACGAACTGCAAATGAGATGGACGTATTGAAGATTGTTTATGAACAAAGTAGCTAATTATTTTAGACATATTTTCCCGACCACTGCCAGATTGAGCCCGTTTTACGACGTTTTCGTAGGACTGGCGAGAATGGGTAAGAACTAGTTTGGTGTGATAGGGGTGAAACGTTTCCATCAATATTATAAGTCATTGCATGTTGATTTAAACAGGAGTAATACCCTTCCAAGGAGCACCAGTGTACTGTGCAACTAAACATGCAGTGGTCGGATATGTTCGATGTCTAGCTGTAAGTGATCATTATTTTGTTCGATAGTTAAGAGTTAAATGATTAAAAAATACAAGATATATGTCAAATTATTATTCTTTTAACCGAATTTAACCGAACCTTTGAACTAGTACAATTTATAACCATACAGTACCCTATCTTTTCATAAATCTATATCATTTGAGATGTAGTATGGATTGCATTATTAACTAATAAACGCAAGTGCGGTGAACCATTATCAACAAAGTTTTTAACCTTAAATCTTGTCGCGCATATTTCTCTTTATATTTCTTCTTTCTCATATTTGAAATATTTTGACAAAATGATGATTAAAAAACAAAAAAGAATACATACTTAAGATAATCACAAAATTGAATAAATCTATGTTAAAATAAGGTAATCTTCACCTAATTTTGGTTATGTCTTCATCTGCCCGGCACAGTGTCTATCTCAAGACACTGCATGTGAGTTCGATACCGAGGCCCAATTAGTCCCGTACATTCAGCATATCACAAGGAGAATATTCTATAACCACGTGTTTAATGCATTTTACCAACATAGTAAACGATAGAAAAGATTCACGAATGTGCATAGAGATAAAAGAAGCATAGGCTAATCAAAAGTAAAGATCACCGGTTAATTACTTAAAGATCACAGCTTAAATTGGTCAAAGTCGGTCCGTATACACTGTAGGGAAATCGTCCTCGATATATAACTTGTTTTTTTGACATAAATGATATGGACCAAACTCACTGGTGATCCACTCGATTACGCGAACCGTTTTGGTAACAAAATGTCGGAACGTCGAAGGCACGATTTTTCTCTTTTCCTGTTGTAGGCAGAATTTTAGGCCCCGTTTTGTTGAAATACCATGTTTCTTAACTCTTAAAAGGCAAGGTGTGAGAGTAAATATACAGACCAATTGTTCTGTCCCGGCTATTATTTAATTCATTTCACTTATCTTTAGTATATGCAAAATATTTTGATGGCCCTCGTATCTTATGTTCTGTTGTAACATTGATTTTTCAGTCGTGTCCATCTTACAGTCAATGTGGACTCCGATTTAATTGCATCTGTCCCAGCTACGTTGATACACCACTTATCTCAGTTGCTGAGTTATCGAAGAATATAGATGCGGAATGTATTGACGCAGCCATTGAAAAGAGAAATTCTGTAGATCTGTTAAGGCTAGTGTATATATGTTATTAACTTAAAGGTTGTACATTTTGATACATGATTTGATAAAATTGATATAAACCTTATTCACCAATCACATATTAACAAGTTTGATCCTATATTAACGCATTAGTCCGATTGGACTATGAGTGCTAGTGCTAGCCTGCCTAATGCAATGTACACTAAGAACTAGCAAAATGTGACAGTCCCAGAACTCATGAGAATTTTTTGAGGGAGATATGAGGCATGGATGATTTTTCTTCAAATTTGGTACACTTATTAAATACACTTTGGGGAATAACTGACATGAATTTCAGGCACATATCTCTTATATTTCCGAATTTATTGACATTTGAATTCTGCATCGCCACAAACCCCGGAGTTATCGGGAAAATACAACAGTTTATGTCCCATTTTGTCAATTTTATACAAATTCTCAACTATAAAACCAACGTTTTTTGTATGAGCTTAGTTTAGCATTTTTCTCATATTGATGATTCACTTTGATAAAATGATATATAAACTTTGATAGAGACCCAATACATCAACATATTGTACATTTGGTTAGCTAAAATATCATAATGACATGTTCCTGAGGGACTGAAAGAAATGTCCCCATTTGCTAGCGAATATGATCTTGCATATTGACAATGCACCAGTAAATAAGTCACTACATGCAGGTCAGTAGTGCATCCGATTTACTTTCTATTGAGACTTCACAGTATATAGTAGCTCCATATACTTGCCAGATTTTGCTCTTCTAGACTTTTGATTTCTTTGGGGACCTTAAACAAAGATAAGTGAGCCATGTCACTGAAACGGAGGATGAATTGAGTCATGTCGTTTCAGAGGACCCTACAAAATGGCTATTGGACGATTTGGGAATGTGTATATAGAGTAGCTGAAAAGACGACATCAACTGCAGATAATATGCTTTTTTTATATTGTATTTCTTTATTTCAAATTATTACAATAAACAAAAATACATTAGCGGCTTTGTAAGGTACATTATAAGCCACTTTTAGGATGATGATTCACAAAACTAGGTCTGCAAATGATCTGATAGTAATGATACTATTAAGCATAATAGGTCACTAGACTGTCTGGGGTCCCTCAACACAGTTCCTGATAAACACTGCACTCAACTTCAAAATATCAATGTTTTGCTCTTTCTTAAGTGTTTCGTGGCCATAAAGAATAAAGTTTAGTTTTTCCTGCCTGTTCTTACATAAATTTCTGTATCCAATATTTAGATCACAGAGTTGTTGTTCAAAAGTAATAAAATAATTCTGTCGAATGGGACAGGAGAAAAACACATGAATTGTGGTTTCATTTGTGTGGCCACAAGCACAATCTGGCGAAAGAATATTTACAAAGTTATGTGCATGTAAATGAGCTTTAAATATAAAATCCACTCTTATTCTGTTTAAATAGATTTCAAGTGATCTACTGACATTGATATCAGATGCCAAAGTTATGTTTGTGCTCATCAAACTCTTTGTCAATGCCCTCTTAAAGGAATGTATGTTAATGCACTCTCTTAAAGTTGGCTCAAGTGAGTTCCACTCTCCTAAACAAGAAAAAACACATGATCTATTTTGGATTGATGATCTTTTCGCGGGGATGTGATATGGTAAGGTTAATCTTAGATCTCTTATAGGTGCTCTTTTAAACTTTGCAAAAATAGAGCTAACATAATTCGGAGCATTACCCTTATTAACTTTAAAAACTAGGAACATCCTATGTAATTTCCTACGGATTTCGAGTGATGGCCAATTTAAAGTATGGAGTGTTTTGATGGTGGATGATCCGTGGATGACACCTGAGCAAATCACAGCAGCTTTATAATATAATTTATCCAGGCATTTTAGAGTCAAGGAGTTTGCACAGCCATAGAGTATATCATATAAGTCAAAATGTGGCAAAATGTAAGAATTAAACATGAGTTGAAGATGTTTTCCACTGAGTTTTTTTGATAAACTTTTCAAGTGGTTAAGTAGCTTGTCAATTTTGTTTGAGGCCTGAATAATGTGCGGTTCAAACGACAAATTCTGGTCAAAAGTAAAGCCAAGGTGCTTATGTTCATTGACTTTAGGAATTATATCACCACCAAGTAACATTGGTGGAGTTTTTAACTCTGATTTTCTTTGGTCAAAAAAAGTTAGTTCTGCACTTTTGCTGGCCTTAAATTGCAATCTCCATTTTTGTGACCATTCATAAATATTATTAAGGTCAGTCTGCAGTAGAGCCATCTTATTATTTAGATCATGCTCTTTGAAGGATTGATAAATAGAAGTGTCGTCAGCAAATAAGTAACATTTTGAGCTAATATTGTCGGTAATATCATTTATATACAAAAGGAACAGTAAAGGGCCTAAAATAGACCCTTGAGGCACTCCTGAATTTATATAGTTCTCATCAGACCATTTAGATTCTTGGCCATCGATCACAACTCTTACCCTACGATTTTCCAGGTAAGATTTAATTAGGAAACAGATATTTTCCCCAAAACCATAACTTGCAAGCTTACTTAATAAATGAATGTGCGGCATTGAATCAAACGCAGCTGAAATATCTAGGAAAATACTTTTAACATTGTTACCATTATCTAAGCAATCTGTGATATAGTCAATTATGGTTAAAAGCTGGAGCTGGGTTCCATGACCAGGGATAAATCCACTTTGTAAGTTGTAAAGAAGGTTCTGATCCTGAAGAAATTGAAATAATTGATTAAAAATAATTCTTTCCGTAACCTTTGAAATACAGCTTAGTAGTGTGACCGGTCTGTAATTTGAGGGAGTATTCTTATCGTTCTTTTTGTGGATTGGTGTGATATTACCAAGTTTCCAGCATTCGGGGAACTGGTTGGTCAAAAATATTTTATTGATTAATTTAGACAAAGGAAATGCGAGAGCAGGTGCTGAAAGTTTAAGCATCCTATTACTGATCTGATCAGGCCCAGATGCTTTATTAATATTTAGAGACATCAAAGCTATATAAACCTCATCTCTATTTGTTGAAAGTATATCAAAAGATGCATTTGTACGTTTTTGGTCAAGAACAACAGGGTCAAAATGATCGCCGATGTGAAAACTTTTAATAAAATGAGCTAAAAATATATTTGCCTTCTCTTTACCAGTCATTACATTTTCGCCATTTTGGTCGACTAAGACAGGAATAGAGCTTAAACGTGTCCCTGTAAATAATCTTGAGGCAACATTCCAATATGATTTAGATCCAAACTGTTGGGTTTCCATTTTATTTATCATGCGTTTTTCATGCTCATCTTTTGCTTTAGAGATTGCATCATTGACTATGGCACACTGATCTTGATACTTTTGATAATGTTCTTGACTGTTAGAGTGTCTGAATTTGTAATGGTATTTATTTCTTTTGTTAATCTGAGTTCGAATTTGATCATTAAACCATGGTTTATCATTTGATTTAACTTTAATAAGCTTGTTGGGAATACATTTGGAATATATATCAAATAAACAATTGGAGAAATTTCCACCAACATGGTTCATGTCATTTGAATTTTCGATGATATTGCAAAGGTTACTGTCGCGTATAGAGTCATTTAACACATTTACATCAACATTAGAATATTGCCATATTCTCCGAAAATATATTGGATTTTTCACAGTGCCCATTAACATTTCAAAACTTAGGGTACTATGATCTGTGTTGCCTACTGGAGGCGTTACAGTTTGAGATACAATCATGTTAGGAATGTTAGAAATCAGGAGATCAATGCAAGATCTGCTCGTTAACGTAACTCGCGTTGGTTCATTTATCAGTTGTGTCAGGCCAAGAATTCGCAATGAATTTAGTGATAATATGCTATAATAACTCTGTAGAGATACGTTAGCTGAATGTGTATGATCCTATTGACTAATGTACTGAAACACTGAAATAATTCAATGAACACAATGCTATTAGAGTAGAGAAGTTGTGTAAATATTATCAAAATGTGACGTAAATTGTTGTATTTCTCCGACTACTCCAGGGTTTGTGGCGATGTAGAATTCAAATGTCAATAGATTCGGAAATATAAAAGATATGTGCCTAAAATTCATGTCAGTTATTCCTCAATGTGTGTTTAATAAGTGTATCAAATTTGAAGAAAAATCAGCCATGCCTTATATCTACCTCAAAAAATTATCATGAGTTCTGGGACACCCTGTAAGTGTCTGGGTGAGATGTAGCGTTGCAAATTAGTTTCTATTATAATATAATCATATTAGAATTGAATTAACTTACAACTAAGAGAGAAAAATAATTTAAGAATTATTTTATTACAAATAGACAAAAGCAAACGGTTTGTTTTAATTTCATCAAATTCTATTTCCTTGACTTTCTATCTTGAATTTAAAACATACATTGCCCAACTTGTAACGTTTGGGTACATACAAGGTATTAATTTGGTGGGAAACTAAGATCAAGACTAGACCACGTATCGCGATAGTGTATTGAAGAAAATGTTGACACATATGTTAATTGAGGAGCTAGAAAGCGCGCAACAAGCCAGAGAGAAAACATCCCCGAATTCAATCCCTCTTTTCAATTTCACTAATATTTGAAGATAACTATTCCTTAAAAAGAAACCATTGGAAGACTACCTGTCCTATACAGTTATGCACAATACAACGTGTCACTTTTATTATTTTAGACCGAGTGATGTCGGTGTAGGTTGCATCAAGCTAATTGAAGACGACACGCTGAATGGCAAGGCGTTAGTCGTCAACCATGGGGACACTGGACGTGGCGATGTCGCTGTATATTCGTTTGCAGAGCCACCTACAGACACAATAAAGTTATAACCTTTTATATTTCTAAAAGTCTCAAACAAACTATTTTTCGTATGTGTTCGTAACACCATAACTGGGACATATGTGGTATCAAACATAATGTTTTCAAAATTTAATTTTCTCGAAACAGTATATATCAACTGTCGAACTGTGAAACTACCTTTTGCTGTTCATCATATACTGGATATATGATATATGCTTTACTTGTTCATGTCTAAACGCACGCGCGCTTTTTATTGGAACAAAATGAAAAGACACTTTTATACAATAAATACGTGTAGGTCTATCAGTTGGTAAGACAGATATGCGTGATGTGATTAAAACCATATCGTTTATGTATATACTATAATATCTAGGTCTTATGGATATAACTTCCAATTTCGTATATCCAATACTATGATATATTATTATATTATGATCAATCACTGTAACGATATCAAATATGTTCTATATGTTTTCCTCATATTTATAAAACATTGCAAACGATTATATACCAATTCTGATAGAGACCCCATACCTCAACTAATAGTATATTTGGTTTGATAAAGGATTATAGGATCAATTTCCTTAGGGAGTGAATGAAATGTCCCATTTGCCAGGCAATATGATTTTGCATCTTTAAAAATGCACCATTGCATGGGACACTTCATGTCAGGATTTCATCCAATCTAATTTCTATTGAAACTTTATATACAGCTCCATACATGTCAGAGTGCACTACAAGACATTCATTTCTTTGGGGACCTAGACTTTTGGGCCATGTCACTCGAACAGAGGTATAATTGCTTCATGTTGCTTCAGGAGTAATCCACAATGTCAATGCATTAAACTGGCCATTACTTTAGTCATTTATTAAACAAAGGTTGTTCATTTTAATACTAAGGTTTACGTATATTTTGTAATAAACTATGATTACACATTGAGTATTCTTCACTGTAAATGATTATTCTTGCAGATACCACATCATAGCTCGCATGTATTGTTCACCGAACACAGGCTCCGTATATGCAAATAGCCTCATTGTTTTAAGAAAATACGAACCCATTCTGACATTCCAAGTTTAAGACAAATCCGTGCAAACAAACAGAGAACCTATGACAATCTTCGGATACTTCAAGACTGCCTTCAGTTGTGCATTCATTTCGTTCAGTGCTAATTACTTCGGCAATAATCGTGATCTCATCATCGTCGTTATAATTGTCTTGTTTTTCGTTATCGAAACCGTTTGCTTTTTCTGTTGACAGCACATCGTAATCAGTGGTTGTACTATCCATCGCTTCATGTGTACGATTCGTATTGACGGTCTCATCAATTTGAAAATCAAGGTTATCAATGTTCGTTTCTTCTACAATATTTTCTTTGTTGTTAGAATAACCATCGGGTTTATCCGTGGAGTTTTCGCCGTTTGTTATATTGCCATTCGCCGTATCACCGCTTGACATATCACTCCTCTCTGAGATATAGTCCTCGCAGTTTCCAGGCTGACAGAGTAACGATGTCGCGTTGAAGTATGTGTCACGTGGGCATTTCTTCAAGGACGTGACAGTCTCGTTAATGCATTGGAGAAACATGTTACAAGAACCTCTGAATGCAATCCGCATGGTGTCCATACACACTAAAAACAAAATTAAAACAAACATATTATACAAAATGAACCATAAATATACGAATATAACAGTCGATCACATTATGTTTCAATATTGTTTTTTCCAAATGCTTTTATCTGTCACACATATGCAGTTACCTCAGAAAAGCAATTCTTGCGACATGATAAGTAGTACGTTTATGCGAATCAAAATAATTCCATGACATACGACGTCAAATATGACTAATTCACAGAACTGTATTTTACCTTTGAATTTTGTCGAGTGCTAATTCTAGGCTAACATCGTGATTTCAATAACAAATACTTACAGCTCCTTTCGTTGCTATCAGGATCTTCTTTTGGATTATCAATGGTGTGTGTGTTCCCAAGGTCATCCGTTGTATTACGACTGGTATCTACAGCGCTGTCATATTCGGTTCCTTCAATCGCCTTGACTCCCGTCATCAGTTCATGGTCGAGAGATATATTGCATTCAACTCTATCTGGGTGATCGCACATGTATATCCGGTTACTAAATAGCAACCCAGCCGGGCACTCATGACGTATTCGGGTAGACAAGATACACTCGTAAAATACAGAACAGTTGGTCGGGTCCCTGAATACGCCATCATGAGGACATTGGAAGTCTAAAAGGAATGATAATCAAATGACAGTTACTTATGTCACCACTAGAAGTAGTGAAATATTACAGTTAGTCTCGAACCTTTTATGGCCGGTTTTCGGCGGTTGGTGGTCGGAGTTCGGCTGTTAGTGTTTGGCGTTCGGCATCTGTAGCATCATTCCGAATCGGTTGTCGGTATTCATACTTTGTGATTTTGGACTATGGTGTCATGTACACAACATTCTGATTATATGCTTTAAATATGATTATCATAATGCAACTTATTTACCATGCGTATCATTCGATTCCAATTCATTCGAATTATTAACTTTAGCAACAGCATCAGCATCATCGTCCAACATGCCCAAGTAGGTTTCAGTGTCACAATCAGCTGAGTTCCAGACAAAGTCGCATGCATGTATATCAGAATTATAGACTAATCCATGAGGACACGTCATAGCAAGCAGGTTGCCATTCAAACATTCGTAAAATATGCTACAGTTTCTAGCATCGCGGAAGTAACCGTCGAACGGGCACACTAATTGTGATTCCACCGTACCTAGAAATGAAGTCGGGTCATCAATTAACGCATTCAAACATCTGAACGATACCGTCTTACCAAAGGCTTCTCTTTATATATTCGTACCAAATTACATAAATTAGCGATTTCTTAATTATATGCATTGTATATGGTCACGGTTTAAAATGCAAAATTCAGCAAAGAGTCTACTATAACTGGCAAGGTGTCGATACTTCAAAGCAAATGTATATAATATATTATGCAGTCGCCATTCAGGTTTTGGAGAACACGACTCTAAGATAAGCAAGCTGTCATTTAAAGTTCGCTCAAAAAAACTAGGCACACTTGCGCTACTCCATTTTTGCACCCGTCGAATTGCTAATGTTTGGATATTAAAGCAAATGACCAATGTCATCAATGCCTGACCATATATGGAATTTGAGAAATATTATATTTGAAACATAACCATGCTTTAACAGGCCATTGTGAATCGGTGTCACCTAATCAACTAAGGAGGGAAGTGTAATATTTTTACCATTTTGTCTGGGGTCGTCCGGTTGGTCATCAAGTTCAACCGGCTCTGTGTTGTTCCATGTTCCATTAACACAATCAAGCACGTTTTCCATGATGTCACATTGTTCAATAGAGGGGTTGAAGTAATATCCTTTCGGGCATTGGAGTTCGTACCGGAAGTTCGTAACGCATGCGTAGAACTTGCCGCATTGCTTCGGATGTCTGTATGTGTCGCCCGTGTTACAGTCTTCTTTACCTGGAAATGAATATTTATTACAATAATTTTTGTTTAAACGTACTTTCTACAAATTTAGTTTAGTTGTTTCATTCTAAAGTTACAAATAACCACATACCAAGTCCCAATAATGCCTTTTTGATCGCATCAACTGGTTCACTCAACCTTTCCAATGTATTAGGATTTTCACTGTGTTGTTCCGTCAGTTTCTCACGATTGATATCATTGGGCAGACATTCAGGAACATTATACGCACTGTCACACTGCTGTGTTTTGCTGTTGTAGACGTGCCCATCAAGGCATTCCATACGGTAACGTATACCTAAGGCACACGGACAAATACATGATGCAACGGGCTGATACAACATGCTTTGGGCGAATTTTTAAAAATGTATGAATACCGTGAGGATCCTAAACTCAATTACGTTAAATGGACCGATAATGTATCGCAGATACATTTTACAACTATGGCAATCATCATATTGCAAGGATTTCATCAGATAGTGAAATGAATTTATTATTAATGAACTAAAATCGAATACCATGGGCACATATATAGTACACAGAACAGTCCTCTTCGTCCTTTGTATAACCATCTTCGTCACAACGATGCATTTCTGGAAAAATATGTGAATAAACACTTATCATAACATATGCCAATTAACTTCATTAATTTAGGTATCAATATGTTGAAACACACAGTAAAACCTGTTAATTCGAACACCCATCTTATATGAACACTTCTCAATATGAATGATTTTTCGGCACCATCTTTTATTTACATGGACATCCTTGTTAAGGACTTTTGACTTGTCGCAATTTCGTTCAATTAAGACATTACTGTACTTTGATATAAAAAATAACTGATTCTGAATTACAATTGGTAAACCATGATTCTTATCGTGTTATGGTTCAACATAGAATGTAGTAGTACAGCGTAAATGTGAAGCAACATAGACAATGTCGAATTGAGATCATGTGCTCCTGGAGTGTAACTTACCTCTTAAGGCAGATTCAATGTCCAAATCGGCTTTATCATCACCGAAGTCGGTTTTGATCTCACTAACATCTTCAACATTCGCTGGTGATGTCGTAAAAGTAGCATTTTCTTCATCTGTGACGCTGCCACGTTTAGTAGTGAATATAGATGTCAGAATGTTCTGTGATGGTATCGTTGGATCATTAGAGGGGAGAATTCCAGTACTCGTACACTCTGGTACTTTATATATAAAATCGCATGCTCCTTGTTGTTTACTGTATACGTAGCCAAACTTACAGAACATGGCATGAGCAGTCCCGTTGATGCATTCATAGTACTTTCTGCAATCGTGTCTGTCACGGAAATACCCAGTCCCACTGCATTTCATATCTGAAAGGAAAATCTTGTCTGCACTGGATTTCACTTTTGTACATATTAATGATTGATGTGTACTTTGTTTGCATTAGTTACCACTGTAAATTTTGGATTATTCCGTTTGTTTCATGGATATTTATTTCTTGATTTCTATCACCAACATGATTTTTGTTCTCTCTATCACCGCTCTGTCTTACCTGTATTAATGCCCGATTGGTATTCACATCCTGGTACCCTAGATGGGTCAACACAATGGCCATGTAGTATGCTAAACGCCAGGTTATCTGGACACGAGAATCTGTACCTGTTGCCGTTTTCACAAACATAAAATGTCGTACAGTCTCCTTTATCACGGAGAAAACCATTGTAACATTCAGCATCTGCATCTGCATTGAACAAAATTTACAACATAAATCGAACTAGAAGTTACTAAGTGATACACATTAAGTTCAACATAACTCTTATATTATACGATTTTAAAACTATAAAGATTTACCAGTTTTGGGTTGAGGTATAGGTCGAGGTTCTTGCATGTTGTCCGAATCAATCATATTTGGTGGTTCTTCCTCTTGGTATTCCGGTATATCTCCATCGGTAGATATTCTCGATGTTCTGTCCGACTCTACATTGTTAGTACTTGTTACAGCATCACCGTTCGAACCATCTTCTGTGCTTTCAGGGAATGTGTCTCGATTATCATAACCGTTGTTGTCATAGTCCGAGTAAGTATCGTATTCTTGATATTCTTCATTCATTCCATTCGACCTGTCTTGGCCAGAATAATCTGGCCTGATCTGGTGTTGGTTAGATTGATCAGGATAAATTGGACTATTTCGATTTGGTATTCTATTCTGATTCAGTCGATCTGGATTCGAATCATCTCTGACCCCTGGTTTGTAAAATTCACCCTCGTTGTTAGGAGCTACCGGCGGAGCATGCGCAGAATCACACTCAGGGACATTTGCCGGCCAATCACATGTCTCTTCATGAATATTAAACACCAGTCCTCCGTTACATCTTAGCTTGTGACCTATGTTATTGTCACAGTGGTAAAATGCGCTGCAATCATTGAGACTAGGAAAATAACCAGTACCAGGACAGACGAAATTATCTGAAACGAGAAGTGAGAAATGACACTTTAAAAAACTACGCACATCAACGACCAATGATGCATACCTGTCAGTTCAATCAACAACCTAATATGGCAATATTATCTAAGCGAAATTGGAGTGCAACATATCGTACCTTCCACCAGTAGTTGTTAAAGCCTAATATTTGTTTTGTATTTCAGATTTAAAAGATAAATGGCTTTAGCTAGATCTTTCAAAGTATCATTCTTCTCACGAACGGCAATGTGGCATTGGGATGACAGTAATACATTTACCCAAATCTCGAATCGGTGGCTCAACTCTATCTTGCGTCCAATCCTTGATATCTCCGTCACCATGATTGCTCTCTTCCCCTCGGCTTTCTGGATGCCTTATATACATACGGCCACCTTGATCCTTGTCTGAGTCTCCTCTATAACGATCTTGAGATTGACCAGGCCTTTCCCCATAGATATTCAAGGCTTGGTCAGACCCTTCACCGTAGCGATTTTGAGCTTGGTCATCTGCATGCTGGTCTTGATCTGCTTGTTTTTCCTCATCTTGTGTAACAATGTCCTCTTGTTGGACAGTATGGGTATTGGCTGGTTTTGTTTTACAATCAACATTTCTTGGATAGTCACACGAGTTTGATCTTTCGTTAAAGAAGAGACCATTTGTGCAACTGAGTTGGTAAACCCTTCCACTTACACATCTATAGAAACGGTTGCAATCGTCGGGATTAGCAAAATATCCATCAGTTTTACAAATAAATTGATCTTGTGATCCATCTATAAAAGAAATAATCTAGAATAATTGTATTGTAAAACAAATTAACCAGAGATGATACAAGTATTTAATTCAGGGATCAAGGTATAACATTCGTAATCAAGGGATGGAGGAAGACAACTGATATTTATGATGGCATATTGCTATTTTAATGTACGATACCTATAATCAGGTATAAGTTACTTGCCTTGATCAGAAATGGAGGTTTCAGGTGCACATCCTTCAACAGTACTAGGGTAGGAGCACGTCTGTATTCTTGGGTCAAATACAAACTCAGGGCCACAGTTATAGTTAAACAGTTTGTTATCAAAGCACTGGAAATATTTGTGGCAGTTATTCGGATCCTTAACCACACCTGGGAAACTGCACTTCTGCCCATCTTCTGTAATTCAACAATGTGGTTCGTGAATATTTGGAAAGGATGGAAGACAATCTTACAGGAAGAAGGGGTAATTTAAATTTAAATCAACATACTTCCGTTTTTCAGAAGTAGTATGTGAACGAGCTAGAAAGATCTCAAACATTTACTATCCTAGTAAACCAAGTAATAAAATTGATGGAAAACATTAACAGATTAAGTGTCCAAGTAAGGTCCAAGTAAGAGAGGAGGGCGTAAGCCTCTATCTTTCCGAGTCTTGCTTATTGCCAAATAAAAAAAATGCCCACTTTCATTCCTTTGAAGTCATCACACTTACCCCTCTTAACGCGTCTACCAATTGTTCCTTTGTTGACATCAACAAAATTTATCTGATCAATCTGTTGAAAGAACTCATCAGAGTTGATAATATCATCATCATCGTCTAAAATACGGATTGTTGTGAGGATCTGCCTGTGACCAGAGTGTACGAACGTATTGCCATGAATCGATGCACCAAATGAATGTACATCATTTAAGGCATCTGCTGTCCCATTTGTGGCTACATTTCTTGTCGGAATAACTGTAGTTACAACAGATTCAAATACCTCGGTTGTAGTCGAATTGTCATCTATACCACCTTTTGGTTGTTCCTTATCTAATATATAATTTTTACCCATTCCTGAACTTTCGAGTACATGGGTTAATGATTTGCTATCTGGTTCAGACATCATTCGTTCCATATTCAACTTCACCAAGTAGTTGCCTTTGATCTTCTGTGACAGATCATCGATGATGTCATCATTTCCCAAACTATCATGCTCTAGAACTGTCTTCAGTTGGTTTATAAGCGGATACTTAGTTCCATGGCAATCACCTTGAAAGTCATCAAGGTCCAGAGACCACACAGCAACTCCTCCAAGATTGTAAGTTCTGGCTAGAATGCCCTGGAAGAGAACAACACAAAACAAATTGTGTATACTCCTTAACGAATGCAAGACTATACTTTATATTTTAGTCATGGTCATTGAAAGCGAAAGATTAACATTTAAACAGGAGATATAGCCAAGCGAAAGATGGAAGATGGGAACCATTTCAAGTTCAAAGTATTGTATAACTTCCATATGCCATAAATATTATATAAACATGTTAACATCGACTTACCTTAATAGTGATGCTGTCAATATCATCATATCCTACCCATTGGGTACCTTTATAAGCGTACGGTACAGCATGGTCATCACTCCAAACATTGTTCCAACCATCATTTGCAAACAGCTTACATATCTACACAACACAGTTCATCGATCATAGCAACATAACCTTGTTCAGAATGCAATTACTTTGCAGCGATGTGCAATAAACAGTTTATCAAAGATGTGTTCATTAATATAGTTCACTATGTCAATGAAAATATCGGTATCTAAACAAGTTTGGGTCGAAAAGGAATCCCCACTCCGCTTAGTTTTTTCAACATCACAACACTTATCTTTGATAAAAGCTAACTAGCTAAACATACATGGGAAATGTCGACAATTGATCAAACAACCCTTTTAAGGCAAAACTGTTAAAGGTTTGAAAGTTCAACGTTTGTGAGAATCAGCTTAACGCAGATGATATAACTCAATAACTCACCTCATAGTATGCAAGGACACCAGGGCTGTTTGTAAATGCCCCGGCACTTCCTGGTTTGACTGTTCTGTGTCCCAAATTATGTTTATCCTCGCTTCGAAGGGTCATGGACCGTCCATACGTCGCTACACCAAGAACTAGCTTCTCACGTGGTATAAATTCAAGAAGGTAGTTTACCACCCAGTGCTGTTAATGGAATATTAGCTTTAATGCGAGAACATTGTTAAAATGTATATAAAATGAAACGGATTGCCGGCTTTAAGAAATTGAAAATGTCGGGGTTAATCATATTTTACACATACTAAAGATTAAATAAATGTTTTATTTATTCATGTGTAGCCGCACCTTCGGACATTATATTTCCGAAATCATCCACTAAATAGTTTTTTTCACTCAAAGCTGCGTTGGTTATTTTAACATAGATATAATATCGAAATAAAGAAAATCTACAATGCCATTTTTGTGTAAAAATATTACACTCATTCTCAGTCATATCTTGCCTACCATATTGAGCGTGCGTTGGATCCCCTTCTCATTAGAGTGTGGGAAAACGGGACTATGGTGCCCAGCGAACCATTCCCAAGAGCCATGAAGGTCATAGCACATAGCAATCATCATATCATAGTACCTACAAGAATCGGAAATAAGACCATAATAAAGCATACTACGATTGAGCTACTGCAGTAACATGGCCGACATTTCCCTTTGTCCGCAATGGGTATGTGTTGAATTCTTATAAAAACGTTAACTTGGGACATATTGATGGAGTCCTTTATAACGTAATGTTCTTACCTTGATACCTCTGTCAAGTCATATGCGCTTTCGAGAATAAGTTTTGAGCCTGGTATCGCTGCCGCTAATATGAGCTTCTCCTCTCTATCAACGTCATCAAACGCTCGTCTTAACTCCTATTTTAGATGACATAAACATTTTAAAACAAAATAAAAACAACAAGTCATGATCCAGACGTTTATCTTTAAAAATTGGTAATACAGGGACATAGATTCAAAATTAGGGTAGCTACATCGAGAGAGATGAGGTAAAAATCTAGGACGGACATCGGTTGGAGAGCTGCCGTGTCATTCTCATAGCTAGCTGCGTTTATAAAATATCATATTGGGGCGATCAGTTTAAGATTATCCCCCCAATTGCGAATTGCGTATAGGCACTCTGTAGGTATAATGAATGCTAAAGGCAAAGTTAAAGATGAAATTCATTTGGAACCGTTATGAAGTAAATAAAAAGTCATTGATACCATGCGCAGCAATGCAAGGTACATAGCATCTGTCTCTTATTACCCATGTTTAACCGAGGCAGTCGATGCTCGCGAGTTTTCCAAATCTAAATAAGATGCACAAACTGCGCAATCCTTATCACCAGACTACTATGTTAACCCAAGCAAGCGATTTTCTAAATGTAACTACGCACCTTCACAAGTGATGTGTATTTTTCCTTGTCATGGAGAGGACTCCCTCTGGTGGCGGGATATTCCCAATCAAGATCCATTCCATCAGTTTTCGTCTGCAATATGAACTCAATCACACTTTTGATAAATCTCTCTCGTCTTCTACGTGTGGCAACCATGGCCGAGAACTGCTTTGATCCCATATTCCATCCACCCAGAGAAACGAGGACTTTTACTTTCGGATTTAGCTTCTTTAGGCCTACTACTCTTTCCAACATTCCTATAATACTCATTAATTTCAATTAACATGCTTCTTATTTAGAACATTGTTGAATAATTACTTTAATCAGCATGTTTGGAAATACAATAATGAACTCATTTTAGCTATTGAAGAACAAATCTTTCAGGTTGACTACAAAATGCATTGAAGCAATCCCTACAAGCTAATGATGCCAATTATGATGTGCAAGAGTCCCTCGTATCTGCCGTTTCACTTTGGAAGGATAAATACATAGAGGGCGCGACTATTGCGATGAGTAATACCCTAAACATGCACATATTTAAACCTTGGGGAACGATCAGTAACTATGGGCCTCAAATTGAATAAATTCTTTGTTTTACTTGCGTTACCTTTGGACCATTCTGTTGAAAGGTCATTCCATTCAAATGGCTTCATTGTATAGTCACTGTCTGATAGTTTGGCAAATGCGTACAGAATGTGAGTGCAGAGATGGGGATCTATATTCTCAGGAAGGAACTTTGCCTCCCCAGGTCTGTATTGTGACCAGTTCGTAAAGTAGCACATCCGAACTTGTTCGTTTGCTGATAAAGATAAATTTTGATTAATTGTTTCAAATGATCGAGCAGAGGGAAATTGTGCCACCCTCTTATATATTGTTGGACTATGTACTACCCCTTACTAATGAGATACAATGGTCATCCAACATTGGAATAAATGTATGTAGCTTTTAATTGCTGTTCAAAGTCTTCATTATAATGGCGTTTAAGACAAAATTACAAGTTAAAAACATAAATTCAAACATTTTGAATTTCTGTATCATGTGAGACATTTAGCCAATTGCAATTTACCACATTCTATGGATTCCGTCGATATATTTGGGGAACCACAACTATATGTAATATTGTTTTAATATATTGTAAATATAGGTTTGTGAAATTTAATAAACTATAAATAAAACATATATATATATATATAACACTGTTGTATCAATACCTAGCGCTTGAGAGAAAATACAGTATGTGCGATTTGTTAATATCCTTTATGAGGTAGGAAACTGGTATTTTCGGGTACTTGTAAACATTTGATGTTTGATGTTTGTATGACCGAGGATGTATAATGTAAAGTCAATGTACGTCTGGTAAATATATGTGCATTTTCTTAAATTATTGATACAAAATGTACCTTTACATTTAGATAAAATATAACTTTAGAGAAGGTAACGATAGTTACTCTAGTGCACAGTCAGACATACTCGATCCTTGAACTTGACATATATGTATAGTATTGAACTCTCAGGAACCATTTTTTATGCACAGCTTCAAGTATATACTTATAAATAGCCTGATCTTTCGCATATGCCATGTATAGAATATCTTTTAGCTGTCTACTTGACCTAAATCTGGACGATAACTCCAGCCACTAGATGTGTTAATAAGTCATAACAAAGAAAATTGAACAACCTCAATTTTCTTTGGAAAGTATTTCGTACATTTGTTCATTATTCAACTCAAAAACTAAACGAGATGAAGATTCAGGGTAGCGTTGCTATAGTAACAGGAGCAGCCCGAGGATTGGGGAAAGGTATTGCAGAGGAATTGCTCAAACGAGGGGCAAAGGTGCAGTATTTATCGTTACATTACTTTTTGTATTTACACCCACATACATGTACTTACACCAACATATGTCTGACTATGTGTGTGTGGTACCAATTAACAGTTTTTTTTTTAAATATATATTTATTTAAGTCAAGAACAGCTACATATTTGTCACATAATGTTTACAGAATCAAATATATCGAAATAGATGCATACACGTTGTAAAGTCAATTATGCTTAATTATCAAGGAAAATCAGTCGAAAGTATATCGTTGAGAGGATTCCATTTATCTCCTCTTCCAACACTTATGTCTAGTTTGAAGTAGATTAATACATTTAACTTAAAACCTCTAAATGTTGGTTTCACTCTAGAATGTTTACATAGGAATACATATCTTTTAAAAAATGTTATTTAAAACAACCGCCTCTTTGGTCATTAAATGTGGTCCTAATATGATAGTTTGCTTGTTACAGAAATGCTCATATTCTTTTGGGAGCCATTGTTTTATATCTTGTACAAGGTTCTGGACTATTGCACAATCATGAAAAAGGTGGCATATTGTTTCTACATGTATCCGACAAAAAGTGCACATATCAGAGTTATTTTGAATATTGTTGAATAATTACTTTAATCAGCATGTTTGGCTTAACAGTTTTAACTGCTATAGGTATGTATAGCTGATATTAACAAAGGAGAGGGCGAGGCTGCTGCTGGAACACTTGCAACAACGTTTGGTCAACAGAATGTCTTTTTCCAAGAATGTGATGTCACGAAGGATGAACATATCAGAGGTAAAGAAGCTGGGGGATGACGCCTAAAGAAATACTCGATCAGATCATTGAAAAATTTCAACTGGTAGTTTGCTTTGTTTATGCGGGTACGCTTTTGATTGGTCAATCAGCCACGCGTAGTGGCGACCGTGTCGGCATGCCTACAAATACGGTTTCGCGATAGACCTGACAAATACGCGTATGAATTGCAGTGATGCATTCGATTGTACAAGGCGGCTATAATTTAGATCAGATAAGTAGAAAATACAGACATGGGCAAGGCTAGGTATAACCCCTCGAAAAAGGAAATTATAGTAATATTCTATAGATATGCGAAAACGATATCAATATCTTCCGGAAGAGATCTACAATATGCTGTTATCGTATTGCTTCTATTTCCTAGGTGCGTTTTGTGCAGCTAAAACGAATTTTGGAGCAGAGGTGAACATTCTTGTGAACAATTGTGGAATAGTGCAGGAGGACAATGTTTCACTCACTCTGGCAGTCAATGCGGTATAATATGAAGTTTATTTTATTTGGAAGCATCATGATACATTCACAAACATATTGTATAATGAAAATACCATATATTATGTAACTCACAGCTGTAAGCGTTATATTTTGCACAAACGATGTATTTTGTTTTAACAAATGCCATAGTATTTTATTGAAATAATATTATAAGGCCCACCTAGGAGTGATTTAAATAGATGGACCAAACGGAAACTTTAAAACTCATCGAATCCCACCCGCCATATTGACAGATTTAAGAACCGTCAATGTATCCTGATATTGACTAGTTTGTTTCAAGTTGAGATGACGACAAGATATGAAAGAGACATAAACATATCATACATTAATAAAATAAAAAGCTATGGTAAAATTGTCGGTTTTTTATGTTTTAGGAAGCCCCTATAAGATCAACGTTTACAGCTATTGAACTAATGGGACGTCACAATGGAGGTGCCGGAGGCGTTGTAATCACAACTTCATCTTTTCAGGGTTCGTACACTTCTTTCGTAAAATTGTGCATCCAATGAGTATTCCTACTTTTATTTTGTTTTAACGCCCATTTAAGCTTTAAAAATGAGACGTCAATAAATGAGAGATAAGCATACTTTTGCGTAGATTTCCTCCAACAATTGCAATGCTAGTTCACCGAGTCTGCTGCCATTTCAATAAACTCTACTGATTCTTCCAGGATTAATTCCGTTTGGTTTCATGCCAGTGTACAGTGCGTCTAAACATGCAATCGTTGGGTTCGTGCGTAGCATCGTGGTAAGAATGATTTTTGCTTTGCCCAGGAATTTGTCGTTATCGCTATGTATGTAAGCAGTTCATAGATCTTGTTTTAAATAAATCGAAATATTACTATGTCTCGATTTTACTATAAACTGTAGACAAATTGTTGCAAAATAAGCCTGAAAGTAACGTATTTTAGGAAAGTCCAGATTTTAGTGATTGGGGGATGCGATTTAACTGCATATGCCCTGGCGGTATTGACACTCCCATGTTAAAAGACGAATATCTTGAAGGACGTCTAAGTGATAAATCATTTGCCATAGTAAGGAAACTACTCACAACTATTTCACTCCTTAGGTAAGACTTTAATAACCAATTCTTAGATGTCGTACTTTCGTACAATTATTCATTCTATTTCCTGTAACATTTTGATGGATTAAACATTTTAACAGTTTTCACGAGAAAGTCTATTGTGACTCAGCACACTTATTTCTAAAACAAACTAGTCCAGCTTTAAGCTAGTATTCCATCTTTTATGTAAATTAAGAAAACCAACGTTTCATAAACAATCTCAATTAATGTTTTTCCATGAACATTGTGAAATGCAAAATCGAAGAAGCTGAAAACCAGCCACTTTGTACTTGATGATCGAGAGTGTTTGAATTGCATTAAAGAATCCTGTATCATATATTGGAAATCTAAAAGCAAGCAACCATCACGATTCTGATATCTTCATCACGTTAACACAAATTCTGAAGAACTTACTGACTTTCCTTTCAGACCAAGTGAGGTTGCTTTAGGTTGTATCAAGTTGATTGAGGACGATACATTAAATGGCAAGGCCTTACTCATCAACCACGGGGAGACGGGGGAAGGCGAGGTAGCTTATACGGTTATAGATCCACCTACTGACAAAGTCAGACTCTAGAAAGGACCATTTTACGAATTTTACGTCATTGATTATTTTGCAAATTTTAAATGTGATTGGATTGTTACACAGATTGCATATGTTTACAGAAACGGCAAACGTAGGACAGGGTACTACAATATTCGAAGATGCAATTTGAAATTCAAAGTCTCGTGGAGCTACATTCCGCATAAAATGTTTGAAAATATTTAAAATTTCTATACTGTCTGTTACTTCATTATGTTTGTCGAATAAATTCAGTTCTAGTTCAGGTTCTAGTTATACTGTAGTAAAATATCCCATCCACTGTTTATCGGAAACACGCTGCATTAGCCCTCTGTATACGAATTAAACACATCAAAAATCAATGAAATTAAATAACATCATAAGTGTTATGGCATTAATAAATGAAATAGAATATATTGACTCACGTTTTCCAGCAGCACCTTCCTGATTTAAATTGATGTAAATCCACAATACAAATAAATAATTAAATCCAGAATATACACGTATTATTTCCATACTTCCAATTCCCAAAAATATTATTCCTATTTCGTTTTCATGAAATTGTGTAGATGTTTAAATTTCAAGTTTAAAACTGTACTGTATTGATGTAACAGGTGACCAGTAATTTGGATCAATTACGAGCATCGCTCGATCTAATTTGCATATTAATGGCAATTTCAAGACTCTTGATTGGATATTGGCGACAGCGACACCTGTCCATGCATCTGGCGCAACCTGTAATTGCAATCGTAAAATGTAATTACGTATTTTGAAATAATTGACATATACTTCAAATAAATATAACTTGTGTTTTGGGTATTTTGGCCGTTCTTAACTTCTCAAATGTAATTATCCTGTGTATCTAAATCTTTATAACGATATGGAGAAATTGAAAGGAACCATGTCGATACAATAGATGTCATTCCGAACGGAATAAATTGAATTTCTGTTTTATGATAGTAAAAATCTACCATCTCAAAATTGTAATTGAACGATTACTGAAATTGTTGTTTCTTTTAAAATAAAGGTTGTCCCCAACGTTACCAATTATTAATGTAATGTCATGTGACATTTTAATATGTCTTTTAGCATACCGCCTAGGAAAACCCCAATCTTTATTCACCTACGAATCGGTATACTGTTGTTTGAGAGATGTTTAGGACATCAAGAGAATAAACATGATTGTTGACGTTATATGGACTATATCCTCTAGTAGGTGCTGTCGTAGTTGACGATTTACATCTCAAAAATGAAATTAATGACGTTTTACCGAACTAAGAGAGTAATTAGAAATTAACAATATTACGTCATGTGGCCTGTCAATAGTATCTGTATCTTACAAGGAAGCGATGATTATTAGGTTTGACATTGTAAAGAATGATGGCTAAAAAAGAAGCTGTCGGGCACAAAAATATCGCTATATAGTGGTTCTTCCAGACATTTGACAGCAAATTTAAATGCATATAACATTTAATAGGCATTATATATAGATTTCATTTACCAAATAGAATAATAGTGACTGCCACATTTTTTGGGGATGTTTCGTAGTTTCAAAGTCAGTGGGCAGACTATTCAGTATATCAGTGGAAAATATACTTTGCTCTATTTAGCCAAATGACAAACCCGACATGCATTACTAAAAAATCGACATTGTCAACAATTAAAATTTGAATTGAGATTAAAAATTGAATGAATCATTATAATTGAAATTTTGAGAAGTATGCACCTGTGCACCTTTCTTCATTACAAAAAAATAGTCAACAGTTTACTATTGTGCGCATAGTTATATATTTTATATTGGTTTAAGTATTTATTAACTCTTCTAATATTTATACTAACCATGTGGGAACCTTCACACCATTGTACATTTTGATAAAAAATTCTGTTCAATTCTATTACTTGCGGCATCATGGAATGGACGAAGTTAAAACCGTTTTCGATTCTAATTGTGAGTACCAATAATACGCAGATTATCAGCGTTTAGAGTTTTGTGATAATCACTTTACAGTTGTTTTTACTGAGGTAGAAGTTCAATGTACATTGCGTAGTCAGTTCGCGGATCAGTCTCACACTCATGTTGATATATCAAGAATTTCTGGGCAATATGAGTCATTATATACACCCCCAATCCGCACACTGAAATCACGGTACCGTACGGTACCGCATACAGTACCGTACGGTACCGTTTGCACGGTACCGTACGGTACATTAAGAGTATGGTACCGTACGGTACCGTAGGAGTACGGTACCATACGGTACCGTTGGATTACGGTACCGTACGGTACCGTACGATGCCGTACGGTACCGTTTCAGCTGTAATACTATACAGCACCGTGTAAGCTATATATTTTCTCTTAATATTTTGAATATTTAATAAGCATTAAATTACTATAGTATTTCAATAATATTTTACTCTATTCTGAATGAATCAACTCATTGATTAAGCTTGTGGCTTGAAAGATTTGAGAAAAACAAACATTTCATTAAGAATTTCCATACTTTATTGCTTTATAAAATTAAAATTGTACAAAACATCTAACTAAATATATCTATTTATATTTACATTAAAATTTACAATGTTTAATATGGACACGCTAACGCGTATAGTACATAGTCCAACTACTCGGGCCATATCAAAACCAATACAAACATACAGAAGGCAGGGAGAGGAAACAGGGTAGAACTTGTGAGATAAAAAAATGGATGTAGCGGAGGTTTAAAATTAAAATAATGAAATAAATGATCTTGCGAAAATGTACTGGTTTTGATATGCTCCGAGTAGTGGGAGATCTAGGCCTAGAGTGTCCTTGTTATGGTAGTGCAGGTGTAGCAGCAGGAGCAGCAGCAGCAGCAGCAGCAGCTGTCTCTTGAGTCCTAAATCGAGTGACCAGATGCTCTGAGTTCAGTGATGTATATCTGGAAATAGAACATAGATTAATTCATTTTATTTCATTGTCTTAATTTTTTTAAAATCTCCAAATTAAATAGTGGCCAATATCCCCGGGAATTTGACATATTTTTCGTTCTGTGCATTTCCGGTTATAAGAAATTGGCTGGTGCTGTTAGCCTAAAATAAATTTTTTTTATTCTTCTTTGAAATTGTTCATCAACAACAATGAATGTTACTAATCTAGTATTAAACTGGGTAAGGCCGGAGTGTATACTGTATCTGGGACATTAAACAGGATTGATTTGCCAGAAGACTCTATTGGATTTCCGGTGATTTTTTAGAACACGTTTTCAATTTCATGTTAAAAGATTACTGTGTTTATATATCATATCAATATCTATTTCAAGTCACATATATTTTATACAGTAAACATTAGCGCAAGCGCTATTGACCGACATTATAAATTATAATTTTGCATCTACCCTGTATCAAAGTCGAAATTATTTTATCATCTCTAGAAGTGATTTTCCTGGAGGTAATGCATTCGCCTAACATATGCACCTGTTTAAATCCCCAGGAAATGGCCAAAATCAAACATACACTCCCCTCCATAAGTTTGGCAACCTTTTTTCCCCATTGAACTATGTGTTAAAGCCTCTTTACGTCTGAATTTTTATTTACTTAACCGGCGATGAAATAACTTATAATATTGATGGAAACGTAACTTGACTTTATTTCCAATACCTCCAAATTTTCTCAATTTTTTCCTCAATTACAATTGGTCGGAAATTGATGATAAATTTGATGAATTTTTGAAAATCGTCATTCCCATGTAATCCAATGGGAAATGGAGGGTTCGGGGCAAATCAGAAATCAGGATATCTTTTCAGTAAAAGATTCAGCAAAAAATATTTTTATATAGAAAATTGAATTGTCTAACTTTTTTGAACACTAAGTGTTCAGTTTATTTGATGAATATTAAAGTTACAGCGCTTCAAAGTCATTTTTGAATATAATTTTTTGCCTCCTGTGTTATTCAATGGGAGAGGTTTTTTGAAAAACAATTTTGACTTTAAAGCCCTATAACTTTGTTGAACCTGAAGAAACATATCAATTTTTTGTTAAATAAAGTTAGCAAATTCAATTGCCTGCCTAACTTGTATTTTTTGCAAGGACTCGGATGGATGGATATTCTGTCATATGACTTGCGGCAAACCTACCATTTCCCATTGGTTAACATGGGAATGACGATTTTCAAAAATTCATCACATTTATCATCAATTTTCGACCTATTGAAATTGAGGAAAAAATTGAGAAAATTTTGAGGTATTGGAATTAAAGTTAAATTACGTTTCAATCAATATTATAGTATAAGTATTTTCATCGCAGGTTAAGTAAATAAAAATTCAAAGGTAAAGAGGCTTTAACACGTAGTTCAATGGGGGAAAAAAGGTTGCCAAACTTATGGAGGGGAGTGTATGACTGTCCAAAATCTGTTGCGCTTCCCTCCTCCTTTATCTTTTGAACATTTTATTCAATGTACTGATTGGTTCCAAAAATAAAGCCATATTTTTGAGAACTTACTTTGTTTCTTGGACCTCCAATGGATGGGTATAAGGTAAAAGGATCAGTCCTAAACGTTTCTTTGGCAAGCAATCTAATTGACTCCTGCAAAAACGAAAAATTAATGAGTTTTATATTTTATTATAGATAAATCATAAATGTATTTCATCTTGTAATACTGATAGCCTTTCTCGAGCTTGCACTGACCAAACCTATATCAGTATACTAAATGAAATCAACGATTTTGCAAATTCATTTGAAAAAACAAGGATTTCGAATTTCCCTTCTTTTAGATGACATTGAAATCAAAACAATTCAATATTACTAGTAGGCCTATACAATAACTACATTTATATGGTTTTAATTTTGAAATTAAAATATAGTCAATTTCTGTAAAATGCTCAATGGCACACAAATGTTAAAAATCCTAAAATAATGGTGATATGCCAATATGGCTCGATGATATGAAATGAAATAAACAAACATGGTGATATGACATAGGAGACATGCATGATGGAATGAATGGTGGTCTGAACGTGTTGAATAGGTGATATGACATGGGGCATGAATAAGGTTATGAGCATGGTAGCATGATGAAATGAACATGGTAATATAACATGGGAGCATGATGATATAAAATGAACATGGTGATATAACATTGGACCATGGTGATATGAAATGAACATGGTGATATAACATGGGAGCATGGTGATATGAAATGAACATGGTGATATAATATGGGAGCATGGTGATATGAAATGAACATGGTGATATAGTATGGGAGCACGATGATATGAACGTGATGATATGGCATGGGTGGAATGATTAGTGGACGGTCCAAACATGGTGATATGACATGGGGGCACTATTCCAACAATACGCTGAATAAGCAAAATATATTATTATTAGATTTCATAAAACTGTAATAACGTTTACTCTACGCACCTAGCCTAAATAGCTTTAAGCATGTTGCATTCCCGGTTGCATTCCACATTACTAATACATGGCCCTCCATCCATTGATTATCATATGTATTGTATTCTTCACTGCCTTCACTCCTCATGATATGCCAACTTCTGACCAATGCCAACATCAAGTCTATAAAAGAAAAGGTAGCCTAGAAATGCATTGCCGATAGAAAGTGATCTTTCATAAATCTAGGCCTAAAGAATAAAACATTTAATTTAAAACTGAAATCACTCAGAAATTACATTTTAGCCCATGTCTGGCTTCATTCAGAAGATATTATGCATTGTATATTATTAATATATTTTTAAAAACTCCAAGGAACTAAGCTTAGCCTATGCTCTGGACTTTCACAGTGACTTTGCAAAAAAAATGTTCAATTCCTGAATTCATTTTTATCAGTCTAGGCTAAATTTCACCCTAGCCTATCCACAGAGCACAGGGGATTGCCTGTGCCACAGAGCCTATCTGGTATTTGAAAGTTTTCTATATAATAGGTACACCTAACCTATGCTCATTTATTCATAACAAACCAATCAAATATATACTTACATGTGAAAATCGCAGACAGATGGCAGAGACTGGCACAGAAATCAAAATTTAAATATGTGGCTTCTCAAACTTCCTGTATGAGTCATAAAATGTGTGACGTCATAGGTCAAAAGTTCAAGGGGGTTTCCCAGGGATTTCCCTAAGATGTCAAACTCAATGAAGAAATCACAATACAATAATGAATGTTCTTTAAAAATATATTTAATTTATAAAGCTGAATTAAAGCAATGGACTTAATGGACTATAATATGTCATTATAATGATATTGGAGAGCAAAAACAGGTATTTATTCATAATTAACCTGATATTTCTATATATTCTTATAACCTTCAAAAGAAGTAGGACTGACTGATCATTATCCCAAATTCTAAATAATAGATCCCCGAAAAGTTCATACAAAATTTTAATCATGAAAGTATAAGACTAGAACGGCACCGTACGGTACCGTATCTCCAATCGGTACCGTACGGTACCATATTAAAAAACGGTACCGTACGGTACCGTCTAAGCAATACGGTACCGTACGGTACCATATTCTCACGGTACCGTACGGTACCATCTACACGGTACCGTACGGCACCGTGTTCACGGTACCGTACGGTACTGTTTGAGCTTACGGTACCGTACGGTACCATATTTCACGGTACCGTACGGTACCATAGCCAAAACGGTACCGTACGGTACCGTTGGAGATTGGCTGTGTACAATATAAAATAATAGTTTCCCAATGATTCATAATATTCAAAATTAATTTTTGTAAATATTATTTTTAATACTTTTGAATTTTCATCAAATCATCCCAATATTTTTGAAGAAACTCTGAATTATGCAAAAGATTTTCTATTTCGGATAGCGATGTTAAATTAAAACATTTTTTTCAGAAATATAACTAAACTAATCTTTCTATTTATCACATTTTTTTGTTCACAGCGGTATATCTTTCACCTATATTTTTAAAGAAAATCTAAATTGTAGAAAAAGTCGGTCGGCATTGAAGTTCTACATTAAATTATATACACGGAGTATTTTCCTCGACCAAAGGACCAAAGACTAAAGGACTTTGACATTAACATGTAAATCCTTACTCAAGATTGTTATTTCGTTTATACTCTATGAGTATAGACGTTTTTTGTCGGGACGGTTGGATTGCGCATTCAAACGACGATGCAGGCAAGGGTCGTATGGAACACTGCCGGAAGCTGGGCGGATGACGACCTCCAGATATTCCAACCATTTCCTAGCCCACAGTTTTTCGAAGGTATGAGCATGGTTAACAGTAGTTCAGGGCCAGATATCATTTCCCTTCTCTAATGTATTTAGAGCTACATGTTCCTGTAATCGTAGTTAAGTAATACCGGGGTGAAAGAAATGATGGTCCCCTGGGGATTATGGTCTCCTTTCTTAACGGGCCTTACTGGACCTGACTGTGTATAAATAATAAGGAAAATAATTGTAATTAGGTCACCATATAAATCAATGGAGAGCAGGACCATAAATTGATAGGACCTCTGACTGATCTCTCCCAGCTCTGTTTGGCAATAAATGGAGTCAATGTGCTCGACTTGAAAAGAAAAAAAGAACAGTACGAATTTAATGCATATCTTTTACTCTACATGGGTTCCTCAGTTTGGTTCTTGGTTAATTCTAGAATACTCTTCATTAATATACTCTCCTTAACACACTTAGATGGTACTGGAGGCATGAATTACATTTTACAGGCGGGCATAAGGCGCAGGCTAACATGAATGAGTTAGAGACTGGCATAATAACAATTGCTGACGATACTGGCGGGGAATTAGGTGAACCGAGGTACTTTACTCTAATGTGGAACGATGGCGGAGCTGATATGGACGGAGCAATATGGAGAGTGCATTGCGTTGATGGTGAGATTTTATGCATGTGAGGTTTAGTTTCTGTTGAGAGTTAAGGATCTTCCGAATTCAAGCTGTCACTTAACGTGTTCATAATCTCTTTCGAAAGAGTTGCACTGGAGTTGTGTTTCGGCAATCATGCTCTCGTGCATTCAAGATTATTAATAAGAAGGTTGCAAAAATTAATAGCCAGTGTAGGTATGTCAACCATAAACCATAATATTTCAATGGGTGGTGTGTCAAAGCCTTTTACATTTGAATCTTACTTTTACCTTTCTTAGAAATGCCAAGCTCTCATTGCCCTGTAGTTATCTCCAGCGTGTCACATGCGGTGGGTAAAAAACTTGATCCGATGGGCTGCATTTGTGCTTAACAAACCCACGCACCGTGAACTATCAGCAACAATATTTAATCAAAACTTTTTTCGCAGAAATTTCTTCTAATATTTCATGTTTTCGAATAAAAAGTTGACGAAATATAAATTGGGTAAAAGAAGTGAACACACGGTTCAATTATTATTCTAGATTTCTGTATGATATATTCAGGGGGCATCATGAGTCATATTGAAGGGGTCATTGTTTCTGTGATACGTTTTAATTAGGTTTCTTGTTATTTAATATTTATATATAATGTTTTATAATTGGCAGGATATGTTCCTCTAGGCGACGTCGTATTCGGTCACGAGGACGCCTACCCATACCCACTGCAAGATACCGTCAGATGCGTGCGCAACGATACAGCCAGCCCCTGCACATTTGGGGCCCGAGTATGGACTGATGTAGGGACTGGTGCGGAGAAGGATGTCTCCATCTGGGCTATCAGACCCAATAACACACAACTTAGCACATTTTTCATGTCGAGCAACAACCATAGTACCCCGCCCACCAATACGCCCTGGTGTTTGAATAACAATAACAGAAACACAGTTTTGACCCCCCAAAACAAATAAGCTTGTGATTGAACTAAACGTTATGAGAATATACATTTTAGATTTACATTTAAAAGCTTTTTTGTATGTTCTTTACATATAAATGTGAAAACTAAATCAAAATGTGAATATGTTTAATATAACTAAGCAACTGAGTTATTCAAAGCACCGGTCATCGAACCATTCCAAATAATTTTAACGCATTTTTTCCCTTTCAGAAGCTACTGACATGATCGTCATGCATGATAGTGTAGAACCATTTAATTTAGTGAAAATTAGATGAGCAATGTCCTCTAGATATAAAATTTTGTTTGTCAACTCGGATGGCTTTATTATTCCAACGAACGAAGTTCGGTAGGGATATAGTGAAGCCCTTCGTTAGTTCGTAAGTCGTCCGCCCGCTTGTCCCTCCAGAAGATAACTCGAATTCTAGATAAGATTTTATGTATATTTGGTGAAAAGATGTATATTAGTAAATACTTAAAGAAGTTACAAGTAGTTATATGCAATTTGAGCCAAAATGATCAATATTCTTATTTGAAAGTTTGGTAGTATATTCACAACATACATCTATTTCACATGTATGCCGTATTTTTCACCTTGACCCCCAGGTGCCGTGAATGGAGGGTTGGGAAAACAGGAATTTGCATTTTGAGATGTTTTTGAAGAATAGCTTATATTATACTCAACTGAAAGGCAACGTTTTGAAGTATGGTTGCATATGATACAATCATCTCAAATATTCATTGAAGGGAAGAGTAGTTGGTAAATATTACATTGTGACCGTACAGATTCATGATTTATAAAGTGTTCGTTGGGATTTGCTTCTCCGTGAAGTTGCCGTTTCTAGTTCATTTTGAAATATTTTAATAAACCAGTAAATATAAAACAAAAATTAGAATTAGAAGCAAGGGATATCATAAAATTGGTCAATGCTGCAACTTGGCTCAAATATGCTCAATTAATATAATCTACGATACACCTATCGGCGAGAAATGTACATCAATAGCGTCACTAATTATGTTTTATCCTAGAATTGCAGTTCTTATTTCAAGCTTGATATTCTCTACAGCGTGAACTCAGATTTTAGCTGTGCAGACTACAGACGCTGACTTACTCAAATTGAGGCCACAATCATACCGTGAATCGCATATGAGTACTGTCAGAAAGTTCCAGAGAAGTAACCTATCGTTCTACACGTGTACCATATCAGGGTCCCGAAACATGTTCTTTATTATGAAAGAGTTAAAGGTTCTCGGCTCCGATGATTGACACCAGTGGCCCGATGATAGATATACAGGTTTTACTTGTGAAGAATTAATGCAATCAGTGCAGACTGTTTGGCATCAGTTGGAAAATGCGATACTTTCAATATAGGATACGTTCTAAAATGGATGAATTTGTGATGTATTTTATGTTTTGCGCTGTCCTTCACAGTTTAGCAACAGGTAAGCTAATTTTAATAACTACTTGAAAACCTAGTTATCGATTCGTTTTAATTCAAATAGTGTGCTCGCGGAGTTGTTCTTAATAGGATTGTATAACCATTTATATAAATAAATATGCGAGGTTTCTAATTTAATTTAATTTAGTTCGGTGGTTTGTTGCTGGGGATATACAGTATTTACAGGTTTCAAGCGTGTATGTGTACATTCGAGTACGGAACACTAATTTCAAAACATAAACACCACATCTCATAAATCGCATTTTGACTAAACAGTCGTTTCACGTATTTCATTACTTTGTATTTTATCACTTTGTGTTTCATAACTTCGTATTTATATTCTGTATTGAATCAGTATTTTATTTGGGGTATAAGAATGATGAGTGAAATTAAATCAGAAATGACTTATTTATTTCGCAAATAATTTCAGAGAAAATGAAGCAAACTTCACGATTTGCGATTTTCAACAATTTAAAATGATAACAAATAAGATGATTCCATCAGTATTAAATAATAACAAATAAGATGATTCCATCAGTATTAAATCTGAAACACAGCGTTGTCTGAACTGGGAATCGACCCCGGGCAAACAAAGAACAATATCAAAAATCAGATCCACCATCCTAGCTATTCCAAACCTCATTGTATTTTCCTTGAAGTTTTCTGACTGAATTATTGTACATTAGTTGACCAAGGGTAAAGATAACAAGTAAAACTATGGTTCTAGTGTCTTTTCAATACTTGATAAATGTCACCAAGTAATTGTTTTCTCCGTCTGGATTATTTATGAGGAAGAAAGAACGTTTTCGAGACAACTCAAATTGAATCGTTTTCTGATAATGTAATAGGTTGACTGTTTATCGTTGTTTCGTGACCAAAGTTTAACGAAGGGCACCAAATGGGTAGAAAATTTAGTCAAAGCTTACCAAATGATTATACATGATTTTTCTTCTGTTTCAGACGTATTTTCCTCTCGAATGTGACCTTAATTTTCCTTATTGAAAGCGATTTTAATTTGTTTTACAAACTCAATACCTGGGTTGTTCACTATATGTTAGTTTTGCAATGGGTTTTATCCCTAGAGATGTTTTGATATCACAAGAGGGTCGGTGGTATATCACTTGATTTAACATTTTGGTGTTTTAATGAAGTGACCGTCTCGATGTTTTAAGGTAGTCGTTAACTTACAATGAATATATCTCTATAGGCTAAAGCATTGGAGTACTCGACGAGTGTTCAGCTTTAGTACATATAAAGGAGCAGGTAGGTTATCGCAAACAATTTCGGACAGTTCTAACTTGAATTATGAATATATCCTTATCACAAACACAGGTGTACCTTGTTTCTTTTAGACCCATTCATCATCTATAATAATTAAGTTAATTTGACTAATTGATATTAAAGAGGCAATCGACCAATCAACATACTTCTTCAAAATGTTGACCTAATTTTCAGTAAAAATTCAACCTTTTGTTACAATGTTGAATGCTTAATTGGAATGAGCTTTGAGGAAAAGTTTTATTTCCTAAAAGGAAAGTGGATTCCTCAGGGGACTTTAACGATACTAAATTTGTATGACCAAAATGAGCTAAAACCAATGGATGGCATGAGTTTTTTTTAAATGGGGAAATAACATGGGGAACAATAATCTTAGGGAAATTCAATTTTCCTTTCAAAAACTAATTGATACATCAAAATAAAGAATAGTAATGCGTTAAATAATATGTATGTATTAAAATGAGGTCAACATCATTGGAAAGGTGTCTGATTGACTTATTGTATATACTTTTCTTTGAGATAATGAATGGATCTAAAACATATACCTGTCTGTCTTCATGGTCAGAATATTTAACCATCTGAAATAGTTTGCCATACGTCCGTTTCCATAGCAACGGCCCGAGTGAAAATTATATTTTTCCTCGAATTCATGTTTGGTATCGGGACTTTCCAAATGATACCAAAATTCCGCTGGGGGTCAAAATATCTGAATCCTCCTCGTCTAATAACCGACCTGAATCTTTCAAGATATTGAAAAATGAATATTTTACTACATACGGATATATAATTTTCATTAATTTATTGAATTATACAGAGAAATGTCATCTTAATATCTGTATTTGTTGTAATACCGTGATTAATTAATAATAGGTAAATAGCCTCTTTAACCTGTAAATATGTTACATTGATTTCTATAAAACAAATTTGTTAATAAAAAACAGCAAAATAGTTAACAAAATATAAAATCATTTTTTCGAAGAGCAATAAAGAAAGTCGGTGACCTTTAATTTATATTTGCTTAAAATTAACATGCGTATGGATAATCTGGAGATAATGGGGTCTCTTAATCTCCTGCTTGCTATTCCCTACAAGGGAATCAAAATGTTTTCTTGCTTTAGTAAAAAACAGTCTGTGACACCAACGTGTTTAATTTGTTTGATTATGAAGTACAATTATGTCATGGTAAAGTTATTCTTAAGCCTCCCAAGTATGAAACCACCTTAACCTAAAGGTTCTCATTTACTGATCGATTTATAAGTGCAGCCATTGGAGTAAAACGTCTATATTGAGATAATCACTCTTCATTTAGAATCTATTAAATATTTTTGATGTCAACAGATATTGTACTGGTCAGTTCATGTACAAAATCTTTAATAAGCACCCCAGTCTTCCAACAAATCTATTTCAAGACTTGTTTGATATCAACATTAATATTCATCATCATTACACAAGACAATTGCATTATTTTCATATCCCTAAATGCTCTAAACTTTCCCCGATCTAGGTCCTAATCTTTGGAATGCTCTACCACATGATATTAAAAAATGCTCCACTCTAAATATTTTCAAATCTTCATATAAAAAGCTACTCATCTATCAATAATGTATAATGTCCAATATCATACTATACTGTTGATTTTATTCTGGTACCTGATTTTTGTAACATTTTTACATTGTACATCCTTAGATTAATTGTTAATACCATTTTTATATACCTACATGTAACATAATATAAGTGTTTTCTTTTATATGTAGTCTAGATGTCATTTTAATGATTTCTGTTAAACCGCAACATATACCCTCTAGGGTGTCTAGCGGCTTGTTTTTATAGTGTATATTATATAAGAATTATGAAATAAATTGAATTGAATTGAAAAGAATCAAACAATTTGAGATAGAAGGCCAGGGGGACACAACTAAATGCTTTAACATGTGTTTTCTCGATATAAATCACGATTCGTCTTCTCGAAAAAATTAAATCAAGATGTGTGGCCATGTTTTGCTATCATGCAGTCAAAACACTAACAAAATTACCAAAAAAGGTCGCACTTTTCAAATAAAATACACCTTTAAGCATATCAAATCTAAATCATGTCTTAGAGTTGATCCATACATACACCTTTTTATTCTTGGACTAACCCCCGGTTATTTTTGCAAAGCCCAATTTCCTCCCAATATTCGTTGTAAACTCCCGATTATCCTAAACAATCCAGATTTTCTTCAGATTTTTTTTATAAAAATACAGATTTTCTCCCGATTTTTTTTTACTCGACAGGTATAAGACCGTAGTCTTGCTTTTAAAATGCTATATATTTTACCACTCCAGCGGAAGGATCAATTGGTTGTGTTCCCCAACGCTTGATATTTCTTAAAGCCTTCGTTACCAATCAAGGATACACGGAAACCCATTAAACCAACCGAAGTGGGTTTTAACCCTTTAAATAGGTCGAATCATATTAAGAATTTGCTTGTTTGTTTTTTGCCGAGTATAAAGAATAGAATCACGATGGTCGGGTTAAATATTGAGTAATCTGGTTGCAGAACCTTAGCATTAAAAAACTACTTCTAATAATGATAAATGGTTTAGAAGGTGTATAACTTGAAACCTGGACCATAACTCAACCTCCGCTGTAATGCACTGCTTTATGTGTACCTAGTAATAGAAACTGGACTCAGGGGATTTAAATGATTATTTTTGCTTGATTCATTTGGCTGTGATTGATGATACAAAGCTCTATGATATCTGTACAAATGGAAACTTGATTAAGATTTCTGATTGGTTGATGCGTTTTACTGAAATATATATTAGTTTAATGTTATCTACTGATTAAATAGTAGTATTAAATATGTATTTGCACTACAGGTGTTGCGATATGTCGTTTTGTATCGTTTTGTATTTAAAAGAATACATTCGTGTAGGTACTAACCCATTCTGACTTCGTGCATTATGTGATGGGATTTCAAATATAGAATGATATATGATTCTTTATTGCTATTCAAACATGAATCTGGTCATCGATGAAGTAGAACAGTTCACCATTTACATTCCACAAGACTGTTGTATTTGATGAAATTAAATTTTATATGCTTTTAGACAAGTTTATTATTTAGAAATACTGAATCGGGGTGTAGGGTTACAATTAATATTCGTTTGAAAGGTATTGAGAGGTTTTGTGTGTCAAAATATCATAGGAAATAAAATAATTAATTTGATGCAGAAAAATTATGAAAAATTAGTTTGAAAATCATTGCTTTGACTGAAAAAAACTGAAGTGGATGAGTCATCAGAAGTTCAGATCTGACTAAAGATTTTAGATTTGACCTTCTTAAAGTCAAAAAAGTGTCAAAAAGGAATTTTTCAACTTCATTGACCTTCTTATGGTCAAAAATGGTCAAAATGTCTTTTTTCAACGTGCTTCAAATTGACCAATTTTTATTTAAAAATCAGGATCTGAAATACTCATGCATGGAGAATGTCATAACTTGCATTCATTCTTATCTTTAAATCGTACTTTCGTGTCTATGAAATTGTAATGTGTAAGAGATAATTGCTTAACCAATCATATTACTTTAAATAAAGGAGTAAATTAATGACTGATTAAACACTTCCAGAGTTTTTTTAAACTAAAATTCCAGAGAATGTGTTGATGCTTCGCTAAACACGTTTTCGAACGTATAAATATTTTTAATAAACCGGATCTAGCTTCGTCTCAATCGCCCGAGCTTTTGGAGGTGATATGTTTGCATTTATGGTCACTGGAATGACATATGCTCGTTATCCCTCTCATATATCGTTTTCCAAATGAGAAGAAATATTGATACTCAAATGATTTTATGGGGATGTCGTTCTCTTAAAAAGCCCTAAATCATTAGACGTATCGCTGATTTCCTCGTAAATCGAAAAACATGTCTAAAATAGATCAACTAACAGATTTAGCGGAATCCATCGGCTCAAATATGTTCCGTAATATCATTGCTTGTCTAATTTTTAAGCAATTATCCAAAATCAACTAGACTGGCTGTCTTGTTTTCCCTGTTTAGCATAGATAAGTACGGATAGCATCGGTGTGTCTCTATTTATCAGTCACTTGCATGAACGCAATTTTATAAATTCCAAATACTGGTATATCCGTTCTATAATTACGGAATTATCACAAGTGTCTTGATATCGTTGTATTTTCTGTTTATTTGCCAGAATGAATATAGAATTAGTGAAATATTGAGCATTTCGTCTGTATGCCAACTAATTTGCTCTTTTTGTCTGTAGTTGAAATGTTGTAACAATATAGACCCCTCAGGAGAAAATTGTAATTGTCGAGTATTTCCTTGTCATTGTAAGATATTTATTTAATTAAGCGTTGTTCTTACCTTCAAAAGATAGCTAGGTTTATGTACAACAGGATAAAGATGTAAAAAATTCATACATGGGTTTCAGATATTTTATAATGATGCTAGACCGTTTGCCTTTTAATGATTCACAGAGTGAAAAAGAAAAAACTCATGGTTAAAATGACTAGTTTCGATGTTTCCATTAACCACGTGATTTCAGCATATCAATACAGCTAGTCCAGTGGTATTTTGCAATTAGGTAACGTCCCTAGGAAAAGCCCTTAAATGAGGCAAAAAGTAAAACCAATTCATTTACAAACTATTGAAAAGGCCTATCATATCATTTCGCTATGTGTTACCGAATCACCTCTAATTCGATTTTTGGAGCGTGTAACAAATTATGTTCTTAGAGCGAGATGACCAGACATTTGTTTTCACCTATCGTGATTGTTTATTCGTCTTCATGCGTTCCGACTATCTATCAATAATTGGGCAAAAGGCTGGCAAAAATCTGGATCAAGTTTTCGAGTTTCAATATCTCACTGAAGCTATTCAAGTCAAACACAATTAGAGGCACCTGGTTCTTTTTTCACAAATATCTCTCTCCTAGATTTTCCATTTTTTTCTTAATCCTTATCGCATTTGTATGTATGTATAATTTATTTACCTCTTAATCAAAGAGAGTTACATTCATATAAACATGTAGAGAAAATCTACTAAGATTATAATACATATTAATTTTGTGGACATATTTGGCTTCCAAATAAATCCAATATGAATTGGAACGCTTAAATGAGGTAAAACGAAACTCTGGTGAAACGTCAGTTTGTGTATGCGATGGTGTTTCTCGCGGCCTGGGGGTATTACCCGTATAGCATTCGTTTTACTTAAAGGCCGACTTTGCATATTTCCAATGTTTTGGGGCAAAATAAAGACTGCATTTTTAAGAACCCTATCTTTCCTTTGACACCAACAACAGCTTCAACTGACAACATCAAAGCTGCTTATATTAATACATCAAAATTTATCAATGCGAAGTTGTTTGTATTACACGATACATTCATTTTAATAGAAGTGTCACCATCTTTTAAATCAAAAGTAATTTAAAACATGGACTTTGTTTAGCATTTGCATGCACTACTAATGATCTCTGAAATTCAATTTTTTTCTATGTGAGTTATTTTTTCCTTGGTTCAATATTAAAGCAAATCAAACTTTGTTTCATATTTGAGCGAGTGTTCGAGTAACATGTTTCAATGATTATTTTTTATTTTTTATTCTTAATTAATTATTAAGTATAGTTGGCCTTTTTAAGCATTCGCTTATAGATAGCTTCGAACTGAACTCTGCGCACGGGATATACATGGCGGTATTCTTTGAAATTGATAAAATATAAACGGCACTTGCATCTAAGTGTCTTACTATATTAGAGCTCAATTGGGAATCCGGAGCGAAAAGTAAGTCAGCGCATGTAAGTGACATGACGCGTTTGTCTGATAACAATGAAATATCCATCCGGGAATAAATTCCGATTTGTTACTTTACAGTCGTAGTTTCAATTTTTGCAGCTAAATCGAAGCGATTAATACGAATGTCACACTTATTGACGTATGGCAGTGCAATAAATGATGACGTAATCAAACGATTTATAAGTTATACGGGAATAATAAACTTGCTAATATGCGAGTCGCATAATCAGTCGAAATGTTGACACATGCGCAGACCTCTATTTAGTGATATTTTCATTTCAAATATGGCGGCCAATCCGATGTCTGACGACCCTTACAAAGAATCTAGGCAGTGTGCAATTTTACCTCCTGTGAAATAACAAGTGGAATTTAGTAGTTGTTTTGTGTTTTATTATCATTCTGCATCGTAATTCTATGTGATGTGGTGTTGAAATGTCAGCAGAAATACATATCCATACGATAATCGAGTGAATCAGATAACAGATTTTTCGAAAACACGTCTCGTGCTAAGCGTGTAAAAACTTGTATTAACATGCTCAAAAGTGCCAATGTGCACATCAATGTCAAGCTAAATCAATGTTGTGTCTAAAACAGGTACCTGATCTACTCAAAACAGCTTGTCATTCACATATACACGCTTAGCAAACACGGCGAAATGATCTGAATCTTGGAATTTCGTTTGAGAGCTAGTAATGTTTGCTCCGGTCTTCGTCATAAGTGTTCATCAGACTTCACGCATGCTCAGGAGAAAAACCATCAACCAATCACGTTTATAAATCAATTTTGCGCATGCGCCTTACAACGGTAAAGAAATTTGTATTTATAAACGAACCAATTTGAGATAACCCGATATCAGTCGGAGAAATCTGACGATCTACGAAACTCACTTCAAAAAATCAAATGCGGACTGACGGCGTATTCTACTATGTTTGGATCTAAGATTTTCAGCATAGATAAAGTCTTTTATGATCTTTCGAATGAGGTAAGTCTCTAGTTCGAAAGACAATCGTATCAACTTGAACAAAAGTTGAGTTTTGACGAAAAATTTTAACATGCGCAGAAGTCCCATTTTCGTTGTACCATATTGACTGTAATCTCGCAATTAATATAAATCTAAACACACGTATAAACACGTCTCGCTGGCAAAATCGCTGGTAATCGTATCCGACTTATTCGAGGTTTTATCAATAAACATGATTTTATTGATCATTTATTTGAAAATATGTCACGAAGAAGAAACATAACGTTTTTACGTAATTGCTTATTGGGATCTTAAAGTTGTCTATATAAACAAACGTACCCAGTTTCATCAATTTCGGAAGCGACACATTGAATATTTCGCACTTTAAAGTAACACTTTCTTCACTGTTTTACGTTTGAACGTACTAGCCTATGAAAAAGCTTGTCCTAAAATGCCCGGATGAGAAAGTTATTTCAGGAAATCAAATTTTGCCTCGGGAAAGCAAATATCACACTGTACGAAATCAGCATTTATATACATGTACTTTATAATTTTTGCAGTTGACGGATTCATGTGTGTTCAGTGTGACAGTGACGAAGATCATGCATGCCTTTCCGATCCACCGGCTCCAACGAACTGCACAACGGCATGTGATGACGGGGATGAACTTGGTATGTTTGTCCCCGGGAGTGGGGCCGAGTGTAAAGACGGCTTCCTGCAATACACTATGTGCATGAATATCAAAACGATGGATGAAAACAGTAAGTTATATATAAATGGTAGTATTATATGTTGTTAACTACGATTTTGTGAAATTTATAATCGATCGGTTGGTTCGTTCAGGGCACGTTTACCTTGGTACATTAGTAGATAGAATTGTTACTGCAAAGAAATACAATTTTTATGATCGGCAAATTTAAAACTAACTCCTGAGAACGTAGCTGTATGCTATAATATTGAATTATTAACATTTAATATACATAATTCTGTAGTATAGAGAAGTTATGATGCCTTAAAGGAGTCATACGTGTACTTGCTTGATATATCGGGTCCCCTGTGTACAGTATATAATGTTTATTTCATCATAGAGATTAGATTTCGCATTTCAATATTCCATTATAAGCAGAAAGTAGAACATTTAATAAACGAATGAGTTGCAAAACGTGAATTTATTGGACATACATTCTGAATTTTGCATAATGATCTGTTCCTACGGAGTAATTACCCTCTTAACATGTACATCCATATTGGTTGCATCCTCGAACATTTTGCAAGTTAATATCCAATTTTGTTTCGCACAAGATTTTATATTCGATTTTTACAAAGGACCATATGCACTCTCCACTGGGATCTCCCCATGAGAAAAAAATAATTCATATGATTTTTCAAAATGAGTATTCTACTTTAATTATTACATTTATATGCACACTAGTATCTTGTTGACCTATATATTCAGCACTGTATTGATGTATAGGCCACTTATTAGGGTCATAATTCAATCATGAAGTGTAGAGGCATAGATTCCAAACCAGGAAGTAGTTTTGTGTCTGTCAAAATCCATTTGCATCCTAAGCATCCCTACATCTAATCCAAATATGTTACTACATAATGAAATATAATAGTGTATCTCATACTTAAGTGGGTTTGGGGTAGATATCACTCGGGAATATATATCATATCTGAGGAGCGGGCAGGATATATTGTATATGTCCAGCTCTAGGCCAAATGCGGGCAGATATAATATATATAAGTTGTATGATTTTTGATAAGTCTAAGAGTTGTTTTGGAGCATTTTTCTATATGATGAAAAAATGCACAATCTTTTAATTTTAAGTATGACCTGAATCGATTGCAAACTTCATATTTGCACATTTGCTGAGATAAACCATTTGTGTCATATTGTGAAATTATTAAGTTTGCTATCGATTCGGGTCATAGTGTATTTTTGGTATTTTTGTGATAATCAATGGAAACCAATGGCCTGTACAGGGATCTGCTAATATCCTCATGTTAAGTCAATAATGTACAGCCCCATGAACGTCAATACAACCTTATTAAACTAAATGTCCCCTATCTCAGCCTATGTGTGCCCAAGCACTTGAATATTTTCTAAAGAGTTATATGACATTCTATACTTCATGTTACACCTAAGAATTATTCATTTTGACCATAGGGGTATTTGCCAATAAACGCACTTCTTCCTTTAACAAATCCATCAATGTATTACTGAAGGTATGCGCTGGTTTATCAGTACGGTCATTCTGAGCAGCAGTTAATAATTAAGAATTTAAGCGAAATTACCTAAAATATACGTGAACTGCAGTGCATCAATTTCAATCTGTAGAGTAAAAATATAACCTTGACAACCACTCGACGAATGACCTTGGGTGGGTTATTGGATATATAATGCAGTGCGGACACACGTTCCCTTGCTATGAGTGAATATGATATAAAGAATAATTAAAATAGCAGTATGTGACCATCGTTAGGTATCACGTTATGTCGAATACGTTGTAATTTCAGGTACAAAAGTCCTCAATATGGTGAGAACATGTGCGAGCTCGGACTTTGGAGACGGATGCCAGTCGGGATTTGATGACTCTGGAACTCCAATAAATGTCTGCACTGTATTTTGCCACATAGATGGCTGTAACCATAGCAATGTTATAAGTGCTTCCTTTTGGTCAATTGTTCTGCTTATCTTTCCATTGCTATGAGGGATACGGACAGTGGCGTTTTTTGGATTCCAATGTTTAATAAGGACGTTGAAGTATTTGAGTTTTGATGAAAAGTAAAGAACTGACGAGTTTAGAAATGCATGTATCGAAAGGATTTGCCGGTGATAAGAAATGAAGTCAAGAGGTAATAATATAATGTTGGGGATTCGTAATGACATAAGCTTCGCTCAGATTTTAAAGAGCATGAAACAAGCTTTACATCCGGGCTTTACATGCATGTAAATGTGGGCATCGGTTACGAGCATGCGCTCCGTATCAGTTTTGTTGCGGATGCGATATACTGAGTTGAGATGTTGATGATGTCTACTTCCAGTGACCCTAAGAAGGGGGGAGGGCAAAATGAGGCAACAATTAGATACAAGAAAGATGGTGTGACAAAACGAAGATCTAAAAGTGTAAGGACAAGAGTTCGATGATTTGAGATCATGATCCACGATAAACACATGACATTTCATCAAAACCCTTGGAGGGATTTTCTGTCACATTGAACATTCAAATTAGTGACGAATTACTGAATTCTCCTCTTCATATTTACCCGATCAGAAGCATCATATGAAGCGAAGAAACCTTTTTGGAAGATTAATTAACAGAGGCGCATGATTTGAATGTGTTGACATTTATGAGGATGATCGTCATTGCAGGAAACTCCCATTGGGCAGTAGAATTTAGCATCTTAGAATGTTACCACCCATGCCCATTGTTTCCGAAGGCAATATGTGTTTAACAATTAATCAGAATGGACAAGTTTCTTGTCAATATTTCTCAGTTGATTTTCTGCATTTTGTCCATATTTGACAAAAGTCCGGATTCTGGTACGTAGTCATAGCGATAGCCGCGCCTCTTTATTCTCTCTCGCAAACGGCAGATAAGAGGGGCTCTGGCATACAAGAATGGTACGTACTCAATTCGACAATTAAAAAAAATTATTTGACAATTTTGACATTTGGCCACTTAAAACATGGTGTGAGATCTTAATGTAAATAGTTAAAGTACATAATGTTTGTCTATATGTAAATAACCATTATTAGATCAAGATATATGGTTTGGAAATGCCATATAGCTATTCAATTGGCAATGATCGGAAAGATCGTCCATTCTTGATAGTTTTGATATGGTTGCTTTTTCTTTTCTTAGATTCGATGAAGATTAGTTAACAAAGCGCTGAAGATTGATAAACAAAGCTTATCAAGAATGGATTGGACCTTACTTATGTATTCATGGAATCTATATTATGTATGTGACCATGTACATATATATGTTGTACCTTAATATCACCCCATGCAGAAAGATCGCCTAAAATTACATTCGTATGATGCGAAACTCGACATTCAGCAGGAAACTATGAAGAACCCATGAAGCAAATTAGTTTTTTGGAGTGTGTTACTTTATTTCCTTGTGGACCTAAATGCCTAACAATTTATACATATTTTTCTGTTTTGAAAAATTCGATATGTGAATGTATATTTCTTAGTTTTTCAAAGAAATCTACAAATATTTCGTTGCGGTTTTATCTTAACATTGTGATTTCAATCACCGCCATCATTTTTCAAAAGTGTAACCTTGAAGTATCAGAACATCATGCTATTCCCACATATAGCTTAATGTGACTGTCATTCACCATTTATTATGCAGTAAAAGTAATTTGCAATTGCTTCATTGGTGACAAAATGTTTCGAGTTTCCTGTTAAATATCGAGTCTTGCATAGTACGAATGCAATTCTAGGCGTTCTGTCTGCATGAGGTGTAATATGCACGTCATTCGATTGTAAGGGGATCTCATTTTCGGTCATCGTGCAGTATTTACGAGTCCTTTGGAAAAACGTTCACTGCATTTTATTGTCGTTTTTTAATCTCGAATTCGCAAGGGAATAATATAAGCTATAATGTAGCTCTTAAGTTTATAATAAACCATGTGGCTTTAAAAAGCTCCTGATAAAACGCCATAGGAAAATTGTGTAGCGTATTCCATGGCAATTGACTTTACACATCTTTTATATTAGAGTTATCTCACATATAGAGAGATTTTATCACGGAGAGCATGTCCTCCTTTGGCTGGCAGAAACAAAGGTCTTGAAAACTAGCCACGGCATCGGGCATATTGATTAGTTCTTCTAATATCAGTATATATATATATACGGTGTGTATAAATGACAACATCATTTGATATATTGGTAGATTCCCGCCTGAACGATCTCGATGTCAAAACTGGTCAGTATCAAGAAAAGGTAGCGGCAGTTACCTTCACATTCAAGATGGCGGACATTAAGTGTCGACTTCAATATTTTTAGTTTTCATCAAATTAAACCTTTTTATAGGGTTAAGATTAAAAGGTGGATTTGATCGAGTTGATTGGATTCATGTACCAGTAAAAGTTGGATTGGATCTTCAAAATATGTAATGGAATATGAAATAACGTTTTTTTCTTACATTCTACAGAGTATTTTGTGATTACTCGACCCTTTGAGGAATGATAACAAAACAACAACAAATACATACTACAACAATATTATTTGATGGATACTCTTTAACTGCATTCCTTTTTAAATCGACTTTTATAAGGCATGATCAACATAGATCTGTAGACAAAAGCTGTCATTCAAATAGATGGTCGGATGTTCTCAAAATATGTGTGCTATGTTCTGTTTGGATTGAAAACAAATGATATGGACCTTCAAAGCAGCCAGCTGCCTTATGATTTATAAATGCCTAAATACCCCTTAAATAAATATGATTGTGTATCAGAAAGCGGGTACCAGGTCACACTTCTTTCCAAACCATGCAAAATTATGTTACATCCATTAATTGACATTGTGGGTAAGAGAAGAGCACCAATCTTCAACAGAAAAACATCTTAGATAAATCCATATTTTGAAAATTCCCGATCCAATCCACCTTTTACATGAATCCAATCCACATAAGGCTTGGCATTTGAACCACATCAGGCGTATATGACATTTACGCTCTGAGGTGTCACATATTGTTCCTATATCGTGTCTTGGCGCCACAGTTCAACGATATCTTCGTGAATTCTTGTTCCACAGACACGGATGATAAGGTAACTGATTTGCAGTGATTCGGTAACGCTATGAGTCTATAATGGAGAGCTAACAGATGTCATGAGCAATACACGTTGCTCCAACTGAAATTTCTAAACCTCCCTCATCGACGTATCTCTCTTACCTTGCCTTGATTTACCAAAGCATGTCAACTATAAAGTGGTTTAATTCAATGAAAACTAAAAACATCAAAATCAACCCTTATTGTCCGCCATCTTGAATGTGAAGGTAACTGCCATTACCCTCTCTTGATACCAACCAATGAGTCACGGACTACCCAGTACTCAATATTTCGGTTATAATGAAATTACATTGAGAAATCAAGCACGTTTTTTTCAAAAAAATAATCTGAGTTCTGCTATTTATATATATTAAAATGAAAACCATTATCGTATTTGGAGCAAATTACTAGCATTTTAGAGCCAAAGAAGCATTCGAGCACCCAAAGTATACCATACGAGTGCTGGAGATTCCGTTAACACTAATAAATAAACAGTAAACATTGTTATTTACGTTTTTATATAATTATTTCGATTTGAGTTTATTGTCAAAATAAGAACAAACTATTACCAAGTAATCAACCTCCATCCAAAATGAATACATATACATTGTATGCATGCTTTTCAATGAATCCTTCATATTTAAATGAGGTTATAATATAATCACTTTGTAATTTGTATTCGGAACTAGAAAGAATAAATAAAAATGAACACAACATTGTATCGTTGATTGAATGAGTCATGGCTATGTACATTTACTAAAATTCTACAGTGACTATAAAACTAAGATATAAAATATAATGGGTACAGCAGTTTGGTTGGAGCATGTCGTAAAGCTTTTTCACCCTTGCTTTAATTGATCGCTTTACACATCTTAACATATAATAGTTAGAATTATCGTCCATTATTGTCATAAAGATGTCGCTGTATGTCCAAGACAGTACTCTGAGTCCTGATTGATAAAAGATGAGAACGAGGGTAGTCCTAGAATCGTTTTCAAGAATAGATATTTGATTTATTATTCCTTCCTCGTTTTACACAGTTACTATCAATTAATGTAGATATTACGTTGCGAGGAAGTGGTAGTGTGAAATGTTTGATATTGGCACCAGTAAGTAAAGGCATGACCAGAGTGACATCTATGAAAGCATACATTCGCTGTATTATTAAAAATATGTAATTAATGCACTCAAAGATGTCGCTCTCGTCAGATTAACGTCGGTTCTCCAAACTGAGATTCAAATTGTTAAAATTGCTCCTTCGCCTGCAGATTCTTTCCCGTCACTTGCTGCTGGAAGTGAAGCTTGCAGAAAAGGATTCCCTCACTCTGTCTATAGTTGTTCAGGCTGCAATGATATCGTCATGTATAGGCTTCTAAATGCACATATTTCTTATTATCCCCGACCTTCCACCGTTCAAAGCAGTTGGCGAACTTGACTAACTTTGGTTGAGTATTTTTAAATAAAACCACAATTTGCTCAATGGTGGTTCTAATATTGCAAGCATCCCATCACCATATACTTATCCCATAATAGTGTAAGTTGATTTCGTCCATTTGTAATTAATCAAAGTATTTTAATTACTTGCATATTGTTCCAAACACCAGTGATCGAATAACTAATCAGTTGAAAACGTGATCACCATAAAGATAATAAATGAAGGAGAAAAATCCCTAAGTGAATGTGCATAGTTAGCAGTTGAAGCATTGCGTATTTATTTCTATAATACTCTAAATTTTGACTAGATCTGTGTACCCTAGGACGACGTAATTCAGCATAATGCGACGCAATTCACCAGCCTAAGACGACACATCCCGCTGCCTATTTATCTAGTCTATAATGATATACAGAGGCTCTTAATATAATCTAGTCTCTATGAATTGCTATAGACTAAGAGCCTCTGAAAATCAGAAAATGTCACTTTAAGATATATTCTAGTACTGTGCGGTACATTGCAGATTCTTTGAGGTGACCTGCTCGTGGAAATGATTCTTGCAAAGAGGAATCCCTTCATTCATCGCATAGTTATTCAAGCTAAAACCAAGAAAAGCATTTTGATCATAAGATAAATCTCATTTCCACTAGGAAAACTGCTACATGTTTAGTTTATATGATACTAACTATTTAGAAGAAACTAATTTGTAATTACAAAGTTTTTTATACATTTTTGATTTTAAGTATTAAAATCATTATCCCTTAATCCAAAATTAAGCATTTTGAGCTGCATTAGGCTAATTAGAAAAGTATATTAAAACTGTTTGGAACGCATGCAAATTGAAATACGGTAAAGAAGGCTAAGGTATCAACATACTAACAACATTACAATTAGGTAAAAATCAGTATAGAGAGGGGGCCTGGAGGTTTCTTGCTGTAACATTTTTGTGGAAATCGCTCTTGCAGAAAAGCACACCGTCACTCTGGCAGTAATTGTGAAGGCTGTAATGATGCCAAACGAAAGTTATTCACAAACACAACGCAACACAAATCAACACAAACGTTAGTATACTGTACGTAAATGGCGAAGATTTACGACACACACAAAATGTTAATGGGTTCAGTTTATTATATCTAGGTCACGTTAGTCAGGAGTCATTGCTCGCAATACGATATTCTAGTAGTTTTAATATGTTGCACAAATTATAAGCGATTGGATTTTAGTTATTCTCTGAGATAACTTTTCTCGTAAGAAAGTACAAGTATTACTATGTCCCATCATTTCTAAGTAGTTAACGTATACATAAATATATTGGGCGAGACTTGAGAATTAATATACATTGTCACTCAAAATTGAAACTTCTGATTGGGTTTGGAGCCGAGATGCCCGGATATGACCGAGCAAAAGCCGAAATTCACGTGACTTTTTTTTGACCTAAAAATACTTTATGAAGCATCAAATGCCACATTGCTCAGTTTAACAAATGGAAACATCATTATCTAAACAGCTGACCTAGCAAAATATTGTAGTTATTCGATCAAATATGTAGTTGATAATAGGGGTCATACCCGTATTTACCCGCATGAAAGTTTTGTTGTTTCAGCAGGACGTGTATGGGAAGAACCGGCGAAGAAAATACACTTCAAAATAAACGTTGAAAATATTCATTAATTGGCACACGAGTGACTGCTTCCATATCATATTAAGATATAAACGAAAGACTGAAACCATCTGCATATTCTAAGTTGAGTATTTCCTATTTGGTAATGAAACTGAAGAAATATTGGCACTAAATGGAAGTCGTGTTCTCATATTACCAGTGTTATGGTTTCTGTAGAACTCGGCGATTTTTATTTTTTGCGTAAACAAGCTCTGCATGGTCTGTATGTTGTTACCTACTCGCTGAAGTTGGTGGGTGTAAAAGCAAGCACTGCTACAAATATAACTAAAGTGAGGTAACTACATTTACACATTCTAAACAAGCAAATCTTGTTCTATCTTCCCTCAAGAGAACATGTAGTCATTGTTCTAAAAACATTGCTCCAAAAGCAGGGCTCTAAACATCGTTTAGTGAAGGAACGCATTTGGTACGCCTGGAGCCTTCCTACAATAGCATAGTGCAATGCTAAATGCAAGAATTCTATGTGAGGGATTAGATTGACATTCAAAACACGCATTTAAACAGTGACGGATCCACAAATTAAAAAGGGGGGGGGGGAATTTTGAGTCTGGAAAAAAAGTCCGTTCTTGCGCGGAAAAAGATTTTGGGCTCCTAAGACCAAAAATTAAGGCACATTCTTGGTAAATTGACCAAAAATGCCTAAAAATGCCAAATTATGCCAAAAGGCCCATTTTTGAGGCCCTATATGCGGCTGAAGCCATGCCCCCCCCCCGGATCCACCACTGTTATAATGCATTATGTTTTGAGTATGTCGACATTTCGTCACGTGACACGTGCAATGCGCATGCCCCAAAAGCTTTGATTCAAGCAGTGCTTGTCACACTGTCATACCTTGCAATAGGTGTAAATGAGCAGCCCATCTGACTAATCCATAATAACGATTAATTATTTGTTTTTAGACATTTTTCTCTATTATTTTGAATTATTGAATACGTTATCTTATATGTTTTTCTATTTGTTTTAACTAAACAACCAAAGGGAACTTTGAGGGTGGCTCATTTATTCGAAATGATCGGTATGATAGCGTGATTATTTTGCAACAACAACACAACAACAGCAACAACATATGTTAGACATACTAATTCAAAATACTTCAACATAGCACTATCCATCACTTTAAGTTAAATAACAAAATTAATCTAATTTAAATGACAATGCAACTCTACTAATCTATATGTCTATCAATCCATAAGTTCTAGACATAATTAGCAACAACATCCAAAAATTCAAACAAAACAAGATCCCGATAAATTCAACTCAAGGTACACTTGTATACATTAAAGGCTCCACACGAGCGAATCCTTCGAGACTTACTTGAGTGTGAGGTTGCATTCTTTACATTTAAAACATGACTTATGGAATGGAATCTTTCCGGCCTCGATCCTCTCTGCAGCGTATACGGACTTTGTGCAGACTCCGCACTTCTCAATCTGTCCTCCCTGGAATATAAACACTAGCCTTTAACGAGATTTAGCACAAGTAATATAAACACTAGGCTTTAACGAGATATAGCACAAGTAATATAAACCTAGGCTTTAACGCGATATAGCACAAGTAATATAAGCACTAGGCTTTAACGAGATATAGCACAAGTAATATTTATTAAGACTTTAGGTCATGCCATGGGTGTTTGATAACAGTTCTTTATTTTCGGAGGTGAACACTTTTCGTTCACTTTAAATAGGTTTCACTGTGGGTCACAGGCATATTTAACTCTCCCTTTAAAATAACTTCAAATGATTTCATATATTTGGATGCAACATAGAGTGGTGTTATTTTCAACTTGATAAGGTTGAAATGCGTAAAACAGCCACAAACATTTCCGAAGTTCCATATATTTATAATTGACTCTCCCACGCAGTAACATTAGCTTTGAAATCCTAGCTGTTTGGCTGATTGATGACTTCACCCCCGGGACTTCACCGCACTGAAATGAGTTTTGTATCAGAAAGTGTCTGATAAATTGCACTGCGTTTCTGACCCATCCCCCAGCCAATGATGTCATAGAATAAATCAAGAGTTTAGATGATAACAATTCGATCGTTGTTCGTCATTTAAAAAAAGGCGCACGCAGACTGACTTGAGAGAATTCAGCCGATTAGCTTATTGGGCCATAAACTGCTTCTCGTCGGACATTTCCTGTAGTTTTGCGTTAGACTTCTTCATTACTAGAGGTCATAGAATCCATTCGTCAAATTACCATGCAATTTCGGTAACTTGTGGTAAAGTCATGTAAGGTTAACTCTTTGAAGGCGGGGAGTAAAAAAGTTAAAACAACTTGACCGGTATTTGACCATTTATTCTTAGGATTACTCTGTCCTCGCAAAACAGGCCCATCTCGACATTAATTTATTAACAAACCCAACAGAAAAATTAACTATTATTGTGATACAACTAGGGTCTGTGTGGGCTTACAAGGGAGCCATAATATCTGGAGGTCTATCATTTCGATCTTCAAAACCGGGCTTCAATGTACCAGTAACATGAAGCATGTTGTACAAAGTATATAAACATTTTGACTGGTAGCGTTTTTCGTAAACGCTAATTGAAGTGGCAGCTTGATTGATTATTCGGGAGTCACCTGTACATATTGCATACATGTACTCTTATACATTTGTAATCAAACGTGGACACGAGTGCTTCAATTTGACAGTAATGTTTATGTCTAATTAACATGACATTTGCTCGTGAAGTTTGTTTTATATAGTGAAATGATACTTTATCAGACATGTTTTCATGTTTACATTTTCTAGTGGTAGTTTACTTTGATTTATGTGGTTGACGGATGGAATTTCTGACCCGATAGGGTTTTGATGAAATTGTAGCTGAGATACCGTATTTGAAATAACGATTCATTTAATCCATTCGGAAGTTATGTGTTAATCCAAGTGTCTACAGTTTAATGCAAAGCCGCGAAAATACTTCATATCGAGTCGTATAAACTTTAGAAACTTGGCTACGGATAAGCAAGTCTATCTCGACCGATGACCAATGCACAACTTAAGTCATATGAATACGGTATCATCTTATTTATTTCATAGCATATGATATGTATAGGGAAGAGATCAAAAGAGAATCAGAGGGTCTCCTAAAACAGGAGGGGTACACGGAATAACCCGACAGTTCAATCATGTAATGATGGTTGAAATAGTAAATTCTTTCTTTAAGTGATCCGACAGAATTAGAAGTGCCAACACTTGTTATCGTGGCACTTACACCGACCATTGTAAATTATTTTAAGACTTGGAGTACGATATGAATTTTTATACAGACAGCAACGGAAAAAAGATTTTCTTCGAGAACCTTAGGATGGTTCAATTTACCTTTGAACATATAGACACGGGTATTCCACACATCATACACACTGCATGTTATTTGATAATGATCGTTGTGGCTTCTGACTGCATGTGGATACGTTCCACATTTGTTTTTGTTTTGTTTATTAAAACATAATCCAGATAATGTGCCACATAAACTCTACAAGTAAAAGCTCGTGGCATATAACGTCTTGTTTTCGAGTCAAGCGCCAGAACATGAACATTTTGAACGATTTACAATTTAGAAATGCTGCCTAATCTCAAACATATATAATTAACCAAGCCATGTAATGGCCAAAACAATCATTCTTCTCAAGAAAAATTATCGTAAGCCATATAAACTTTTGGAGATCGTTTCTCTATTAACACATTTTTGTGACAACTATGTTGAGACTTCCAATGTTGCCTTATAATATGAAGGGACGATTGAACATATAAAAGTTGGATAAAAGTTGGAATGAACCAGAACAACACAACAGTATTTGGGGATATGGTTGGCACATTACCCTGCGTGCAGAGTCTAGTTATAAACGAGTAAAGGCGAAGCTATCTTCTAAGAAATGAAGTCGAAAGAATCCAAAGGGTATTGGCATTAAGAATTTAGACGAAATTTAGTATTTAGGTATCCATTGAACGAAGTGAACCATTTGCTTATAATCAGTTCATTAGTTCTCACAAAGTCCCCCAAAATAACCTCGAAATATCAGAAACAGTTGCCAACTTGTTATCTGAGCGTATCTTTGAATTACGTCCACTGAAGACATTTACGTCTATTTATGTAAGCTCTCTTAGATACTGTTGCTAGTAGCTTTGAAATGCAACATTCTGACCCAAGCTGTTACAGATATGCGATATCATATCTATGTAAACATTCTAACATGCTTCTGGATATCTTGAGGTTATATGGTGGAAGGAAGGAAATTCCATGTCCTCTCAGAATATCGAGGTATCAGAAATAGTTAGTCATAATTTTAATATTATAGGTCAAGAAGATTTTTTTATTTATTAAAATCATATTAACATATTTACATAATATGATACTCAAGATATTGTACTCAAGCCACTCAAGGCCTTTTTAATTAGATATGATGATTATGTAGCTATAGGGTTTGTAAGGTGTCTAAATGTGTTTCACTAGAATTTCTCACAAGTGGCTAAATAAATGAAAACAACAGGCAAAGTTAATACTCTAGTAGCTCATGCTGGTTGAGTATGCACTTCTATGTCCAGAGATTTTCTCATCAGAAATCATCTATGTGAAGGTCATTGATCAATTTTGGCTTGGTAACATATTTGCCACTGAAGGCGAAATAGGTCAAATGGCCACGCCCTTTTTTACGCAAATACTCCCCCCCATTTTTGCATCTCCGGAACCGTTGGACATAAAAGGTTGTGTGACCACTCAAAATGTCGGGAATGGCCACATTATAGGGGGTCAATAATACATTTGTATTTAAAAAAGTCAATGGTTCTCAAGATATTTCCCAAAAACTGATTTTAGAATGAAAACTCCACTATTTTCTCCTTTGATCCTGTCCCTAGCTCCGATTTCGTTACTCGGCTGGGAAAAAAGGTTTGTTGGTATCATTTTGTTCCAGACACTCTCTAGAATAAATTCATCTTGGGTGGAATAAAAATGTGTGGTAAACGAATTCGCTATGGGCAGTTAAAGAGGCGCCATCTATTCATTTTCAAACAGGGGGTAGGGGTATAAAATAATTTTTTAACACATTTTAATAGTAAAATGACATTGAAATAGTAAAATGACATTGAAATACTAATAAAATCTTATCAAAAACATTATTTACAATCAGTATGAATTTTCTTGTGTGGATTAGGGTGAAAATAAGGGCATATCTTGAAATTCACTACAGGGGCGCCACCTATTTCTGTACGTGTACTAACTTATTTTAGATTCGTTAAGGTACGAAATGTACTGAAAAAATTCATTCTGAAGGACCTATACATGTTCATACCACATACTTAAAATTAGATCATTAGCTTATGTACCAGCGAGGAAAAAATTTAAGTCCAGAGATTTTCTCTTCAGAAATCATCTATGTGAAGGTCATTGATCAATTTTGGCTTGGTAACATATTTGCCACTGAAGGCGAAATAGGTCAAATGGCCACGCCCTTTTTTACGCGAATTCTCCCCCCCCCCCATTTTTGCATCTCCGGAACCGTTGGACATAGAAGGTTGTGTGACCACCCAAAATGTCCGGAATGGCCACATTATAGGGGGTCAATAATACATATGTATTTAAAAAAGTCAATGGTTCTCAAGATATTTGCCAAAAACTGATTTTAGCATGTTACGCACAACAGTTTTCATCTATCCTGCATCATTTAAGACTGAATCCGCAGCTTCTATCTAGTCAGATCAGCGAAGGAAACAAACTTTTTTGGTTGTTGAGTTGAAAATTAAAATTTTTTAAATGTATAATCATATTCCTACATCTTATTAGTATAATATTATGACAAAGCAAGAGTACATACACCATTTTGAGTTTATTTGAGATACATATGCTCCATATTTTGGAAGTTATTAAGGTGACATATGGTCACCCCTGGGACGTCAGAAGCCAAAATGAGAATTAATAATTTCTAAAATGTACAATCATTTTTCTACTTCTTATTACTAATATTATGACAAAGCAAGAGTACATACACCATTTTGACCACATTTGAGATACATATGCTCCATATTTTGGAAGTTATTAAGGTGACATATGGTCACCCCTGGGACGTCAGAAGCCAAAATGAGAATTAATATTTTTTTAAATGTACAATCATTTTCTTACTTCTTATTACTAATATTATGACAAAGCAAGAGACACCATTTTGACCACATTTGAGATACATATGCTCCATATTTTGGAAGTAATTAAGGTGACATATGGTCACCCCTGGGACGTCAGAAGCCAAAATGATAATTAATATTTTTGTTAAATGTACAATCATTTTCTTACTTCTTATTACTAATATTATGACGAAGCAAGAGTACATACACCATTTTGAGCACATTTGAGATGCATATGCTCCATATTTTGGAAGTTAATAATGTGAGATATGGTCACCCCTATCCTGCATGATACCAAAATTTTAAATTTCAATAAATTTTTTCTCCGCTGGTACATAAGCTATTGATCTAATTTTAAGTATGTGGTATGAACATGTATAGGTCCTTCAGAATGAATTTTTTCAGTACATTTCGTACCTTAACGAATCTAAAATAAGTTATTACACGTACAGAAATAGGTGGCGCCCCTGTAGTGAATTTCAAGATATGCCCTTATTTTCACCCTAATCCACACAAGAAAATTCATACTGATTGTAAATAATGTTTTTGATAAGATTTTATTAGTATTTCAATGTCATTTTACTATTAAAATGTGTTAAAAAATTATTTTATACCCCTACCCCCTGTTTGAAAATGAATAGATGGCGCCTCTTTAACTGCCCATAGCGAATTCGTTTACCACACATTTTTATTCCACCCAAGATGAATTTATTCTAGAGAGTGTCTGGAATAAAATGATACCAACAAACCTTTTTTCCCAGCCGAGTAACGAAATCGGAGCTAGGGACAGGATCAAAGGAGAAAATAGTGGAGTTTTCATCCTAAAATCAGTTTTTGGGAAATATCTTGAGAACCATTGACTTTTTTAAATACAAATGTATTATTGACCCCCTATAATGTGGCCATCCCGGACATTTTGAGTGGTCACACAACCTTCTATGTCCAACGGTTCTGGAGATGCAAAAATGGGGGGGGGAGTATTTGCGTAGAAAAGGGCGTGGCCATTTGACCTATTTCGCCTTCAGTGGCAAATATGTTACCAAGCCAAAATTGATCAATGACCTTCACATAGATGATTTCTGAAGAGAAAATCTCTGGACATAGAAGTGCATACTCAACCAGCATGAGCTACTAGAGTATAATGGAAATCAATAAATTCAACATGGAAACGTTGAAAGTCCCTACTATATGCAGTAGTTATGTTGCCTGCATCAAGTATACCCACCCCAAACCCATTGATGAGTATAACATTTAAAAAAAGGTGGATATGGAGTAGTATACACGATAAAGCCATACAGCTCAAAATTGGACAATATTTTGTTGAATCGATGGGGCACATAAGTATGTTTACAATTTTTGTCCAACTCATCTGTTTGTGATATGAGTACTTTGATTCCAAGCAAGCCTACCTAGTTAACCTTATCATGGCTTGGCTGGATAATCCTTCGATAATCCATGGGCAAGATTAGCAGATTATGATATTATCTATTTATAACATAAACACGATATACTTATAAACATTCGGTCCCTACAAAAGTTCGCAGAATCGGCAAGATCAACAATGATGTGTAGTAGTACTTAAGCTTCATTAAATGAAGATGAGCAATACGAAATCATCGATGCATTGAATTAAGTGTTTCAGAACTTTGAATAAAGTTAGACATTCCAGATTGAAATTCGAAAATGAACAGAAGATTAAAATTCATATCCCGATCAATGAAATCTCGTTGTAAATTTTCCCGCGAAATCCAATCTATTAGACTGTGCGATAAATATCACCTTCTATTTGTTGAATGTGGTTATCAAAATAATTGAAATGGCATGTTTTTGATTTGTAACTTTTTATACTATCTCAAACACATTTACATTGACGTCTGGCTCTACTGTTTCAATAATGACTCATCCAACTTTTTATATTCCTGCTATCAGCGTGATGAAAACACACTTGTAGTGGGTAGTGATATACTGATGTCGATGCAACCTCGAAATACAGATATGTTCAAGCTTAAGAATGGTTGTTTCTTGAAACATAGAATATTAAGAAAATATGCTTTAGAATTGATATTTTTGAAATGAGTTTCACTACTTTACAGGTAAATTAAGGGTGAACTTGGAAGGACAGAATCAAGAGATATAACGTCTTAGGTGAACTGCTCTTCTCAATTTATCCGCGGATCTAAATCATATTTAAGTACCTTTTAGAAAGGGTTATTTATTGTGTCTCGAAAATTGAAATACGATTTTGAAATAGGTGTGAGAGTTAATTGAAATGAATGAACTCTTGAGAGTAAAAACTAAGCATGTTGGCATCACTGGTAAATATCATTATATTTGGGCGAAACACGAGGCCGGTCAGATTACCTATTACCAGAGTAGGCCTACCATATTCAAGGCGTCAACAATGTTACATATGCACCAGATGCAACATATGTTTATAGTCAGATCTAGATGATCGGGGAGCATATAATTATTCTGAATCTATAAATGTTTTTTATTTTAATTTTTTTATTTTCTCGTGATCTTTTTGAGTGTAGTTGATATGTAAACAACGCAGAGTTTATCCAGTACCAATGCGGTATTTGCATGTGGTTTTGACTGTATGCAAAACACGATCCTTTAACGCATTGTGTATGTATAAACAACGTTAGATACGCCTACACGATCCTTTAATTATAAATTGCTATCTAACATATGCCAGTTGTTTATGTTTATCTATAGTATATCGCTTCTTAATTGAAAGAAAATAATTACATTACGAGAGGTACTTCGGCGTATTCAGAGTGCCATCGTTAATGTGAATAAATTAGTGCAATGTATATATAGTAAAACTAATTAATTAGAAAAGCCCTTTTTGACTATAGAATCAATCATAGTCTCATTGGATTGGAGAAAAATAGTCGCAGACCTTTACAAAAAATTAATTGTATAATGAGTAATAATAATTGCCCAATTCCATCAAAACGTTTCCATTTTCAGAACTTGAAAAATACGATTTCCCCTTATTCGCATTTTACATGAGAATCAAAACCCTTGCTATATCCTTACCCCTTCAAAAGGATGATTTCGTTAAACAAAAATTAACCTAAATGGGCCTATAATACAAGAATATGAGTTCACTTAATACGCACACGTTAATTATGAAAGCATTTGTTACCGATGCGGTTCATCTTCGCACTCAGTTCGAAATATACTAAATGTTTGAAACTTTGGGTTGAGATAAAAAATGAAATGTCGAAAATCATCATCCAAGTGAACGTTTTTCAACATGACGGAAGGTTATCAAAGGTCATTACAAATATCTGAATTTTTTACTTTTTACTAAAAAAGCGCATATACAATAATATTTGTAAGGACATTGACATACACAAAACATAGAAATAACTGATGTTCTTTTTATTAAAAACATAACATGAAACTAGATCGAGGGTGTGTTAAGTGAAGGCACAAAAGAGCAATATATCAGCAATGTAAACATTGGTTGTAAAAATGTCTATGATACTTCAGACGGCTGAGAAATTAATTAAAAGTCAACGTGACATATTGATTATTGGGTTAAAAAACAAAATATAGCGAGGTAGAAAAACCAATGGATTCAATATCATATACAATGTACAATGAACTGCAATAACGATGTGCCATTCGTTGTTAAAATATGTGTATTTTGACTGCCCTGATCAGTATTCTGTTCACACATCTCCCTACAATAGAAGCACACAATAAAATCATACTCACGAATTTTGGTGGCATTTTTCCAAATAAATCCCAAGTACCCTTGATTATCACGAAATTGTTCAATGTTGTTCTCGGTAGCAGAAGATTCAATTTGTGTTCGGGTTGAGGTGGAGTGGTTGAGATGATCGGATGCAATTTTAGTGTCGTGTGCAAAACATATCGGTGTATATTTCAGTAATCTCAACCACTGTGTGTGTTTCATGTTGTTTTTCACTTTCACTGAAGGTCGAATAAATTTTTCTGGTTCAGTATTTTGGGATCCAGCAATAAATGCAAAAGCAATCGTTGAATATCTCATTTTGGTAAGGCTTATACGTCCTATGTTCACCTTTAAGATGCTGGTATTCATGATCACTGGTACTCCACTCGATTACGCTGGTTACCGAAAGGGACCATTTCGGTAACAAAATCTCGGAAGCTCGAAGGTATGATTTTTCTTCTCCTTATTTCACGCGTTGAAGGCAGATAGAATTCCCACAGCATTTCTATCACAAACGTTTGTCGGTATCACATGTCCAAGACTTAAAAATGTACATGTTTGCGAACAAATAGTTCAGAAGACAACAGAATCGTCGATTTAATACCTCACTTAGTTTTGTTTTACGTCGAACTTCAAAAACGGCCAGATCTACACTTCTAACCCATTCCGTTTACGTAACAGTGAAGTAATAGGGAGTTTAAGCTTAATTGGTCATCAATTGGTCATACGTTTAGGTTGGCGTTTCGATTTTATATGCAAGCTTAAAATTCCTATTAGATTTAATTTGTATGAACACCTATACAAGATGAGACAGTAATGAAACCTTTTCAACTGATAAAATGAATTCGAATTACGTCAAAACAGACTTATCGCTAATGGTAGTAGTGGTCTAAAAGTTTCCATTGTTACGTTGCAATTTTTGGTACATCCTGTCACATGCAATAGTGAATATTTTAAACATATAACATTTAAACATGTAATTATACAACAGTTCAGCATAGGTTATTTACATTTGTACATATCAATTTGTAACATTTAGACCGGCCTCTGCTTGTTTGATTACTGTCTTCACCATTGGATCCACAAAATATGCACAATTCAAAAGGAACTGTTCAATTGAAATAACTTGGCAATTTTGATCAGTCGTTCCTCCTAATAACGTTTTCCAACAATACTTGCTGAGATTTCAAAAGACATGAATACGAATATAATATGTCACGGTTCGTCACAAATTAGGCCATCGTCGATGTTTACCAAAAAAAATATGTTTCAACATTATTGAATGTTCATTTCTCGTGCTCTCGTACCATCCTAACTATGTACACGATTATTTGAGGTGTAAATACGAGTTTGACATGCTAGCCCTATATCACATTCATCATTTATTATGTTCTTCGTTTCCTAGTTATGTTCCACTGATGCCTTTGGATATACCAAATATCACCAATTTTCTTCCACACGTGATTGAACCTGAAATGAAAAGAAATTAATTCAGAGCAATTTGCAATTAAATATTTTGTGAACGTTACATACGCCATCTTTTTATAAAGCAAAACATTATTTCGCAGAATCCTAACTTATAGTGAATGGTTCCTACGTACTATATAACCAATACATGGTGAACACCCGTTGGTAAACGAACATGAGAAATGAAATGAAATTGAATTCTTAATAATAAAGCTCCCATGAATAATAATGAACCTAGAATGAAATGATCTTACACCCCTTCTTGAAAGAATACTCCGTCTTGTTTCGTGCTGAATATCGTGATGTCGTTCGCCATTGTTCCGCACTCTGAGATGATGAAAGATATGTGTTCCGGAAACGAAAATGAAACCCCGGCATTGATGTAAGGTTGCCAAAGGTTTCTCATTGCTGAAAGTAGTCACATAAGCAATGAAGAATTAATCCTAAAAGGCGGCATATACAGTTTTTACCCCTTGCCCAGTTATCAATGATTTTTTCTTTACGTCCAAAACTTTCTATCGATTTTTTACAAGAAAAAGCGTATTTTCACAATAGTTTGCGTCCTAAACAACAACAATTCATGGGCTACTTATATTACTACCTAAAATTTAATGAATGATACCAGGGGGCATAAAAAATGAATGAAATGTAGCCCCCAAATTGGGATTTACCGTCTTTGCCGTTTATGATTGTTTCTCCAGGAGGAATAACAATGCAGTCGTCAGTGTACATTTCAACGACTTTCTCAATTCTGTTGGCGTTTATAGAGTTGGCCCAATCACTCTGGCGCAATCGAATGGCTCTGATTGCATCTTCAGTAGAATGAAAGAAATGTGAAATATAATATCATCCTCACCAATATGCTAAATAAATTCAAAGGTGCGATTCGCTTTGCGGACAAGAAGTAATTGAACTTACGTACAGTATTGTGGGATTGACAGCGTACAATAAAGGCATGATGTCGTAAAGTACTTAGTCCACCACAAATACTGCCCAAACACAACAATGAGAAATATTTCCTTTTACCAGAAGCCACTGCCTTCTTAACATGTTTTGATACATTGGTCACTATTTGCAAGAGGTATACCTACATGTTATTGTCCAAGATAAGCACTTTAATGTAAACTGTTCCACCTACCTTTTTCAACTTCAGATGAATTCTTTAAAGCCATTTTGAATACTAGTATAGTACGCTGATATTCGTTGGTATATCATCATATCGAGTATTCGTATTGAAGCTTCGAGCTTTGTTGTTTAAATAGCTCTGTGGGTTCTTCATAAAATAATATGGATTGGTCTTGTAATGTAAAAAAGACAAGATTAACACAGAATTAATATACTCATAAAACTATACTTTATTCCAAGTAAAAGACTAAACATGTACAATTACACTCTTCAGTATAAAATAAAACTGTTCAAAGATAAAGAAAGAATGAAAATGAGATTAATAAGATGAAAAGAAATGATGTGTGATGTTCCCCCCGATCTAACTCTCTACTGAATGAAGCCCAAAATTTCTCTTAAATACCCCCAAGTTATAGGAAATGAAAGGCAATCCCTTACCCTACAAAACCTATAAGAAACCCATTGAAAGATGGCAGCACAATACGGTGAATCAACATGAAAAATGCTATACAACCCCCACCCAAATAAAATGACAATTCTCCTGACATTGTACGTACTAAAAAAAACTGAAAATACGCAAAATCTAAATAAATGTATATGATATTTTAACAATGTCCTATATGAATGTTTACTAACACAGTGCTGCATACATAGTTCGTGTATAATCCATATCCATATCCAATATCCATATGAAATATCCACGCAGAGTTCGTGCAAATATCCTTGCTTCATACGTAGTTCCTGTTGATAAACGTCGTTATAATAAACCATAATAAGTTCCGATTTTATAATCCGCTTATCTAGTCCTGGATCCAATGCGATGCTGTAATACGTGCATCTAGTCCACGATGTAATATTTTCGAATCCAAAATATGCACCGTCTTAGTAGTCGAAATAATATCCATAATCCGTATATCACATGCACGTCCGCATCGTGTCCATTATCGAATATGTCCGTATCCTCGCTGAAGAATCCATAATAAAATATCCATTTCCTTGTAGCGCTGTTCATAATAAACGTTTTCGTTGGAGAAAAAGAATTGTTCATAATAACAGCTCCTTCATCAGTTGTCGAAATCCTCTGTGGCTCCACTCCATCCGAAATCCGCGTCGTCTGCATCTCCATAAGACATAGGCATCGCCTTCACAGGTCATCTTCATCGCTTCTTCACGGTTAGGTAGTCGTCATCTACTTCAGGTCGTCATAGGAAATCGCTTACTGGGATACCGGGCAATTAATTTTTTAATTCTCAAAAAGTTCTCCAAAAGTGTCTTTATGAAACATTTTTTTACTAACATATCTTTAACTTGCTTTTCTATGTGACATAAACAAGTCTTCTTCGTGTTCTAAACTCTTCATGAATTTAATTTTCTTCAAGACATCAATTTCTCTTCATTGACAAGTAACTAGTCTTTCTATCTCTTCAACATACAAACTTTTCACTTGACTTGTCTTTCATGACTGAGCGTTTTTCAACTCTTCAACTCTTCTAGCAACTCTTCAACTTCAACTCTCCATGAAATTATTTACATTTTCTCTCTATTCTTCAAAGTGATCTCTGATTGTTACTTGTGAAACTTGTCTTTATCTTTAAAATGCACTGAGTGGTTAGTCTTTTAAAATAAAAGATGCAAATTGCTTACGAACAGTAAGAAAGAATATAAATATGGCTTAACATGTTTTCCATAATAGGCAGGACAAATTCCAAAAAGTAATAACACAATTATACATATCTAGCGATTTAACATTAACATCAATAATGCAACATGGGTTTTAGACTCTGCCAAGATTACTAAAACCTTTTCATCAGGTCGCCCCCTCTTGCTAGGACTTTGTTTCCGAAAGTAAATCAGTAACACCTCAGTGCACAATAGCATTTTACTTTGGATTTTCCAAAGAATTCTATATTTTCATACTTAGCGCTATGCATTGCACAAATACAAACAAATTGCTATATTCAAATATAAATGACTAATCTCTCATGTATTCATTTCACTAAACCTGATGATTGATGGCTGTCATAACAAAATCTCGTTGTAGGATCCACAGTTTGTACTTTCTTACAAAACTGAGAAAACCACTTGCCTGGGCTTCAATTCAATTCTCTATTGAACCCTAAATTTGACAATTTATGATCGTCATCATAACATTATCCAGTTGCCGCTCAGGAAATAACCATAATATTTCGAGCCTGTACATGGCAAAATCTCATAACAAATAGTGTGGAATAAAACAATAAAATGCAAAATCAGAAACTTAAAGACAAGATATCCCAAAGATAATATAATCCCGTCCAGCAGGAATATGTTTCTTGATAGACTAAAATCATCATAATCTTATGATGCAATTTCCACAATACACAAACAGAAAAACATGCGATATACTTTTATGCTTTTCGCATCCTGAAAAGATACAACTTGCTCACTGTAAGTAATATTTAAAATTATTAGCCATTTGATTCCTCTTAAAGTCATAGCAAAATTATTCTCCAACCCTGGTTTATGAGGCCGAGTCTTAAAACAAAACTGCACTAATTCTACATAATACCGAGTAATTCCAACTAATGTTACTGTCAGTGCACGTGGGCTAACTGATACCTATGATTCAACTTAGATGCGATATCCAAGGATAAATACCAGTTATTCTACCCCACTGCTTTACATGTGGATCATTTGTTACCTATGATTCAACTTAGATGCGATATCCAAGAATAAGTAACAACCACACAACCTCGATTTAAAACAACATTGAACTCTTCTTCTAGCTAACTTATCAACTTAGATGCAATATCCAAGAACACATGACAAGAAGCCTAGTTCAAATCTCATAACTTAACAACAATGAATTCTCTTCGTCTAGCTAACTTATCAACTTAGATGCAATATCCAAGAACACATGACAAAAAGCCGATTTTACATCTCATCATTTAAGTACCATATTAAAATGCCAGGCCTTACTACACGAATGGAATATGAAATTCCATCATAATTTTCTATAACAAACCACCAGTCTCAAACTACCCCCTCCATTTTCATGGAATTTCATATCTCTTAATAAAACCAGATAAAACGATCCCTATGTGTATTTTCGACAAGCACACGTTTAATTACTGTAAAACATAAATTGTCTTCAGAAATCTCATTTTAAAAGTTACTTTTTCAATCTTCTCATTATCTTAAATGCTTACTTCTTATTGTTCACTCTTAGTTGTTTACTTCTAATTACTTATTTCTAATTGTTTACTTCTTATTGTTACTTCTAATTGTTTACTCTTTATTGCCCGGGTCACCACATATCACAAAAACGGATAATCACGGCATTCACAAAAACTTCCAATTTTGTCAATTTTGATATTTGACTCTTTATGTTTAATTGATTAAAGAAAAATGTTCGAAAACTTATACAATACTACAGAATGGTCCTGTTTTCATACTTAAAAGGCTGTACCTCCCCTTAACAATTCCTCTTACAAGTTATGTTTTCATCCACTAGCCATTAAAATATACCTATATGCAATTCCATTGAGAGTTTGAAATAAAAGATCTTTTAAGGTATGCATTGATGACTTTTACTTAACTCTGTATTATGTACTTTTTCCCTTTTAAATAATCACGAGATAAACAATGCTCATGCAGCACACATTTAACTAACTTACTACTAACCGACTATCTACCTAACTACCTAACTAGCTAACCAACTAGCTAACTAAATATGTTCCCTTTATATTTACTTATACCAGAGACATATAAAATGTTTTATAGGTCTCTGCTTATACACACTATATACATTCTTTGACTAAACAATCAATTAATCCCATCCATATCTTGTAGGCGCTCTTCTATTTCTTGCATTTCAATATTGAAGCAAGACTACGCCTTAATAAACCATCCGACGATTTCTTTTCTTCATTTTGATTTTCAGGTGAAACCGTGATTTTGCCATCTGTGTCTTTCTCGTCATGGAGACTTACAATTTTATCTGACCAAATCAAATCAAAGTTTTCATTATTTTCGTCTTTCTCATCTTCATTTTCCCCGACGGCACCTAACACGACAGAACACCCATTTTCACATTGATCCTTCCCCTCCATATTCACAAGGTATCAACTTCTATTTAATGAATGAGCTATAATCTATACGTAATATCAAAACACAAACAGAATCAAGTACGCTTTTATCATCAATACAGGGATTTTTACAAAATACAAAGACCAACAACTATATCTCGAACATTCAAATCAAATATTCTCAATTCATAATTTCGTCTAACACCAATTCGGGACAATCCTAACACTATAGCCACAGCCAAACAAATAGATACGCGCTCGATTTTGCCAATTTTAAAGCAATGCGTCTTAGCATGCACAATTGTAGAAATAAAGGATAGAAAGAAAGTAAAAGAAAGTGTTTTTGAAGTAACTAAAACAGGAGCCTGTTACATGAGCTTCTTGTTGATAGCAAATACAGAAATTAGTACAGCGCTGAAATGCAAGCGTTTTCGTATTTCAATTTTAAAAGTAACTACAACGGGAGCCCGTCTTCATTACTAAATGATGATTCCCTTAACAATAGCACGTGTAAACATCAAATATTCTTGACTCTTTGTCTTCTTTTTGTTCACAAGATCAAGGTAAAGTTACGCATAAATTAACTGAGCGTACACAAAGGCAAGATCATTATCAGTCGTTTAAGTGAAGATCGTCAACTTAAATGCACGCATAAACAAACATTGTGCATAAAGACAAAGTTAATATCTAATAGTACAGTGGACACAAATACTCTTCATTCAAAGTAAACTGATATGAAGACAAAATCCTAAAGAAAGAGTTGAAGAGAACTAATCTTCACTCTTCAGTATAGAATGAACCTAACTTAAAAGAAAGAAACGAAGAGAACTAATCTCCGCTCTTTTGTAAGAGTAAAGCTAACTTGAAGATGCGAAGAGAACTAATCTCCACTCTTCAGTAAAAGTTAATCAAATTTAAAGATGTGAAGAGAACTAATCTCCACTCTTTAATGAAAATAAAGACACTAAAACTGCGAAAATAATCTCTTTACAAGACAAAAACCAATCCCACCGCTGCCACCAATGAAGCTTCGAGCTTTG